AGTGAGACTCGAACCAACACCACTCACACCCATCCCCACCTCCTCCGTACTCACACGTCCACTATCGTCCCCAGCAGCCCTCCGGCAGAAGGCAGCTCCCGCGTCCCACCCTTGCTCCCACTTAGTCTAGAATCAGTGAGACTCGAACCAACACCACTCACACCCATCCCCACCTCCTCCGTACTCACACGTCCACTATCGTCCCCAGCAGCCCTCCGGCAGAAGGCAGCTCCCGCGTCCCACCCTTGCTCCCACTTAGTCTAGAATCAGTGAGACTCGAACCAACACCACTCACACCCATCCCCACCTCCTCCTCCGTACTCACACGTCCACTATCGTCCCCAGCAGCCCTCCGGCAGAAGGCAGCTCCCGCGTCCCACCCTTGCTCCCACTTAGTCTAGAATCAGTGAGACTCGAACCAACACCACTCACACCCATCCCCACCTCCTCCTCCGTACTCACACGTCCACTATCGTCCCCAGCAGCCCTCCGGCAGAAGGCAGCTCCCGCGTCCCACCCTTGCTCCCACTTAGTCTAGAATCAGTGAGACTCGAACCAACACCACTCACACCCATCCCCACCTCCTCCTCCGTACTCACACGTCCACTATCGTCCCCAGCAGCCCTCCGGCAGAAGGCAGCTCCCGCGTCCCACCCTTGCTCCCACTTAGTCTAGAATCAGTGAGACTCGAACCAACACCACTCACACCCATCCCCACCTCCTCCGTACTCACACGTCCACTATCGTCCCCAGCAGCCCTCCGGCAGAAGGCAGCTCCCGCGTCCCACCCTTGCTCCCACTTAGTCTAGAATCAGTGAGACTCGAACCAACACCACTCACACCCATCCCCACCTCCTCCGTACTCACACGTCCACTATCGTCCCCAGCAGCCCTCCGGCAGAAGGCAGCTCCCGCGTCCCACCCTTGCTCCCACTTAGTCTAGAATCAGTGAGACTCGAACCAACACCACTCACACCCATCCCCACCTCCTCCTCCGTACTCACACGTCCACTATCGTCCCCAGCAGCCCTCCGGCAGAAGGCAGCTCCCGCGTCCCACCCTTGCTCCCACTTAGTCTAGAATCAGTGAGACTCGAACCAACACCACTCACACCCATCCCCACCTCCTCCGTACTCACACGTCCACTATCGTCCCCAGCAGCCCTCCGGCAGAAGGCAGCTCCCGCGTCCCACCCTTGCTCCCACTTAGTCTAGAATCAGTGAGACTCGAACCAACACCACTCACACCCATCCCCACCTCCTCCTCCGTACTCACACGTCCACTATCGTCCCCAGCAGCCCTCCGGCAGAAGGCAGCTCCCGCGTCCCACCCTTGCTCCCACTTAGTCTAGAATCAGTGAGACTCGAACCAACACCACTCACACCCATCCCCACCTCCTCCGTACTCACACGTCCACTATCGTCCCCAGCAGCCCTCCGGCAGAAGGCAGCTCCCGCGTCCCACCCTTGCTCCCACTTAGTCTAGAATCAGTGAGACTCGAACCAACACCACTCACACCCATCCCCACCTCCTCCGTACTCACACGTCCACTATCGTCCCCAGCAGCCCTCCGGCAGAAGGCAGCTCCCGCGTCCCACCCTTGCTCCCACTTAGTCTAGAATCAGTGAGACTCGAACCAACACCACTCACACCCATCCCCACCTCCTCCGTACTCACACGTCCACTATCGTCCCCAGCAGCCCTCCGGCAGAAGGCAGCTCCCGCGTCCCACCCTTGCTCCCACTTAGTCTAGAATCAGTGAGACTCGAACCAACACCACTCACACCCATCCCCACCTCCTCCGTACTCACACGTCCACTATCGTCCCCAGCAGCCCTCCGGCAGAAGGCAGCTCCCGCGTCCCACCCTTGCTCCCACTTAGTCTAGAATCAGTGAGACTCGAACCAACACCACTCACACCCATCCCCACCTCCTCCGTACTCACACGTCCACTATCGTGCCCAGCAGCCCTCCGGCAGAAGGCAGCTCCCGCGTCCCACCCTTGCTCCCACTTAGTCTAGAATCAGTGAGACTCGAACCAACACCACTCACACCCATCCCCACCTCCTCCGTACTCACACGTCCACTATCGTCCCCAGCAGCCCTCCGGCAGAAGGCAGCTCCCGCGTCCCACCCTTGCTCCCACTTAGTCTAGAATCAGTGAGACTCGAACCAACACCACTCACACCCATCCCCACCTCCTCCGTACTCACACGTCCACTATCGTCCCCAGCAGCCCTCCGGCAGAAGGCAGCTCCCGCGTCCCACCCTTGCTCCCACTTAGTCTAGAATCAGTGAGACTCGAACCAACACCACTCACACCCATCCCCACCTCCTCCGTACTCACACGTCCACTATCGTCCCCAGCAGCCCTCCGGCAGAAGGCAGCTCCCGCGTCCCACCCTTGCTCCCACTTAGTCTAGAATCAGTGAGACTCGAACCAACACCACTCACACCCATCCCCACCTCCTCCGTACTCACACGTCCACTATCGTCCCCAGCAGCCCTCCGGCAGAAGGCAGCTCCCGCGTCCCACCCTTGCTCCCACTTAGTCTAGAATCAGTGAGACTCGAACCAACACCACTCACACCCATACCCACCTCCTCCTCCGTACTCACACGTCCACTATCGTCCCCAGCAGCCCTCCGGCAGAAGGCAGCTCCCGCGTCCCACCCTTGCTCCCACTTAGTCTAGAATCAGTGAGACTCGAACCAACACCACTCACACCCATCCCCACCTCCTCCTCCGTACTCACACGTCCACTATCGTCCCCAGCAGCCCTCCGGCAGAAGGCAGCTCCCGCGTCCCACCCTTGCTCCCACTTAGTCTAGAATCAGTGAGACTCGAACCAACACCACTCACACCCATCCCCACCTCCTCCGTACTCACACGTCCACTATCGTCCCCAGCAGCCCTCCGGCAGAAGGCAGCTCCCGCGTCCCACCCTTGCTCCCACTTAGTCTAGAATCAGTGAGACTCGAACCAACACCACTCACACCCATCCCCACCTCCTCCGTACTCACACGTCCACTATCGTCCCCAGCAGCCCTCCGGCAGAAGGCAGCTCCCGCGTCCCACCCTTGCTCCCACTTAGTCTAGAATCAGTGAGACTCGAACCAACACCACTCACACCCATCCCCACCTCCTCCGTACTCACACGTCCACTATCGTCCCCAGCAGCCCTCCGGCAGAAGGCAGCTCCCGCGTCCCACCCTTGCTCCCACTTAGTCTAGAATCAGTGAGACTCGAACCAACACCACTCACACCCATCCCCACCTCCTCCGTACTCACACGTCCACTATCGTCCCCAGCAGCCCTCCGGCAGAAGGCAGCTCCCGCGTCCCACCCTTGCTCCCACTTAGTCTAGAATCAGTGAGACTCGAACCAACACCACTCACACCCATCCCCACCTCCTCCGTACTCACACGTCCACTATCGTCCCCAGCAGCCCTCCGGCAGAAGGCAGCTCCCGCGTCCCACCCTTGCTCCCACTTAGTCTAGAATCAGTGAGACTCGAACCAACACCACTCACACCCATCCCCACCTCCTCCGTACTCACACGTCCACTATCGTCCCCAGCAGCCCTCCGGCAGAAGGCAGCTCCCGCGTCCCACCCTTGCTCCCACTTAGTCTAGAATCAGTGAGACTCGAACCAACACCACTCACACCCATCCCCACCTCCTCCGTACTCACACGTCCACTATCGTCCCCAGCAGCCCTCCGGCAGAAGGCAGCTCCCGCGTCCCACCCTTGCTCCCACTTAGTCTAGAATCAGTGAGACTCGAACCAACACCACTCACACCCATCCCCACCTCCTCCGTACTCACACGTCCACTATCGTCCCCAGCAGCCCTCCGGCAGAAGGCAGCTCCCGCGTCCCACCCTTGCTCCCACTTAGTCTAGAATCAGTGAGACTCGAACCAACACCACTCACACCCATCCCCACCTCCTCCGTACTCACACGTCCACTATCGTCCCCAGCAGCCCTCCGGCAGAAGGCAGCTCCCGCGTCCCACCCTTGCTCCCACTTAGTCTAGAATCAGTGAGACTCGAACCAACACCACTCACACCCATCCCCACCTCCTCCGTACTCACACGTCCACTATCGTCCCCAGCAGCCCTCCGGCAGAAGGCAGCTCCCGCGTCCCACCCGCGTTTCCACTCTGACTGGAACCACTCAGATTTGATGCGCCGAGGCTTGAATCGGTGCCATCACGTGTGCCCACTGCCTGGCGGAAGGAGAGGATGAGGTGTGCGAAGCTGAGGAGACTCTCCCTGAGACAGGAGAGGCAGGAGGAGACACGGGGTGGAAGGGAGGGTGGATACACAGGCTCGGGCCTTCCCTCACCGGTTCGGTTCGGGCCTTCCCACCTTTCACCTCGCTCCCATCAAGACTCGAGGCACTCAGAATGGCATTGGCGCCATCCATCAAGTGTGCCTGCTTCCCGGCGGAAGGAGAGGATGAGGTGTGCGAAGCTGAGGAGACTCTCCCTGACACAGGAGAGGCAGGAGGAGACACAGAGGGAGCAAATATGCAGGTTAGAGTTGGGCCGTTGAGTGTTCCTACTGCCCGGCGGAAGGAGAGGATGAGATGAGCGAAGCTGAGGAGACTCTTCCTGCGACAGGAGAGGCAGGAGGAGACAAAGAGGGAGCGAATATGCAGGTTTGAGTTGGGCCGTTAACTGTGCCTAGTGCAGTGCGGAAGGAGAGGATGAGGTGCGCGAAGCAGAGGAGACTCTCCCTGCACAAAACGGATTTTTGCTTTGTTTTTTTAAATCGGATATAAAACGCAATTGTTACCTTACGGCTGATTGCGCGAGCGAAACAACAGGGTAATACAGAAATCTGGAAGGAAATCAGGGTAAATAACAGATTGGTATGCGAAACAGATCAATGAACAAAAATGCACAAGAAAGAAACAGGTCTTTTTTCTGACCTGGCTTTCTTGGAGATTGAAGGAGGGTTGTCGGCATGCTTGCCCAACGCCAGTTCCTAGTCAATCAAATGAGATGTGAGGTGGAGGATGGGAGAGCGGAGGATGGGAGAGTGGAGGATGGGAGAGTGGAGGATGGGAGAGTGGAGGATGGGAGAGTGGAGGATGGAGTAAGGGAGGACGGGAGAGGCGACGATGGTAGAGTGTGGAGGATGGGAAAGAACGGGATGGGGGTTACTGGCATGCTGGCGAAATGCCTAGACAATTGATGTGACGAGATGTGGGAGGGAGGAGGATGGGAGAGAGGAGGATGGGAGGGTGGAGGATGGGAGGGAGATGGGAGGATGGCTATTCTGTGGGAGATGGGGGACAGTTTGCTTGCCCAATGCCGGTTCCAAGACAACGACTAGATTTGAAGTGAAGTGGAAGGGTGGAGGACGGGAGGAAGGAGGATGGGAGAGTGGAGAATGGGGAATGCAAGATATAAGAGGGAAGACAGGAAGACGGGAATGGTGATGTAAGATATAAGAGAGATAAGAGGGGGGAATTGCGAACATAAGAAGGATGGCCAGAGGATGCATGGATGACGGAGGAATGGATGAATCATGAAAGGCAGACTGCTAGGATGCAAGGGTACCAGGATTGCAGTGCCTGCAGGGGAGTCGAGGCTGCGTACATGTTTTTTGAGAACTCTCAGAAAACATCGCAGCAATGGATGAAAGGCAGACTGCTAGGATGTCAGGGTACCAGGATTGCAGTGCCTGCAGGGGAGTCGAGACCCTGAGCCCACTGCTGCACTGTCGCCCATGACTTGGCTCCCAGGCCTGCAATGGGCAAGGCGGCAAAGGGGTGGGGGGAAGAGAGGGTGACAAGGAGAGTCGAGGCCCTGAGCCCACTGCTGCACTGTCGCCCATGACTTGGGCCCTAGACCTGCATGTGAAGCGAAGAATCATAAGTGAATGCTCGGATGTGGAACAAGGCCATTCATAACGGCAGCTTAGCTCTCACGAATGGGTCAGAGAACAGAAGGAACGAGTGGAATGATGCTACAAGAGGAGAGGGGAACAGGGCCACTGTTCCTTCTGTTCTCTGGCAGATTCGGGTGGAAATGAGATGGTTTGTTGCAATGATGGAGAGGAAGGAGCCACTGGAAAAACCTCTCATGTGTCGTTGCTCTTGGTGACCAAGAGGAACAGGGCAGCCATAGGATGGGTCGTGCAAGCAAAGAGACGATAATAACCTCTGGAGGGTGTGTTGTAGGTCCAACATAGCGCAACACTGCCTGCTGGATTTGTCGACCTTTGAGAATCCTCAAAAGAGGTCTCAAAAGTGATCTACATACACCGCAATACCTCTAGAGGGCGTGTTGTAGATCCGACCAAGTGCAACACTGGAATACCTCTGGAGGGCAAACACCAGACTACCGAAGTGCCTATAGAGGGCAAACACCAGACTACCGAAGTGCCTATAGAGGGCAAACACCAGACTACCGAAGTGCCTATAGAGGGCAAACACCAGACTACCGAAGTGCCTATAGAGGGCAAACACCAGACTACCGAAGTGCCTATAGAGGGCAAACACCAGACTACCGAAGTGCCTATAGAGGGCAAACACCAGACTACCGAAGTGCCTATAGAGGGCAAACACCAGACTACCGAAGTGCCTATAGAGGGCAAACACCAGACTACCGAAGTGCCTATAGAGGGCAAACACCAGACTACCGAAGTGCCTATAGAGGGCAAACACCAGACTACCGAAGTGCCTATAGAGGGCAAACACCAGACTACCGAAGTGCCTATAGAGGGCAAACACCAGACTACCGAAGTGCCTATAGAGGGCAAACACCAGACTACCGAAGTGCCTATAGAGGGCAAACACCAGACTACCGAAGTGCCTATAGAGGGCAAACACCAGACTACCGAAGTGCCTATAGAGGGCAAACACCAGACTACCGAAGTGCCTATAGAGGGCAAACACCAGACTACCGAAGTGCCTATAGAGGGCAAACACCAGACTACCGAAGTGCCTATAGAGGGCAAACACCAGACTACCGAAGTGCCTATAGAGGGCAAACACCAGACTACCGAAGTGCCTATAGAGGGCAAACACCAGACTACCGAAGTGCCTATAGAGGGCAAACACCAGACTACCGAAGTGCCTATAGAGGGCAAACACCAGACTACCGAAGTGCCTATAGAGGGCAAACACCAGACTACCGAAGTGCCTATAGAGGGCATACACCGCAATACCTCTGGAGGGCGTGTTGTAGATCCGGCCAAGCGCAACACTGTCTGCTGGATTGGCAACTATTCTCATGTACGCTATGAGGTCCTTCACCACCTGAGGGGGAGGGGAAGGAGCGAAGGGAGCGGAGGGAGCGGAGGGCAGGGGATGGGTTGGTCGATACAGTTTGCTATGAGGTCCTTCGACCATTCTCGTGTACGCTATGAGGTCCTTCGACCATTCTCATGTATGCTATGAGGTCCTTCGACCATTCTCATGTACGCTATGAGGTCCTTCGACCATTCTCATGTATGCTATGAGGTCCTTCACCACCTGAGGGGGAGGGGAAGGAGCGAAGGGAGCGGAGGGAGCGGAGGGCAGGGGATGGGTTGGTCGATACAGTTTGCTATGAGGTCCTTCGACCATTCTCGTGTACGCTATGAGGTCCTTCGACCATTCTCATGTATGCTATGAGGTCCTTCGACCATTCTCATGTACGCTATGAGGTCCTTCGACCATTCTCATGTATGCTATGAGGTCCTTCACCACCTGAGGGGGAGGGGAAGGAGCGAAGGGAGCGGAGGGAGCGGAGGGCAGGGGATGGGTTGGTCGATACAGTTTGCTATGAGGTCCTTCGACCATTCTCGTGTACGCTATGAGGTCCTTCGACCATTCTCATGTATGCTATGAGGTCCTTCGACCATTCTCATGTACGCTATGAGGTCCTTCGACCATTCTCATGTATGCTATGAGGTCCTTCACCACCTGAGGGGGAGGGGAAGGAGCGAAGGGAGCGGAGGGAGCGGAGGGCAGGGGATGGGTTGGTCGATACAGTTTGCTATGAGGTCCTTCGACCATTCTCGTGTACGCTATGAGGTCCTTCGACCATTCTCATGTATGCTATGAGGTCCTTCGACCATTCTCATGTATGCTATGAGGTCCTTCGACCATTCTCATGTATGCTATGAGGTCCTTCGACCATTCTCATGTACGCTATGAGGTCCTTCGACCATTCTCATGTACGCTATGAGGTCCTTCGACCATTCTCATGTACGCTATGAGGTCCTTCGACCATTCTCATGTACGCTATGAGGTCCTTCGACCATTCTCATGTACGCTATGAGGTCCTTCGACCATTCTCATGTACGCTATGAGGTCCCTAACCACCTGAAAGGGGTAAGTAGGAGAGTGGAGGGAGGGGAGGGAGTGGAGGGAGAGGAGGGAGTGGAGGGAGTGGAGGGCAGGGAGTGAGAGTGGGATGGGATGGGCAACACTGTCTACTGGATGAATGCTATGAGGCCCTTTACCGTCTGAGCAAGGCAGGGGGGGAGCGAGGAGGAATCAGAAGGGACGGGGAATCCATTGGTAATAAACCTGCTCCCATTGCGACCACTCTCATATACGCTAGCAGGAATGTAACCACCTGAGAGCAGCAGCGTGTAGAAAGTCTACACGCTGAGAGCAGCAGCGTGAGACGTCTCAAAAAACTACTTTCTACACGTGGTCTCTCATGCACGCTAGCAGGAATGTAACCACCTGAGAGCAGCAGCGGAGGGGGAGAGAATGGGATGGGACTACTGGCACACAAAACAAACCTGCTGCAGCGGTTCTCACCTGAAAGCAGCAACAGCAGCAGCAGCAACAACCCACCTTCCTCTGGAACAGCGTACTCCCTCCCACAACGATGCATGGAATCGCAAGGTTTGCCAGCCCCTGCTGCAGCTGCACTGCCTGACCTGTCTTAGCCCCCACCCCACTAACGAAGAAACAGAGGCACAGCACAGAAACAAGCAGCAACGCACCTTCTTCTGGAACAGTGTGCTGCCTCCCACGACGATGCATGGGATGGCGAGGTGCGTCAGCCCCTGCTGCAACTGCACTGCCTGAGCGTGAGTCCGGTACAGCACACAGAAGTCCCTCCACGCATACCGCCCGCTCGCCCCTGCTTAGAGGGATTGAGGAGCAACAACCCACCTTCTTCTGGAACAGAGTGCTGCCTCCCACGACGATGCACGGGATTGCGAGGTTTGTCAGCCCCTGCTGCAGCTGCACTGCCTGAGCGTGAGTCCGGTACAGCACACAAAAGTCCCTCCACGCGTACCCCCCGCTCGCCCCTGCCCCCTCCCCTCCCACCTCCCCCTCCCTCTCCCCTCCCGCCTCCCTTCCCCTCGCCCCTCCCCTCTCTCCTGCTCTCGCCCCCGCCATTGCCCCTCCCCGCGCCCCTCTCGCCGACCAGTTCCTCCCCCCACCCCCAGCACCTCCCCTCCCCCCTCCCCCCGCTCCCCCCCTCGCCCAGGGAGACAGCTCAGCAGGGTCGACGAGGCTCTCTATCTCCTCTGCGATCGTGGCGGCTTCACTGGCACACGAGGGGAAGAAGGAGAAGAACACCGGATGGCCTGGGGGCTGGAGAGAGGGGGGTGTGGATGGGATGGGATGGGATGGGATGGGATGGGATGGGATGGGATGGGATGGGATGGGATGGGATGGGATGGGATGGGATGGGATGTGATGGGATGGGATGGGATGGGATGGGAGAGGTCAGGGGAGATAGTTTTTTTGGGACATCTCAAACGACACCGATTGGATAGGAGAAATGGCCTATGACGGAAAAAAAAAAAAAAAAAGATATTTCCTTCCCAATCCCATCGACCTCGCTCATCCCTTACCCCATTTTCCCTCTAGCTCTCGCCCCACTCACGCTCCTCACGCTCCTCACGCTCCTCACGCTCCTCACCTTGGTGGGTTTCAGCTCCACTGTGCCTTGCCTCCCCCACCGCGCCTGTTGCTGGGCCCGCCCTGAATCACTAGGTTTGGAACCTACTTCCTCTCACGCTCTCACCTCATTCCCAGACCACACATGCTTTTCTATCGCCCCCCTTCCCTCATCGACCGGAGCTGCAGTCCCGGGTGCGGGACTGGAGCTGCAGTCCCAGGTGCACGACTGGAGCTGCAGTCCCGGGCGCGGGACTGGAGCTGCAGTCCCAGCTGGGGGACGCCCCTGTGAACCGGCGAAGCTGCAGTTCCAGCTTGGGAACTGGATCCCCCAGTTCACACCCCTTGTGAACTAACCCCCCCCCCCCCCCGGTTCACACACATCTGCACATCCGCCTTCCCATGTTTGCCGATTTAGACAATTTGTTTTAGTTGAAGCGGAATCTGCAGCGTCCATCCATTCAGCCATCGTGCTGCCTCTGCTCTCCTCCCTCCCTTACCCCCTCATATCACTCACACCACGCACCTTGGTTGGTTTCAGCTCCAGGGTGCCTCCCCCAACACGCCTATCCCTCGGCCTGCCCTGAATCACTCGATTCGGAACCTATTTCCTCTCACGCTCTCACCTCATTCCCAGACCACACATGCTTTTCTATCGCCTCCCTTCCCTCATCCCCTCCCCAACCCCTCCCTTGCCCCCTCACACCACGCACCTTGGTGGGTTTCAGCTCCAGGGTGCCTCCCCCAACGCGCCTGTCCCTTGGCCCGCCCTGAATCACTCGATTTGCTGCCTGCAGGATGCTTTGGGATGACCTGTAGTTGCTGCGAAGCTGGCAAGTGTGGGGGACACGTGGGAGGGGGGGAAGGCGGGGGGGAAGTGGGGGGAAGGGTTGGGAAGGGAGCGGAAAAGGGGAGGTTGTGGCTTGTGAGAAACCAAAGACACTGATTGCAATGAAAAAACGGGATAACAAGATTGGCAGCACATTCCCTCACACACCCTCACTCACACACCCTCACTCACACACTCTCACTCACACACCCTCACTCACACACCCTCACTCAAACTCCCGCACTCACCTGCAGCGTGGCGACGTCATCAAAGTCCTCGTCCAAGAGTCGCTGCAAGTAGTGGTACTCTGCTGTGCAAGGTTGGCCGCACATTATGTGGTGAGGCGCGGAACGAGGGTCTCACTCACTCACTCACTCACTCACTCACTCACTCACTCACTCACTCAATCACTGACCCATGCACGCACTCACCTGCAACGTGGCGACGTCATCAAAGTCCTCGTCTAAGAGTCGTTGCAAGTAGTGGTACTCTGCTCCGCGCCAGGAGTAGATGCACTGCCATGCCATGCCATACGAGGAACGAAGGGAGGCAGAACGCAGGAGGAACCAGTACAGAGTGAGTAGTCGTTGCAGGTAGTGGTTCTCTGCACTGCGCCAGGAGTAGATGCACTGCCATGCCATGTTGTGCGCACATGCAACGACAGAGGAATGAATGGGTGGACCAATGTAAGGAATGACAAAACGAAACGTGTGGATAAGACGGGAGCAAGCAAAGGCCGGAGGCGAGAGTGACGACAAGGCGTGCAGTTGGGGACTCAATTAGGAGTCTCTCATAACAAACAGAAACTTTGAATCGAATCAAATCTAATCAAAACGTCACACTTAGTCAACAAGCCCCATCTGATCGCACCTGCTCTCACCTGCTCTCACCTGCTCTCACCTGCTCTCACCTGCTCTCACCTGATCAATGTCCCCCACAACGAACAGGCGCTTGGAGTTGAGTGTCAGTAGCCGCACTATCTCGTACTGGAACTGGAGGAGAGGGAGACCACAGAGAAGCAGGGAGAAAGCAGGGGAGAAGTTCTTTTAGCCGACTCAGGAGGCAGATAAAATGTTTCCCACACCGCAACAAACAGGCACGTAACACTGAGCCTTAGGAGCCTCAGCACCTCACACTAGGCAGACAGGGACAGGACGAATGCGTGGCAGAGAGATGCACGAATATGCTGCAGACGAGAGCAAGCAGAGAAGAGTTGAGAGGTGCTGCAACGCAGCAATGCTTCAGCTCAAAAAGCAGAGCAGAGGGCTGTGGTGGTGCTGCAACGCTGCCCACTCACCGAATCCGTGTCCTGAAACTCATCCACCAACACATGCTGAAACCTGCCGTGGTACCACTGCCAGAGCGGCAAAGCAAAGCAACAACAGAGGGCTGTGGTGCAGCAATGATGTGCACTCACCGAATCCGTGTCCTGAAACTCGTCCACCAACACATGCTGAAACCTGCCGTGATACCAGAGACTGGTAGCCTCACTACTCCCTGCCTCGCTTCTATATTGTGACACGTCTCATCATCCCACTCACCGAATCCGTGTCTTGAAATTCGTCCACCAACACGTGCTGAAACCTGCCGTGATACCAGAGACTGGTAGCCTCACTACTCCCTGCCTCGCTTCTATATTGTGACACGTCTCATCATCCCACTCTCCGAATCCGTGTCTTGAAACTCGTCCACCAACACGTGCTGAAAGCGAGGTGACTATTGAGTCGGCTCAAAAAGCAGAACAGAGGGCTGTGGTGGTGTTGTTACGCTGATGGCTGTGGTGGTGTTGCTACGCTGCCCACTCACCGAATCCGTGTCTTGAAATTCGTCCACCAACACATGCTGAAACCGCTCCTGGTATTTCTGCCAGTACCAACAAGAGGGGCACGTGGAAGGGAAGGGGCACGTGAGAGGGACGGGTAGCCAGCCACCAACGCATCATCTCCCATAAGATAGCAATGTAAAGAGGGGGGCTCACCTTGAGCACGTGGGGCTGCGAGTGAAAACGTTTGAGGAGGAAGTGCGTGGATGGGCGACAGAAAGATGCACAAATCCGCACATACTACCTCACCTTGCACGTGAACTCACCTGGAGCACGCGGGCTTACCTGGAGCACGTGGGGCTGGGTGTGAAAGAGGTCGAGGAGGAAATGTGTGAGGTCGTCGAAATCCAGTGCATTGCTGCGCCTCAACTCGTCCTGACAGGGACAGGAAGGGCAGGGAATGAAGAAGGGAGGGCAGGAGGTGCAGAACGGCGGGATTTTGAGGCGCCTCAAAGGTTGCGAGTGGAACAGGTCGAGGGGGAAGTGTGTGAGGTCGGTTTTTGAGAAGGGTTTTACTGTCTATCTTTTGCTTTAAGCCTGAATAAGTTTGCTGCTCGCTGAGAACATGTCCCAAGACCAGGGGGAAGTGTGTGAGGTCGTCAAAATCCAATGCGTTGCTCCTCCTCAGCTCGTCCTGACAGGGACAGTGAATTCAGGAAGTGCAGAGGGGGGAAAGACGGATGAAGGATGCGTGCTCACTAATACACCATCCCTCACCTTGGACTCTCTATGTATACCCATACAAACAATTCCTTGCAATCTCACCTCATACACCTTGGCGTATCTGGGAATGCCGCCAAACAATTCCAGAATCGACCCACCAGTCATCTCACGTCATGCTCATCACCTTAGTAACAGAGTGCAATAAATCATTCCCATCTCACCTCATACACCTTGGCGTATCTGGGAATGCAGCCAAACAGCTTCAGGGTCGACCTAAAACGCATCCCACCTCACCTCATGCGCAACACCTTAGTAACAGTGTGCAAAACATCATTCCCATCTCACCTCGTCATGCGCAACACCATTATAACAGTGTGCGATTTTCATTCCAATCTCAGCTCGTACCACTCGGCGTATCGTATCTGGGAATGTTGCCTCCTATGCTCCCAACTTCTGAGGCGCCTCAAAAACTCATCTCACCTCAACGTGTGCAACACCTTCCTACCAACCAGCATGCAAGAACCAGTCCCAACTCACCTCGTACAGCTTGGCGTATCTGGGAATGTTGCCTCCTATGCTCGCCTCCCATTCAAACCTGAGGCGCCTCAAAAGTCCTCAAAGGGGGCCTCAAAATCCATTGTTTCCAACTCACCTCGTACAGCTTAGTAAAATTGCTAAAGTCATTCCCATCTCACCTCGTACAGCTTGGCGTATCTGGGAATAGAACCTCCTATGCTCAACTCCCCTTCGAACCTCCCTCTCCTCCTCTCCCCCACTCTCCCCCTCATGTCCTCTTTCATCCCCCCCTCCTTATACCTCAACACCGCATCCCTTATATTCTTAAACCGGTTTCCCTCCTTATCCCCGTCTACCCCATCTCCACCTGCCCCCCCACCCCCTCTATCCCCCAGCACTTCCGCCAACGCTGCCTGTGCTGCTGACGTGGCGTTGCCTGATTGGAGAGAGAGATGCGACATGGCCTCGTATAGACCGTCCGGATTGGCTCCTGCTGCTCCTCCTGCTACTGCTGCTGAATTGGATTTTCCTGGCTGGTACGGGCTGATTTTAGCGAGTCTTTCTTTCTCCTGGAGTAAACATGGGGGTTGAGAGAATGAGATGGATACAGGGAACGGGTGTTGGGTTCAAGGTTCATGGGTTTATAAGTTCGTGCGTTTCTGGATTCATAGGTTTACGGTATTATCAATTCATGGGTCCACATGTGCATGGGTTTCTGGGTTTCTGGTTCCATGGGTTCATGTGTATGAGATGAGACGAGACGAACACATGATGCATGGATGGACCATGAGATGAGACGCAACTTCACCTGCTTATCAATATCCTTAATCACTCGCAGTGAGTCATCCTCATCGTATATGGTGTAGTCCCTGTAGCATCTGCAGGCAGGCATCTCAAGCGGAGTGGGCAAAATGAGGCGAGCGAGCAACAGGACAAAACACTGACAGTAAAGAAGACAGTAAAGAATTTCACATAAGCATTCTTGCCATGCCACCGTTACTCACCTTCGGTTGCGCAGCGACGGAAGCATCTCGCTTCTGAGAATGCGAGCAGCAATGCCGTGAAATGTGCCCACCTGCATGGCATGGCATGAAGGTGACGACGTTTAAGCTGAGTTGACTGAAGGTGCGAGCATTCCAAGAGAGTGTATGATTATTAGGCTCCTAAAAAAAAAAGTCAAAGTGAGTCAATGAAGTCCGCATGGGAGAGTGACGTTTGAGGAGGAGGCATGACGATACCCACAGGAATATCAGTGTGACAGACAGCAGCACAGAGCAACAATTGCGGTAACTGTGGTCATTGTGAGCGAATGTAGCAGCAGCTGTGGTAACTGTGACGAACGTGGTAACTGGTGACTCACATGGACAGCTGCAGCAGCCTCAGGGGCCAGGAGGTCCTGGAGACGTGTCACAAGCTCATTGGCTGCTCTGTTCGTGAAGGTGATGCACTGCAGACACAGGCACAGGCACAGGCACAGGCACAGGCACAGGCACAGGCACAGGCGAACATGGTATGTAAAAAGGCTGAGATTCACGACCTGTGGATGAGGTGAGGTGGGCATGCGGGTCTTATGAGGCGCCTCAGAAGCTCACCAGTATCTTCCGGGGATGCACTCCGAGATTCTTGATCAGATTCACGACCCTGTGGGTGAGCACACGGCTGTTTTGAGGCACCTCAAACGCTTACCAGTATCTTCCGGGGATGCACTCCGAGGTTCTTGATCAGATTTACGACCCTGTGGGTGAGAACACGCGTCTTGCCGGACCCGGGACCAGCCACCACGCGCACACAGCCATGAGGAGATGCCACCACCGCTGCTCGCTGCTCCTCGTTCAACCCCTTCAGACCGTCGCATGATGCATCGCCTGCTGCGTCGCCTGCTGCGTCGCCTGCTGCGTCGCATGCTGCGTCGCCTGCTGCCGAACCAATGCCGGCTACCGAGCCAGTGCCTGATGACAAAATGCCTGATGCGGCATTGTCTGATTGACGGGAATAGCATCTGATGTTTAGATATCGAGATGCTGCAGCTGATTTCGCCGATTCCATCCTGGGATCAGTAGCGTGACTGTGAAGGAGGTGATTGAACGGATCAGATCGACCTAAACGCAGATTCGTTGAGAACCTCAGGGGTTTTCCTGGGCCGATGAAGCGCGAGGTGTACACGTCAGCAGGCAAAACAGATATCTGACGGTTGGCATCTAATGAGCTGACTCTAAGCCGAGAGCTTGCAACCGAGGTGACTTTGGCAAAAGGTGCAGTCATTAGAACGCTCGAACACGGTCTACAGCGTAGACTAAGAGCCTGAGAGGGAGATGGGGTGATCAGCGTTCTCAGCGACACGTGGCTAAAATCCCTGACCTGAATCGCGCGCGAATTTACGACTCGTGAAACGGCAGCCATGGCGGGACGAGGTGTTTGTCAGTGCAGCGCATTCGACGCCCCCATGGAGTAGCAAGCGAGCGCCGAAGCTCTGAAACAACGGAGGATCCGAGGCTGGAAAAACTCTGGCAGTGCTTCGAATTCGCCTACCACGGTTTTGTTGGGTTTGCTACGGCTCAAAGCGGTCTCTGCGGGCAAGCTTGAGGGATCACACTGCCTGCTTGTACACCAGACGAAGAGCACCTTGGGAATGGTTTGCGCGATTTTTCTACAGTGTCAATTTCTCTAATCATACAAATAATGAGCTCTACTAGCAGGAACATTGCTCGAATGTTTTCGCAAGATCCCATTATCGTGACTAATTTGAATTCCAGTGTGGGAAATTTCAGGTCCTCGTACACTGACACTTCTGACAGTCTCCTTTCCCGCCATTTCCTGCACTCTGCATGCACCTCCCTTTCTCATAGCTCGCTGAAAATGATACGTCGGATAGCCAGAACCATCCATGGAGCTTAAAGATTACCAGGATCATCTCATTCATTCATTCTCTGTTTTTAGGGTGCTGCTTTCGTAGCTACTAGACTTGTTGGCACGTTTCTTGGAAGGATTCGCATGCTTGGATCCATGTTTTAGCCTGATTCTTATTGTACGAGGCGATTATAATTCGCAATTAGTGCGACATGGTTGGCGAATTAAGTTCCGCTGTCGAAGCTAGTAAGTCGGAATTTTTTAACAAATTCTACGTCAGCAGTGACATCATCAATGATCCTTGTAACGACGCGACGCCGCTTTTGGAGGTGGAAGACGGTTCGCATGCTTCACGAGACGGATCTATTACCCTTCGCAACAACGAAGTAGCTGACAGCGATCTCAATTCGATTCACTCAGGCTCAGATCCGCATTTTCGGGAATCCGTGAGCAGCGAAGAACGTGGAGCCACGTCATGCTGCACAAGCTGCGATCTGACCGTTGACGCGACTCGAACGAGCGACAACAGGGTCGCGATCAGGGGGATCCACGCCGAGATCAGCGCAGACCGCAGAAATAGAAACGAGGAGCTCCAGACTCGGAGGACCGAGAAGGCACTGAACGAAACTCAACTGCTCGACCGATCTAGTCACGCTCGTTGTAGTCACGCTTGCTGCTCGACCGACCACACATCTCGTGGGTCGTTGGATGGGTCAACGCATGATATGCCAACGCACGATGGGTCAACTGTTGCGCTTGACGTTGACTTTGCGAATCAGTGGGCTCAGTCGCTCGGGGTGGCCTTCGGCGCCGTCATTTCCGAGGTGCTTTTACCCTCCCCTGCTTGGTTCTTATTACAGCCCATTACCAACTCCCTTTCTGTACACGTGAAATTGTTTTCGCTAGAAAATCTACAATCAACAGTACTCCCTTCGCGAATCATACCAAAGTAACTACGATGTTCTTCAACTCACTGACGGTTGATGAGCCTACAACGGTTGATGTTTCTCAATATGTTCTTCACCTCACCTCGTTATAACGACTGATCTCGTTTATGCGTCGGATCCGTGCAGGTGGAGTCGCATGTGCTGACGTCACAGAAGCCCATTCCTATTGATGAGCTTTCCCAGGTAATCCCAATCTAGCTTCTTGTTGCTGCCTTGATCTCTCCGGCTTGACATCTTCCTCCTTTATCGTTTCCTTTCTAGCTTCCAGCCCCATTTTCTACTATCTTGTTATAATCCCCAGCTATCCCCTCTCCTCCCCCTTCTCCCCCACTTCCTCCTCTCTCCTTCCTCCCCTCCCCTCCCCTCCTCCTCTCCCTTCCCTCTCCCTCCTCCCACCTCGGTCACACTTCTCAGATGATAGAGGCATCTTTGTCCGAGTTGGTGCTTCCATTCGGAACACAAGGCGGCAGTGCTGCACATACCGCACGCAGCAGCAGCGCTGGTGGTGTAGTGACTGCTGGTACAGATGGTGAAGCAGCAGCAGCATGTGCATCAGCAACAGGTGCAGCAGGAGCAGCAGCAGTAGCAGCGGCAGCGGTGAAGCACGCCCCTCTTCCCCACGCCTTTCTCGCAGCAGCCCTCTCTACCTTCCGTACCTGTGCTCGCGTACGAAGGGCGCTGGCTCGGACTGTGCCGAGCCAAGCCGCTCCGAGCCAGGCCTTGCCCAACCATTCTGCTGCTGCGGTTGCTTCCTCTATTGCCGTTTCCAATGCTGCGCCGACTCCTGCTGTTGTTCCTGCTGCTCCTGCTGCTACCCGTTCCTCTGCTCCTTCTGCTCCTTCTGCTCCTGAATCAGAGTGGCGGCTTGGTAAACATGGGCAGAAGAGGAACTGGGGGAATTCAAGTGGAACAACTGGGGGGGTTGCAGAAGAGGCAGAGAGGGAAGGGGAGGTGTGGGAGGAGGAAGGGGCAGGTCCAGAGGAAGCAGAGGGAGCAAAGGAGGAGAGGGTGGAGGAAGAGGGGTTGCATGATGAGAGGATAGAGGGAGAGGGGTTGGAGAAAGAGCATGGAGTGGGAGTGCTGAGCTCGCTCATTTCCTCGTATGACCCTATGGCTGCCGTGCTGCTGCGGAGTGAGGTAGTTGGGGGGGTAGAGGGGCACACAGACGAGCAGAAGGAGAAGGGGAAACAGAAGGAGAAGAGGGAGAGGGAGAAGGGGTTGCCTGAGGAGAACGGGGGACAGGAAGAGGAGCGGGGCATGACGGGAGTGGTGAAGAAGGGCGGCAGCACAGTGAAGCGTGGGCAGAGGAAGCAGCAGAAGGGTCAAGGCACAGGGAAGGAAGAGCGTGTGAGGCAGAGCAGGCAAGGAGGGTTGAGGCGATCACAAGAGGAGCAGAAACAACAGCAACAGCAGCAGACGCAGCACCATACACATGCCCCAGCACTCTCAAACTTGCCTGCACACTCACACAAGCCTACCACCCCTGTCACTCTCCCACCAACCCATGCTCGCACCACACCTCATTCACACGCTCCTGGGTCTTGTTCCCCTGGCCCTGCCATGCTTTGCCCCCAAAGCCCCTCTCCCCCAACCCCCCTTTCCCCTTCCCCCGTCCCTGCCATCCCCACTCGTTCCGTCTCCACAAGCTCCATCCCCACTCGCTCTCCTGAAAGCCGCTCGCCTCCGACTCACGAATACCAATCCGTCTCACCATTCTATGCTCTTGTTTTTGAGGCGCCTCAAAAACAGACTTCTCGCACTCCTGAAATCCATGCGCCTCCGTCTCACGGCACTCCTGAAATCCATGCGCCTCCGTCTCACGCATGCGATTCCGTCTCACCACCCTATGCTCCCCTCTCGCATGCCCCCGAGTCCGAGTCCCCCATCCCTGCCATCCCCACTCGTTCCGTCTCTACTAGCTCCATCCTTGATCGCTCTCCTGAAAGCCATGCGCCTCCATCTCACGCATGCGACTCCGTCTCACCACCCCATGCTCCTCTCTCGCACGCTCCTGAATCCATAGCACCCTTCCCTTCCTCTCCAGTAGCCCCACCCACACACCCGTACCATCAGAGCTCCACATCAGGCGAACCACATTCTTACCATCCGTTATCATCACACCTGCACCAGTCACACCTGCACCAGTCACACCTGCACCAGTCACACCTGCACCAGTCACACCTGCACCAGTCACACTCGTACCAGTCCATCCCTTCTCATCCTTTGGCTCTGTCACACACCCACTCAACCCTTTCCCATTCGATCACAGCCCCGTCCCATGTACTCACATCCCACGCACTCACATCCCACACAGTCACAGCCCCCACCCCCTCCCTGCTCGCCCTCCGCTACGTAACCGCCCTGGAGGAGCGAAACCGCCTCTCAGCAGCCAAGCTCTCTCAATCCGCCCTCTCTGTCTCCCTCCACGCGCAACACTTAGCCACCACAGACCGTTCCAACCACCTCATGGCTCAAAAGGTCGAGCTTTCAAAGGGGGAGAAGGCGAGGAGGGAGCGCGAGGGCCGGGAGAGGCGAGGCAGGGAGGAGCTAGCTGGGTTCGCCAGGGCGTGTGCTGATGAGTTGGTCGCAGGGTTGCTGGTGATGCTGGTGGTGATAGGTGCGACTGGGTGGAGGTTTGCAGGGGAGAGGTTGGCTGCTGGTGTGGCGGCTTGCCAGGTTCGGCACGATCCTGCGCTGGACGCTTCGTCTTTTCTCGGGGTTTCGTTCTCCCGCCCGGACCGGTCGCTGGTGACGTGGCTGCGTCTGATTGGCTGCAAGCTGACCGTTGCCGGGCAGATGTTGCTGGCGTTCCTGGTCGCGTCTGCTACTACTTATATCATGTTGCTCAATAACGTGGCTGCTGCTACAGGAGCGGGGAGCGCCCATTCCCGCCCCGCTACCACAATTGTGCTTTGCCTGGGGTGCGTGTGCGGTTACTTTGGGTTCTATGCGGTGCGGCTGGCAGGGGGGGATGCGGTGGTGTGGCTGGTGTGTTGGGAGGGGCTGTGTGTGCTACATGCGGTGGTAGCTTGGCGGAAGGAGCAGCTGTTTCGAGTGCTGTATGGGCGGAGGGCGGGGGAGGAGGTGGAGGAGGTGGGGAAGTTGGGGATGGGGGCGGAGGGGGAGGGGGAGAGGAGAGGGGGGATGGGTGAGGCTTGTACAGGGTCAGGATTGGGAGGAGGAGGAGGTGCAGCAGCAGGAGCTTCGGCAATTCGAGGGACAGCGGCAGGGGTAGCCGCAGCAGGAGCATCAGCAGCAGGCATGCTTGCACCAGTAGCACATGGGATACGGAGGAGAAGGGGAGAGAATGAACCAAGCAGAGACCCAACAGGACATTCCAGGGGCATAACAGGGCATCCGGGGAATAATGGCGACTCAGTGGTTAGTGGGAGGGGCAGCAAAAAGGGCGTGGGGTGGAAGGGGAATGGTATTGGGAAGATGGTGGTGGGAGTGTGGAAGCGGATGGCTGAGATCGTGACAGCTGTCATGGATGATGACGTGGATGGGCTGGTGATGGGGCGGTGGTGGGCGGCGAACAGGCGAGGGTCGGGCGGCAGGTCGGCATCACGGCGTTCGTCTTCTTCTTCCGTGTGCAATCCAGCAGAGAGCGAGCCGTCCTCGTCGTCGTCATCTGCAAGGCGCTCCTCCTCATCGCCGTCTGGGCGGCGATCGTCGTCTGTATCTGTGTCCTCATCATCACCATCAGCATCATCATCTTCAGAGACCCGGCGACCATCAGGCTACTCAGCAGCAGCAGCAGCAGCAGCTGATTCCACGTGTACAGATTCACCTCTCTACACCACCATCTCGTTACAGTCACTCTCGTTATGGACACGCCTCGTCATCACTCTCCTCACCTCCGTCTTCACCTCCATTCAGCTACTGTTCACCAACCCACGTACCTTTGTCCTCATCTGCAGCAAGTGGGCCCATTCGCACCTCCTCCCTCTCCTCTCCCATACCATCCCCCCTCCCCCTCCCCCATGGGTAAGGCGTATCTTTTTCCACCTCACCCTCCTCCTCCTCCTTCCTGTGGCTGCTGGGGCACTGCCTTTTGTCACCTGGGCAGACGTTATTCGCTTTATTGGAGCGCTCTTTAGCGAGGTTTGGATGATGGCAGGGGGTTGGGTATGGCAGTGGGAGGCCAGGGACCAGGAGAGAGGTTGGGATGGGTTGAATGGGCAAGGGTATGGACACAGCAGCCCTCTTGGTGCTTCTACTCCTGATGGTGGTATGGGTGCAGAGTCGTTTAGCACAGCAGGGCCATCGGCAGGGGCTGGTGGTAGTGGTGGTATGGCACGATACTGGGAAGATGATTTGTAGGGTAGGGTGTTGATTGCCTGTAGTGTGTCGTAGGTTGTTTGGAGTGTGGCAGGGTGCTTCTAGCTGTGTCTTGCACTTCTCCACAGGCACAGCACAGCAGCCTGGTTGGAGCATCTGCTGCTCCACAGATTGTGCAGGTTGCTGGTGGAATGGGTAGCAGGGTTGCAGGGCTGATGCAGATATGGCACTGGTCAAGTGGCTGAGGTTGGCTGTGGAATATGTCCCATACCGAATAAAGATAAGATAAGTCCTTCATTGATGTGAGGTGGTTTGCCAACTACAGATCAATACCGACCTCACCCGGCTGCCTATCAGTTTATCTCCAGAACATGCCTTGCAGACACTACTTCTAACATAACATAGCACAGCCTGAGAGAAAAGACCATTTGATCTACCTTCTCCCAGACATCCTGCATTCGCGTTTGCGCTTTTGGATTCTGCTCTAGTCGCACTTGCGGCGGCACTTCTTGATCTTCTTCTTGCACTTCTCGTACTTGTGCGTGCACTTGTGGTGGTCGTGTTTGTCGTCCTTGTTCTCGCGCTTGCACTTGCTGTAATCCGTTTTGCACTTCTTGTTCTTGTCCTCACAGTCAGACCGGCACGACAGCATGCGAGGCGACCACAGGAACCGCCTGCTCGCGCCGAACAGCTTTCCCACGAGACCTGGAACGAGGGAAGGCAAGAAGCAAATATTAAGAAACTGAGCCTCATGCTCACGACGAGTCGAACCAGTAGGTCAAATGAGAATCACAGAGGGCTTTTGCGGCAAGACACTGAACTCACCAGCAGGCGAAGCCGCGTCGGCGGACATGGCGGCGTCGTCCACTTCATCAGGAACCGCCGGCTCACGCGGTACAGCGCATTCACGAGACCTGGAAACGGGGAAGGCAAGGAACGAACAAATTCAGCCAACAGTCACTGTTGAAAATAAAAATGGCCCGTTCAGGGATTACTTCGAGAGCAAGGCAAGGCAGGGCGGAGGCGGAGGGGGCGCACGGCGTCTCTGAGCGCAATGTGGTACCCAACGCACCAGGAGGCTACGCGTCGGCGGAGATGGCGGCGTCCGACACGTCATCGTCGGCGTCGTCGTCTTCCGCGACGATCTCATTCGCGCGGCACGATGGCGCCAGTGCGAGGGATACGAGCAGGGAGAGCGCGAGCAGGACGAAGAAAAGCTTGGAACGCCTCATGGCTGCACCGATTGTTGAATATCCGGGGGTGGGGCCTTAGCCTTTAAAGGAACGAGAGGAGATTGCGCAATGCTTCTACTGGGTAAACTTCTTTTGTTGATAAACTGGAGCTGGTACTGATTAGCATTCACGTCCTGGCCTTTATACGACCAATGGAGCCTCTAAGTCGAACCACGGTACATCGTGATAAGGCCGCAGGTGTAGCGATTGGTCGGTGATAAGGTAAGTCGAGCGACAGTGGTCGGTGATAAGATAAGTCTGGTGGCGTATTTTGGTCGGTGGGTGAGCTGAGCGCGCGAAGCGAAAGCAGTAGGGTTGCTTCCACGTTCCAAACGCTCCCACGTCCCTTGGCTTGCTCGGGGTGCTCGGGATTGTGGTGGGAAGCATGAGAAGGGACCCCCCGCCAACCCCAACCCACAGCAAGTGACCTGGGAATCTGGAATACCCGTGCTTGCTGTGGATTCGATCGATCATGGGTTGGAGGGGGAAAGTGGTGGTGGGTGGGAAGAAATGACAATGAAATGCGAATTCGAACCGCACCATCCGACGCCAATGTTTATCGCGACGCGGATCCGATGCGCCACTTTTTACGATATTTCACGCGAACCCGATGACCCGACGCTATTCTAACGAGTTTGTTGCATCCGTTGTTATACTAATAATCAAATTTTCTTACACATATGCACAAGTTGTACACTCGAATTTCAATAGGACATGCATTTGTGTGAATCTGACCACAATTCAGCATCTGAGAGAACAGTGAACATGCAGATATGCCAATTGGATGTTCTCTTGCTCAGTGTAAGGCTCTTTACCATCTTGTATATGCGCATCAATCATATCAGAGTATGTTTTAAAGCCAACTTATTGATCATATTCTTTTAGAGAACCATTTGGACAATGCGCACTGTACCCCTCATTTCTTGAAGCGGCTGCTGAGTCGGCCCATAAGTGGCAAGGCTCGGGTGAGCTGGCGCAGCTGAGGGTACGTCTCTAGCATCCAGCCTGGGGAGGGAGGGAAGGGAGGGGAGAGGGGGAGGGGGGGCAGGAAAGGGCAGGATGGGAGGAATGTGTGTTGCACGACGAACACACTTGTCTTGCAATGTGAGGGCTTGGGCGAGCTGGCGCAGCTGAGGGTATGTCTCGAGCATCCAGCCTGGGGAGGGAGGGAAGAGAGGAAAGGGAGGGAGGGGGGAACCAAGGATAGAACCAAGAAAGAGGCATAAAGGAGTATCTAGTACCCACAGCACCCTCCTTTCAAGCTCTCCCTAACATATTCCTGGCAAGGCTTGCTCCACAAAGGCCATACTGGTGCGAGGTGTGCTGTGTGCTGTGATGTGATGTGACCATGTGACCTGACATACACACACACAGTTACACTCGTACCTACTAACGCTCCTCAGACTCATCGAGCGTTGCTGTGGGGATGAACTGTATGCCATCCAATGCCATGCTATGTCATCCCATGCCATGCTATGCCATCCCATGCCATGCTATGCCATCCCATGCCATGCTATGCCATCCCATGCCATGCTATGCCATCCCATGCCATGCGATGTCATCCCATGCTATGCTATGCCATCCCATGCCATGCTATGCCATCCCATGCCATGCTATGTCATCCCATGCCATGCTATGCCATCCCATGCCATGCTATGCCATCCCATGCCATGCTATGCCATGCTATGCCATGCTATGCCGTGACTCACCAAGTGTGCCGTGACTCACCAAGTGTGGCAGTGGGGATGAACTCTATGCCCGGTATGGCTTGCTCCAGGAAGCCCACACTGGAGAGCAGCGGAGCGCGGTACATTCTCTGGTGGGTGGAGGGGGGGGCAAGATGGCAGGAGGGCAGGAGGGGCAGGAGGGAATAGGGCAGGGGATACAGGGCGGGCAGGGGGGTCAGGAGAGCAGGGAGAGGGTGGAGGAGTGAGAGTGCATGGGCACAGCCATGCGAGACGGTGAGGGGCAGGAAGAGATTTTAGATTTGAGCGAAGGTGCATGAACTCAACAATTTAACCTCCTTCCACAATCCCTTGACTGGACCATCTGAGTGTGGGTTGAAAACACATGGAAGACTGTTGAAGGCACCTAAGTGTGTAACGGAAGCACCTGAATGACTACTCAAGCCAGCTGAGTGGCTGTTGAAAGCACCTGAATGGCTGTTAAAGGCACCTGAATGGCTGTTGAAGGCACCTGAATGGCTGTTGAAGGCACCTGAATGGCTGTTGAAGGCACCTGAGTGTGCCTGTTGAAAGCACCTGAATGATGAAGGCCGATGCAGGAATCCAGATGTAGTCCAGAGGGACGATGTGGCGACTGGCCAACAACCTGGGAGTGGTGAGTGGTGATGATGGGCCGTGAGTGGTGATGATGGGCCGTGAGTGGTGATGATGGGCCGTGAGTGGTGATGATGGGCCGTGAGTGGTGATGATGGGCCGTGAGTGGTGATGATGGGCCGTGAGTGGTGAGTGGGGGAAGAAAACAAGAGGTGGGGACGTGGGTGGGGTTGACATTTGAGTCAACTCAAAAGTCAGATGTAGTTCAGAGGGAAAATGTGGCGACTGGCCAACAACCTGAGAGTGTGGGATTGGTAAGTTGTGAGCAGGGGAAGAAAACAAGAGGTGGGGATGTAAGTGTGGGTAACTTTTGAGTCGACTCAGAAGTCAGATGTAACCCAGGGGGACAATGTTGCGACTGGCCAACAACCTGGGAGTGGTGAGTGGTGATGGTGGGTGGTGAGTGGTGAGTGAATGTGTGTGTGGGGGAAATTTGTGGGAAAGTTGAGACGGAGAGAGGGAGGTGAAGTGAGGGCGACAAAAAGGGGGGAAGGTGAGGGGGGAAGGTGAGGGGGAACGGAAGGAGGTGACTTTTGAGTCGACTCAAAAGTCACCTCGTTACTATGGCACAAAAAGGGGGGAAGGTGAGGGGGAACGGACAGAGACGAGGTGAAGGGGGAAGGAGCAGGGGAACGGAGGAGGAAAGAGCAGGGGAGGGGGAGCGGAGGAGGGGAGGCAGAGGAGGGGGAGCGGAGGAGGGGAGGCAGAGGAGGATCGGAGCAGCGGTGGAAAGGAGGAGGAGGAGCAGGCGAGCGGTGGAGCAGCGAACGCACCCCTGCAAGTCAACGAATATGCTGATGACCAGCTTATTCCGCTTCTCCTCCTCCTCCTTCGCCTTCGCCTCTCTCTCCTTCTCCGCTTCCTCCGCCGCCTTTTCCGCATCAACCGCTTTATCCGTCTCCCCCTCCGACCCCTGTTTCCAAAAGAACGCTCTTGTATGGAAACCCGGGCCGTGTCTATAACGCGTATGAAGTCCCTGCGTCGTTTGATTCCGACCCTGGATAAAGGCGGGAGACGAACCGAGTCCCCGCAGCCCATTTCCTGTAATCGACGAATTTATGAAGCCTGTAGTTCTACGCGGGGAAGCTAACAACGCGGATCGTTGCACGCACTCTTCAGCGCCAGCCCTAGCCTGGAAGCGAATGCTGGAAGATTGGGCGCCACCGCTCGCGCGCGCGCAAAACGCGTTCGGAATGGCGAGGTTTCCGTCACGGTGAATTGCGGTGACGGCATTCAGGCGGCGATCGTGGCTTTCTGAGTAACTTTGCAGATTTCGCGAGCTTCCCAGAGAGGAGGGACAGGCGAGAGTCGCCATCGCGAATGGAAAAAGGTTGCTAAGTCGCGCGACTCGCGCGACAGATTGGAAGAGGGTTCTAAATGCGGTGGACGGGTGTTGGTGAAACTGGTGTGAGGAGAGAAAAATGGCGGAATTTGGGGAGAAAGAGTGGAAAGGAGGAACGGAGACGTGAATTCGAAGCAAACAAATTGCCCAGGAGGTATAGAAATCGCTAGTATTAGCAGCGGTTCAGAGCGGTGGACTGGAAACGCCTTCAAATTGCACAGCATCGTACTCAAACGCTGTAATTGCACAGCAGCGGTTCAGAGCGGTGGACTGGAAACGCCTTCAAATTGCACAGCATCGTACTCAAACGCTGTAATTGCACAGAACAAGCGGCACTCAGTTGATGTTCCCTAAGATCCAGGAATTTCGGTTTAGCACCTGAAGCTCTCTTTTGATAGTGTAGCTATACTTCAGTGAAATCGGAAAAACCGCATGGGAGGTGGCAAATTCACACGATCCGATCAGTCACACAAATCGCCTTTCGCTATAAGAACAAACCCACTTCCCCCAACATCGATATTGCCTTGGGAGTTTTGCCAGCCTCTTCCTTTTCGCCTCTTTTTCTACGAGGCGCTTCAGCTAACGCTTGGCTAGAGTATTCTAAATCGGAGTATCTGTTTGCTTTAATCACCCTCCGTTATAGCAGCATTCTCGCCGCGGCGCGATGGAAGGTGCCGAAGAGCGGCTCCTGCGGGCTCTGAACGAGGCGGGGGAGATAAAAGATTCCGGCGAATGGGCCGCGAGTGCCGGCGTGGATCACGGCGCGCTAGTCGGAACCATTAAGAGCCTTCTCGCGTATGAGATGATCGTGGCTGAGGTTCGTCGAATCTTCTCGTTTCTGCTCGTCCCGTCGACTTCACTTCGTCGAATCTGCTAGTTATTACTAAGTTACACTAAGTCTGGTCGACTTTACTAAGTCTGTCGCTTCACAATAGTTTAGCGCCAATGGTTAGCTTTAACGGGATTCTGAACTCGCTCTCTAACTCAAATGTAAGACTGTTCCTGTATGCTCCGTTCTTATAACAGGAGATCGAGCACCAATCATGGACGCTCACCGACGAGGCGAAGGGGTATCTCGACACGGACTCGCCCGAAGCGCAGGTGTTCAACGCCGTGCCAGATGGCGGCATCCCATTGGACGCGCTGAAGAAATCCCTCGGCGCGGTCGCGGATATCGGGATGAAGCAGGCCATGGCGAATAAGTGGCTCGCTATAAGCAAGGGCGAAGGAGGTCCCTCGGTTCAGCGGAAAGTGGCTTCTATCGAGGATAAAGTGCAGCGGCTGCTGACCAGCCTGAGCAAAGGAGAGGTGAGAGGGGGAAGCAGGAGGGGGAAGGGGGAGCTGAAGGGGAAGGGGAGCGGAGGGGGGGAGGGGGGTAGGGGAAGAGAGGAGGGAGGGCGAGGGGGAGGTGGAGAATGTGGTGTGGGGAGTGGGGTGAGGGATGCACAATGTGGTTACCACCTGCTTGTTACAATGCGTTATATTCGTGGTCTTGTCCCCTTCCCTTTCCCCCCTCGCTCCTCCCCCACCCCACCCCCTCCCCTCGCCTTTGTGCCCTCAACTTCCCCAATCTCCCTCCCCTAAATCATTCCTCCCCACTTCCTATCCCGATCTGGCCTGTCTCGTTGCGCCCAGTGTGTGGCGGAGAGCTGAATAATCTCCCCAACCTCCCCACCCCCCACCCCCCCTCCCTCCTCCCACTTACCCTTCCCTTCGCTTCCCTTCTCTCGCCCTCTCGCCAGACCCTCCCCTCCCCCGACCTGGATTATCTACACAAGAAGCGCAAGCTCGTGTCGTCTAGCGTGTGGCGCACGTACGCACTGGGCAAGGGGCCTTTCTCTCCTTCCTCCCTCACTCTCCCCCTCTATTCCTCCCTCGTCCCCTCTCCGCTCCCCTTCCCTCAGACCCTCCCCACACCCGACCTGGACTATCTACACAAGAAGCGCAAGCTCATTGCGCCCAGCGTGTGGCGCACGTATTCGCTGGGCAAGGGGGCCAAGTTTGCGTTAGAAAAGAAGAAGGCTGCCACGGACCTCACCAGAGAGATGATCCAGAGGTGTGTGAAGTGGTGCTGTGCGGTACAAAGCGCCACAGGTTGGTACATAATAATAAGGAGTGGTGCAGAGCGGTTCTGCGTTGTTGAGTTGGCTGGAAGGCAGCGAGTATTCGCTGGGCAAGGGAGCCAAGTTTGCATTGGAGAAGAAGAAGGCTGCCACGGACCTCACCAGAGAGATGATCCAGAGGTGTGTGAAGTGGTGCTGTGCGGTACAGAGCGGTGCTGTATCATTGAGTTGGCTGGATGGAAGGGCAGCACGTACGCGCTGGGCAAGGGAAGTCGGAGGAGTTCAAGCCCTACAACTTCAATGCCCTTGGTCTGAACGCAGAGGGAGGCCACCTGCACTCACTGTTTGCTGATAGTGCTCTCTCTTCCACTGCATGTCTCTCCCCTCTCCCCCATCCCCAGTGGCGCATGGAAGTCGGAGGAGTTCAAGCCATACAATTTCAACGCGCTCGGTCTGCCCACCGAGGGAGGCCACCTGCACCCGCTCCTGAAAGTGCGCGCCCAGTTCCGCAAGATCTTCCTCGAGATGGGGTGAGCTCTGACAGACAAACAAGTGATCCTTGTTCCAAGTTTGAAGTACAGTAGTTTGCACTTGCACCTGCACCCGCCTGAAAGTGCGCGCCCAGTTCTGCAAGATATTCCTCGAGATGGGGTGAGCTCTACAGGAGTGTCTTTGGCATAGAATAGAGTGGTTCAACTTCTTATCCCGACACCTCTTCTCCTGAATTCACAAGGTCTATGCTCAGTTCCGTAAGGCCTTCCTCAAAATGGGGCGAGTACGAACTTCAAACGTTGGGAAAGGGAAATTGATTTGACTAGCGGCGCTTGCGCCACCTCCTTCAGTCGTTTACAAACCCCTGCTCCTTGTTGTGTAAAACTCTAACTCTCAATTCTTCTCCACATTTCAGTCCAAGGCCATAATGTTCCCTTTTCCCCTTTATCCCGTTCCTTCCATTCCTCACCTTCCTCCCCTTCCTTCCGTTCTCCCTTCGCTAGCTTCCAAGAGATGCCGACCAACAACTTCGTGGAGAGCAGCTTCTGGAACTTCGACGCGCTCTTTCAGCCACAGCAGCACCCTGCCAGAGACTCACACGACACCTTCTTTCTCACTGGTACGTACGTGACTTGATAGAGCCACATCACTACATGCATGTCTCTTCCAGCCACAGCAGCACCCTGCCAGGGACCCTCGCAGTACCGTGTTTCCCTGATCACGGCACCTTCCCACCTTGCTGAATCTGTGGAGAGCAGCTTCTGGAGCTTCGGCACGCTCTTTCAGCCGCAGCAGCACCCCGCCAGAGACTCACACGACACCTTCTTTCTCACTGGTGAGTTACCTGGTTCCTCCTCCTGTGGGTTGCCTGGTTTCACTGACAGGTGGAGTGCCGAGTGCCTACCAATGTGTTTACTTCGTGGAGAGCAGCTTCTGGAACTTTGGTGTTCTCTTCCAGCCGCAGCAGCACCCCACCTCTTCCCACCACCTCTTCCCACCCCCTCTTCCCACACCTCCTCCCACCCCTCTGTTCCACCTCCCTCTGTGCCGCGCTTGCTTGCAGCCCCTGCAGCGACAAAGGAGCTGCCAGAAGACTACCTGCAGCGCGTTAAAACCATGCACGAGACAGGAGGCCACGGGTCGACCGGGTACGGGTACGACTGGAAGCGGGGCGAGGCGGAGAAGAACCTGCTGCGCACACACACCACGGCGGTGTCCTCCCGCATGCTGTACCGGCTGGCGCAGGAGGGGTTTCAGCCGCGCAAGTACTTCTCGATCGATAGGGTGTTCCGGAATGAAGCTGTGGACAGGACGCACCTGGCAGAGTTCCACCAGATTGAAGGTGGGTATGTGGGATTGGGAAGGAGAGCAGAGGAGTTTCAAAGAGAGGGGGGAGGGCTTTCAGGTTCAGCCGCGCCCCTTACTTTCAGGAGAGCAGAGGAGTTTCCCCCCTTACTTCTCGATTGACAGGGTGTTCCGGAATGAGGCCGTGGACTGGACTCACCTGGCTGAATTCCACCAAATCAAAGGTGAGCTGGCTGGGGAGTGGGGAGAAGGGGGGAGGGGTCTCAGTCAATCGACCGGGTTTTCCGGAATGAGGCTGTGTACAGGACGCACCTGGCGGAGTTCCACCAGATAGAAGGTGCGTGTGTTGGGGTGGCAGAGAGGGTGAGGAGTGGGGGAAGAGGGGTAAGAAGAGGGGGCAGAGGGGTTGGGAAAGAGGGGCAGAGGGAGTGGGGAGAAGAAAGGAAGACGAGGCAAGTGTGATTTTTTTTTTTCAACCTCCTCCCCTCCCTCCTCTGTCCTCCCTTCTCCGTCCTCCCTCCTCCCTTCTCCCTCTCCTCTGCTCCCTTTTCTCTCCACCCTTTTATCTCCTCCCTTTTCTCCTCCCTCCCCATGCAGGTGTGATCTGCGATCGAGGCACCACACTGGGCGACCTCATAGGCGTGCTTAACCAGTTCTTCGCCAGACTCGGTAATGCCCTCTCCTCTCGGTAGGCCCAATGTGCCTAACCCGGTTTCCTCCAAGAATTCTAAAAGCCACACTGGGCGACCTCATAGGCGTGCTCAACCAGTTCTTCGCCAGACCCGTTAACACCCCCCCGGCCTCTCGGTAATTCCCCGGCCAGGCCTCTCAGTTGCCCCGGTGATGCAATGCTTACTCAGAGTCAGTTCTTTGAGATTTCTAAAAGACTCACTGGGCGACCTCATAGGCGTTCTGAACCAGTTCTTCGCCACACTCGGTAAGTCTCACATTGCTGCCTTTGCCTCTCCATCTCCTTCCCAATTTGAAGCCGCTCTAGCAATTCACCTTCCTCCTCTCTTTCCCTCCTTCCACATGCTGCCACGTCGCATGTATTGATTCTAACTGCCTTCACCCGCACTCCTTCACCGCTCCCCTGTCTCCTTACCCCCATCAGGCATCACGCGCCTCCGTTTCAAGCCTGCATACAACCCCTACACTGAACCCAGCATGGAAATCTTCAGGTGAGTTTCAGGGTGGCTGTCAGGTGGTTTCCGAGGGTGGTCGTCAGGTGTTTTCCAGGGTGGTTGTCAAGGGGGACAAGGTGGGTTTCCAAGTGAAATTGCAGGCAATCTCAGGTGTCTTAACACCTTTCTTACCGTTTCATCCGCATATGTTTTCCCGCCCCTTTCCCGCCACACAACCCCCCACCCCACTGCATCAGCTATCACAAGCAGCTGAAGAAGCGGGCGGGGAGGCGGGCAACAGCGCCTGTTGGCTTGGGTGCAGGTGGGCAACAGCGGCATGTTCCGCCGCGACTCTTCCCCTTCTCCCTACCTGTTGACGTCACTCACATGCCCCCCCACCCTCTCCCCCCCCCCCCCCTACCCCACTGCATCAGCTACCACGAGCAGCTGAAGAAGTGGGTGGAGGTGGGCAACAGCGGCATGTTCCGCCCTGAGATGCTTCTTCTCTTCTTTCATGGCTGAGAATCCATGTGTTTTCTGTTCCTGCCACACCCCCTCCCTCCTCTCCCCACCACTGCATCAGCTACCACGAGCAGCTGAAGAAGTGGGTGGAGGTGGGCAACAGCGGCATGTTCCGCCCTGAGATGCTTCTTCTCTTCTTTCATGGCTGAGAATCCATGTGTTTTCTGTTCCTGCCACACCCCCTCCCTCCTCTCCCCACCACTGCATCAGCTACCACGAGCAGCTGAAGAAGTGGGTGGAGGTGGGCAACAGCGGCATGTTCCGCCCTGAGATGCTCCAGCCAATGGGCCTCCCCCCTGACGTCTCCGTCATTGCCTGGGGGCTGTCCCTCGAACGGTGAGCACTCGCTCAACCGCACTAAACTGCACTAAACTGCACCAGACCACAGCTGCCACTACAGATGCTCCAGCCAATGGGCCTCCGCCCCCACATCTCTGTCATTGCCTGGGGCCTGTCCCTTGAACGGTAGGCACTCATTCAACCGCACTGAATCGCACTGGAACTGGACTAGAGATGCTATCATGGGATGCTCCAGCCAATGGGCCTCCCCCCTGACGTCTCTGTCATTGCCTGGGGGCTGTCCCTTGAACTGTAGGCACTCACTCAATCGCACCAAACCGTACTGAAACTGATTGCTCCAGCCAATGGGCCTCCCCCCTGACGTCTCTGCCCCAGGGCCTGTCCCGTGAACATTGAGGAGTAGTCCTTTCCCTGCTCACTCTCCATCTGTCCTTGCCTGTGTCTTACCCCCTTACAAGCACGTGAATGAAGAAGTGTTGTGAGACGTCTCAAAAGGCCTGTCCCGTGAACATTGAGGGGTAGTCCTTTCCCTGCCCACTCCCCATCTGTCCTTGCCTGTGTCTTACCCCCTTACAAGCAGACCCACTATGATCCTCTATCACATTGACAACATCCGTGATCTCTTTGGCCATAAGGTGAGAGTGGGAGAATAAGGGGGGGGGGGGGGGGGGAATTTGTCAATCTTCGAAGCACCTGAAAGCACTTGATAGCACTGGTTTCAGCGTCCCGGCTACGCTTGACACCAGAGAGTTCGTGCACTTTCTTGCTCCTTGTGCTTGCCCCTTGTGCTTGCCCATTGTGCTTGCCCCTTGTGCTTGCCCCTTGTGCTTGCCCCTTGTGCTTGCCCCTTGTGCTTGCCCCTTGTGCTTGCCCCTTGTGCTTGCCCCTTGTGCTTGCCCCTTGTCATGCACTTTAGAGTCGACTCAAAAGTCACCTCATAGAGCTCGTGCACTTTCTTGCTCCTTGTGCTTGCCCCTTGTCATGCACTTTCTCGTTTCCTCCTCCTCACACTCCCCTTCTGACCCTACTCATCACCCCCCATCACCACTCCTCACCGCTCCAGGTTGACTTGAAGCTGATCAAATCGAATCCAATCTGCCGCCTCGGCCTTTGAACTCCGAAGGACCAAGATTGCATCCCCCCAAGAGCCCTTACTTACTAGTCACATCACATGGATTCAGTGCAGAGCCACAACCACCTGTTCCAGTTCCACTACCCCACATTTCGATAGGTTTTTTTTTCGAGACGTCTCAAAAACAACCTACCTACCGTATCTACGCGTGCCCCCCAAGAGCCCTTACTTACTAGTCACATCACATGGATTCAGTGCAGTGCCACAACCACGTGGCTGTTCCATCCCACTACCGAGCTGACTTTTGAGTCGACTCAAAAATCCCCCCAAGAGCCCTTACTTCGTAGTCACATCACATGGATTCAGTGCAGTGCCACAACAACCTACCTTCCACTACTCCACATTTTCATTCTTCCATATGCAATCGAGACGATCACAACTTTGTTCCGTTCAGTCCCATCCCATGTGTCCAGTGTTAGTCCATTTGACATCATTAGCGTGCTTGGTGTACATTTAGGGAAATAAGCTGCTTATTTCCATTTAACACGGTAGCTGCTTGCAGCTTATTAGAGTTCAATAAGCTACATCCCAGTCACGGTAATGCAAATCAGGACAAAAAACATGAATATGTTTTCTGTAAAGGCAGGTGCACTCAGCTACAAGAATTATTAACATCCTAACCTAACAATTGATTGAATGACATGCACACCACCCATGCACCATCAAGAATTTATGTGGCACATATTGCAGGAATCGGCCATGTACGAACACTTATGTAAGATTAGTAGCATAGCTGGTACAGTAATCGCCTCGTCAGTCTTCTGTTGTCCCACGTTCCGCTTCTCTCTCGTCACCTTGTGTCACTATCCTCTTTGCTCTCCTCCTGAGAAGTGTCCCTGTTACTGCTGCTGCTACTCTTCTTGCTTACACCACTACTCCTGTCAATGCCGCCGCCCTCACCACTTCCTCTCTTCCCCTCCTCTCCCCCCTCCACAACACTCCCATTCCTCCCCATCCCCACGCCCCCAACTTCTCCCAGTGTCTTCACAACCGGCCCTCCCAACGCCTCCTGCTTATATCTCACTCTCATCCTAGCCAATCTTTCCTTCTTCCTCCTCTCCTTCTGCCCCTTCTGCCACAATCTAAACATCCTATCCCGCTCAATCGACCCCTGCCATTGCACCTCCCCCAGATGCGGCCAAAGCCACCGCCGCCCGTTGATCGCGTGGGCGGGGTCGTCCGTCTCTTCTGCCCGCTCCTCATCCATGGCTTTAAGTGCCGGCCGGGAGAACCATTGGAACCAGGCGCGCCGGGAGCGGGACTTAGAGCGCGTGGGAACAGGGTGTTGCTCTTTAAGCGTGCCAGTGTGCGGGTTCAGAAGCAGCATTCTCTTTCGGCTGTGATACGCCCACACGTTCACGAGTCTGTCGAGCAATCGGCAGTAGCAGTGCCGCTCCTGTTTGGGGGCAGCAGGGAGAGTTGGCAGAGGGATCACACATTGGAGTTTGCGATTGTGCTTCGCATATAGGGTTTCCGATTTCAGACCAGGCTATATTTCGCTTCTCCCTCTCTGGTAGAAGCTCTGACGCTTTCAACCCCAAGGCTATAGACTTCGAATAGCCCATCCAGTGGGAAGCGTACTACTATCCTAGAGGTGCCTCCGAAATCTACTATTACTACCCAACCTCACCTCTGCATGGCTCTGGGCCAGGGGGCACGTGCTGTGCGCCGCGTGTCTTTGGTAGAAGGCTGTGACTGCTACACCCTCAAGCTGCGGAAACTCTCAATAGCTCGTCCAGCAAAGAGCAGCATACCGAACCTCACCTCTGCATGGCTCTGGGCCAGGGGGCACGTGCCGTGTGCTGCATGTCTCTGGTAGAACTTCACATCCAGAGCATCAACAAACATGCTGGTTGGTTGGGGCATCAAAGGGGAGGAGGTAGGGGGAAAGGCAGAGGAGGGAGGTTGACAGTTGGTTCAAATGCCACCACACCGTGTGCCGCGTGTCTCTGCTCTGGTGGAACCTCACATCAAGGGCACAGAGGGGAGGGAGGAGAGGGGAGGGGGGCAAAGGAGGGGCTAGGGAGGTAAGGGACATAAGTGCTCATGTCCCTTACCTCCACAAACAGCAGGGGCAACAGAAACTTGCCATGCTTTCCTCCCTGCTTCAAAACCCTGAGAGTGCTCATGTCTGTGCCATCTCAATACTCATGAACTCCACAGAGTCGTGCGCTGACATGGCACATGCGTGCACGGCAAACACTCAATCTCAATCCCTTTGCCCGTATCCCCTTGCCCACCCTCCCAGCCCCAACCACCCCATCCCTCACCGTGCAAACAGCATGAACTCCACGAAGTTGTGAGCCGGCATGGCCCATGCGGGCATGGCAGTCTCTCACATTCACCCATGACTACCCACCGCTTCTCCTCTGCCTGTATACCCACCCTCCTCCCAACCACCCCTTGTCTCACCGTGCAAACAGCATGAACTCCACGAAGTTGTGAGCCGGCATGGCCCATGCATGCATGGCAGACCAGGTACCCCCTCCGGTGGGCATGGGCGGCAGGGTGGTCCAGTTGGAGGGCAGACTGTACACCAGCCGCATGGCCTCCAAGAATGCAGCTCTGGGTGGGAGATGGGGGGAGAGGGACCAAGAGAGGAGATGTGTGTGTGTGAGGCAGGCTGTACACCAGCCTCATCGCCTCAAGGAAGGCAGCTCTGCAAGGGGGAAAGAAGGGAGATACAACGGCATGAGAGCATGTCAGTAGGGCATGGCGGACCAGGTGCCCCCTCTGGTGGGTATGGGCGGCAGGGTGGTCCAGTTGGAGGGCAGGCTGTACACCAGCCTCATCGCCTCCAGGAATGCAGCACTGAGTGGGGTGACGGGGGAGGAGGAGGGCATGTGAGCATGAGTGCAGGGCGGCCAGAGGTGAGCTAGACCCCTCTTTCAGCGGGCATGGGCGGCAGGGCGGTCCAGTTGGAGGGCAGGCTGTACACCAGCCTCATGGCCTCTAGAAACTTAGCCCTGCATGGGGTGAAGAAGGGAGATACATCAGTATGAGAGCATGGCCCACGCGTGCATGGCAGACCAGGTGTCTCCTCCCGTGGGCATGGGCGTCACATCACATCGAGTTCCTATTCTCACCTGCAGTTACCGCGGTTCATCATGTCACACGTCGTCCAAAAGACATCCCCTGCTCGCTCCTCCAACCCCCCAACACGCATCTTCCCCACTCCTCTCCCTGACTCCCCTCCCCCATCCACCTTCCCCCCATGCTCTCCCACACCTCCCCCTCCTCCTCCGCCTCCACTTCCCCCTCCCCCTCCCCCTCCCCCTCCCCCTCCCCCTCCCCCCACCGTCTCCCCATCCTCCCCCAACGCCGCACTCCTCGGGTCCCGATGAATCACCACCTGGTCTACAGTACTAACCCAGTACACTACCGCATCCGCTACAGTCCCGCCCTCTATAGTCCCAACCAATGCCTTCTCCGCCGCGCTACTCAACCCCACATTCTCCGCCCGGACCCGCCAGGGCTGGAAGCCTATCCAGGGGTTCCGGTGCACTCGGTCTATGCGGTAATTAATAGCCAGCATGGCTGCAAAGTCGCATAAAACGTCCCGGTAGTAAGGGGAGGCGAGCATGGGCAGGCGCGCCCACGCGTTCACATCGTCGTATAGGTTGGGGCGCCGGGAGGAGCGCGACTGCACGGACGGGGAACAAGAGGGGAAAAGGATGGGGGAGGTGAGTAGGGGAACAGTGGTACGGGGAGGAGAGGATGGGGGCCCAACCCGGACTCGCCACGGCTGGAAGCCGATCCAGGGGTTCCTATGGACTCGGTCTATGCGGTAATTAATCGCCAGCATGGCTGCAAAGTCACATAAAACGTCCCGGTAGTAGGGCGAGGCGAGCATGGGGAGGCGCGCCCACGCGTTCACATCGTCGTATAGGTTGGGGCGGCGGGAGGAGCGGGACTGAGGTGGAGAAGGGGGGTGGGGAAGAGGGGATGGGGGAGGTGAGTAGAGGAGCGGTAGTAGGGGGAGGCGAGCATGGGCAGGCGCGCCCACGCGTTCACATCGTCGTATAGGTTGGGGCGGCGGGAGGAGCGCGACTGAAGTGACGGGGAACGAGAGGGGAGAGGTGGGGTGGGGGAGAGGGCGGAGGATAGGGGAGGTGAGATGCGGGAAGCAGGGGAATGGTAGTAGGGGGAGGAGAGCAGGCTGTTTGCACCCAGTGCACTCACCAGGCTAATCCCGCGGTCCAGAGTATCCTGGTCGTGAATGAACGGCCAGGATCCATCAGACCAATTCTTGAGGTGCCTAAACAAAGGCAGTGCAGCAGCTTGCACTCACCAGGCTAACTCCCCGGTACAGGGTATCCTTGTCGTGAATGAACGGCCAGGATCCGTTCCCAGTGTACGGCTCGTAGATGCAGATGGGCTGGCCGGATCGCTCGAGGTCGCCGTCGTCCCTCTCATGCAGCCCACTCCTCTCCGCCCGCTTCACGCCCACCTTCACCTCCTCCCATGACAGTGACTCGTGCTCCCTGCGATCCCACAGCTGGCGTGAGGTGGGAGGGGGAAAGGAGGTAGAGAACAGTGATTTGAACGTTGCCCGCTTCACGCCCACCTCCTCCCATGAGAGGGACTCATGCTCCCTGCGGTCCCACAGCTGCAGGTAACAGGACAAGGGGGACAAAGGGGGTCACTGTGAGGCGCAGGGTGCTTCCTCGCTTCACCCCCACCTTCACTTCCTCCCATGACAGTGACTCGTGCTCCCTGCGGTCCCACAGCTGGCGTGGGGGATAAGGCGTGGGAGAAGAAGGAAAGGAGGTAGAGAACAGTAAGTTGCATGCCGCTGATCACTCCGCCCCGCCTTCACCTCCTCCCACGAAAGCGGCCGTCACCAAAACATATTTTTCTTCTTCACATGGCATCTGGGATGGTATCTGAAGCACAGACTTACAATGTCAGCCTCCAGTTGCTCCTCGGGCGCTTTCAGCTCAGACACTCCTGCTGCCACTGCTGCTGCTGCTCCTCCTCCTCCTCCTGCCCTCGCGTCTGTGATGCCCTTATTCCCTTCTCTACTAGCTGCGGGAGCAGCTGCAGCAACAGCAGCAGCGGCAACCACTTCAGCCAAACCAGCACCACCTGAAACAGCTGTACTTGACTCAACACCACCCAGAACCGCTGCTGCCTCTGCTTCTGCTGCTTCTACTGCTGCTGATGCTCCACCTGCTGCTCCCCCTGCCGATGCTTCTCCTGCTCCTCCTATACCAGCCACCCCACCACCTGCCCCACCTCCCACCGCCTCCTCAGCCCCATCCATTTCGGCCATGAGCGTGCTGTCCCTCGTCTTGTCTCCCATCAGCAGCGCCTTTTGACGCGTCTCAAACCCCCCTGCCCCACCTCCCACCACCACGTCCTCAGCACCATCCATCTCGGCCATGAGCATGCTATCCCTCGTCTTGTCTCCCATCAGCAGCGCCGCTTCCCTTCTCCTCAACTCCTCCCACTCCTCCTCCATCTGTAGAACCACACTCTTCCTCCTCTCACTCCCTCCCACATTCCCTCCCTCACTCCCTCCCTCACTCCCTCCCTCACTCCCTCCCTCACTCCTCACACTCCCATCACCCCTCCCGTCCCTCCTTACCACATCCCCTCTCTCTTCCGCTCCCAACCCCATCACCCCTTCCTTACTGCTCTCCCCTAACTTGCCTCCCTCCTTCAAACCCATCCGTCGCCCCTTATATTCACCTTCTGTTAGTATCACCTTCCTCCCTCCAATAGCCCCACTCTCCCCTCCTCTCATTATCTCTGCCTCCCCTTCCTCCACACTCCCACCTACATCCAATCTCTCCCCCTCCTCCTCCTCCCCCTCTCCCTCCTCTTCCGCTTCCCCAACCCTCTTTATCCCCCCACCTCCCGTTCCCTGTCCTACCTCTCCCCTTCCCCCTCCTCCCTCTCCCCTTCCCCCTCCTCCCTCTCCCCTTCCCCCTCCTCCCTCTCCCCTTCCCCCTCCTCCCTCTCCCCTTCCCCCTCCTCCCTCTCCCCCCCCTTCTCTTACTCCCCGTCTCCCTCCCTCTCCTCCGTTTCCTCCCTTCTCCCCTCCCTCTCCCCACCCCCACCCGCCCTCCTCGCCCCACATCCACGCCTGCTTCTTATCCCACCACAGCCAATCCGCCGGCCTAGGGCTTCTAATCCCCACGCCCCCTTCCATAACCCGCTCTAGGAGCCTCGCTACCTCCTTAACCACGCTGCGCGCGCCCAGGGCCAATGAGAGCTCGCGCCCCGATGCTGACATGGCAAGCGCGTCAGACTGCGAGAGCGATGCGGCTTTAAGAAGCGCCTGCTTCATGGAAGGTTCCTTTCCCGGGTCGTAGAAAAGAGCTTGCACGCCATTGGTCAACTGTGAGGGGAGGGAAGGCGGGGGGGAGAGCGTGGGGTGGGAGGGGTGGGGGACTGGAGATGAAGGAGATGGGGTTGGGGCACAAGAGGCAGCGCCTAAGTGCGAGCAGCACCACACCACTTAGTATAAGATACATAGGACATTCCTCAATACGCAGCACTCACCACCCAGCACCACCACCCACCACTCACCACCACCCATCACCCATCACCCACCTACCCAACCACCTGCATTCACCCCCTCACCTCTGCTCGGATCTTGATCAGTTTTGGAACCACAATCACCTTCCCCAGAGCGAGCGCTCTCACGAGCAACAGATTTACCTCCCTCTCCTCCTCCACCGAGCTCCACGCAACCACATCACTGGCCATCAACACTCCCCGAGATGCACTACCCACCACTCACCAACCCCACGTCCCCCCACCCACCGCATTCACGCGCTCACCTCTGCTCGGATCTTGATCAGTTTTGGAACCACAATCACCTTCCCCAGAGCGAGCGCCTTCACCAGCAGCGGGTTGACCTCCCTCTCCTCCTCAACCGAACTCCACACCACCACATCACTCGCCAACAGCACGCCCATGCCCTCCTCCCCCTCCGCCTCCCCCACTCCCCACGTCAGATTCGCTATAAGCAGCTGCTTCGCTACCACCTTAAGCACCGCCAGCTGCGACTGCGACCCTGACCTGTTCCAGCTACCCATAAACACCACATGGGCTCTTTCCACTGCAGAAACCCCCTCACGCTCCTTCTGGTTCCCCTCTCCTCCTCTCCCTCTCCCCCCTCCTCTCTGCTCCCTTCCTCCTACCCCTCCCACTCCACCTCCCCTTCCTCCACTCCCTTCCCCTCCTCCCTCTCCATCCCCTCCTCCCTTTCCCGCAAAATCCCCTCCCATCCAACCCCAGATCGACCCCCACCCCATACCAGGCGGCTGGACCAATGACTGAACGGCATGCATGGCCATTGCCCTTTCCCGCCACTTTCCCTGGTACACCCGCTGGTTTCCCGCCACTGCTACAGTGAACGTGTCAGGCGGGATCTGACGCGCCGCCCGCTCCGACTCTGGCGAGTGCGACGCGGCGAATCGGGACGCGGCGTACGTCCACGTGGGCGAGCCGGGAATTACCAAGAAGTTTCCAGTGTTCAAGGGCTGATATCGCTCTTTAAGTGCCATGCAGGGGAATAGGAGGGCGTCAGGACGAGCGAAAATATCCACCCACTGCTGCCTCAGCCCCTGGAGATGCTGACTGGACTCGTACACTGCCAGCCTGTCCGCCACGTCAGCCTCGTGCACGACCCACACCAGCGGGACCTCGGTGAATGGTTCTTGGGCCAATTTGGCAACAAACGGAGCGGCTTCTAACGAGTTCGCCAAAACTCCCTGGTAGCTGCGCAAGGGAGGGAAGGAAGGCCCACGAGCGGCAGCAAGGCGGAATTGCAAGGCAGACGAGAGGTGCGGGAGAGAGGTGGTGCGGGAGAGGAAAGGAGGAACGCGTCTGAGAGGAGTGATGGGGCCATGACGGATGTAGGGGAGGGGTGATTAGACATGGGATCACTGGATCCACCGTTGAATATACAGGTTTTGGGGTAAAAAACTCATAAGACAGAGAGAAATACAGGGCGGGGAGGAAAAGACTCGAACGAGGTGTGCGGAACAGTCATGAGTGGAGCGGAAGGACTTACTCCAGCCAGTCAATGTGATTTAGGCTCGTGTTGTGGCACCCCGTTACAGTCACACGCACGGCCAGGCCCCGCCACGCGTCCGCCATGGGCCCTCCTTCCTGCGCTATCACCTGCAAAGGAGAGGGATACGGGTTATTCGATGCGGGAAAATTGGAGCGGGGATCGAGCGGCGGGGAGTGGAGCACAACTTGAAGGAAGGGATTGGGAAAAGGATCACTGCACGCGTCCGCCATGAGCCCTCCTCCCTGCGCTATCGACCGCCGCGGCGAGGAAACGCAGAGAGATAGAGGAAGATTGAGAGGGGAGCGATGAGGGTGAGTGGGGACGGGGGAGGGGGAGGGAAGGTGCCATTTCCCATTCTTCAAATCAAACCCTCGTGCCCCATCCAACTAAATTGCGTCTTCTAGAATTGACGAGAACTGACGTTCTACCCGAGAGTGAACAAGAAGTCGACCCCCTTCTCCGAACTAAAACCCATCTGCGATGTTCCATCCACCTGAATCGCGTCTTGTAACCCTAACGAAACCGCACCTGCACCCACCTCGTGGCATATCCAAAAGAGTTGTATACCCAAGCCGAGAGCAAACAATTTGCGATCTCATTTCCCGCTCTCAGCCCCACCAAGATCCCCATCCAGCCTGAATCGCGTCACCGTCTCATAAGACTTGATTTACCATCAGCTACACTTACCTCAATGGCGTATCCGAGTGACTTGAGACCCGAACCAAGAGTGAAGAAATACGCGTTTATCGCGTCCCTTTCAAGGCGATTCGTTACAAGTGCCAGCAGAGGCGGTCTCAGATTGGCAGACACCTCCGTGAGCCATCGCAGCGCGCCTTGCATCTGCGCCGCCCGCCGCTCCATCAACCCTTCCTTCAGCTTCAGTAACTTCTTAACGAGCGTCGAGTCCCTCTTCGCTACAGTCACATCTTTTACTATCGCCTCCCGGCTCTGCAACTGCCTTTGCCCAAAATCAACTTGTAACTGACCCTCTAATGCTGCCGTGTCTGGTTTTTGACTCGTTGCTGAGCTGTGAACGTATAGTCCTATACTGAAGCATATGACTGCAGCGAGAACGAAGGGAAGGTACACCCATCGCACAGTGACACCCCCGGTACCCTTCTTAGCGTGCGACGAATACGAATCTGAGTTAGTTAAACTACTATTCCGGCGAACGCGGTTTCTAGATCGCTGCCGCTCGGGGACGCCGCTGCACTTGACAGGCTCTGCGGCTTCCGTGTCGAACGAGCTCGGCGCGCAGTGCCGGTTTGCGGATGCGTGCCACGTGGCAGAGGCGGACGTTGACGAATGCGACGGGCGTTTCATTGCTGACGTGGGAGATTGGGGAGCCCCTCTGGGCTCGTCTTCGCTCATGGTGGTGTTGCCAGCTCAGCAGAGAACAATCTGACGATGAGAGATGGGAATACGCCGTTGAAAGCGAAGAACGCATCTAAGTAGCAAAGACATCCTTGATTGGAAACACGAGTGTGGTTGACGGCGTGATCTACGTCGCATCGGAACGCGTCTTAAAATGAGTGTCGTCTATATGAGTTAATCACCAAACTACCTACGGGCCCATTCGGGACCCATATTCCTTGATTGAAGCGCGAAACAAGCCTGCTCGGACGAAGAGCAAATCCCTTCTGGTACTTCTGGCGAATAGTGGGAGGAGGGCGGACACTAGGGAACGGATGGTCAGCCTAGTGAACTATTTCAAGAAGACGCAAATAGTCGCCGGCACGTAACGGCTGCTCACACCGTCGGCTCGGAAACGGAAAATGGGTGCTGCTAAGCGGGTGCCGCGACTTGAACATAGGAACTGGGAAACAGAGGGAGAACCCTGAAGGTCAGAGCCTAAACGATGAAACCTCGAAGGGAGCGACGCGGCAACTTTTTAGGGGGAAAACCGTGAAGGAGAAAAGTCTGCCAAAACTCGAGGCCGCCTTGGTTCTGCCAAATGTTGCCTGGAGTCCCACCCAAACCAGAATCAAGGTTCACGAATCACGAAACTAGAGATTCACCCGCACCAACGAGGTCCCACCCAGCCAGAGCTTAGGGAAAGGCTGCTTGGAGGACAAGGTTTGCGTCTCGTAGTGGAGGCGGCAGCACAGAGGTGTAGGAAAGAAAATCGACGGCTCACTGCTGATCATTTGGGAAGTCGCTAGAAAATCGGTCGGTCATTGCGAGAGTCGAGTCAGAGTCTCGGTGACAGTTGCCGAAGGTCGCTAGCGCTGCGTGCCAAACCTAGACTCAGCCAGACCCGAACCTACAAGGGGCTTACCTCCTGGGAAACCCATGAAGCAACGAAGTCCCAAACGACGCTTGCTACGATTCGGCAAGCCAACGTCACCATGTCGCCAAGCCCAATCGTCAATCGGAGGTGGTTCATGCGTCAACAAGGAGCAAGGCGGGAAACTCTGAACCAAAATTTCGTTCGCCGGGCTGTCAGCGAGGATTTGCTTCTAAAGAGGGGTTCGCTTCCGGGAATCAGGGCACAACTGTACTAGAACAAAAAACGGTTACGACTGTTTGTATGCGCTGTTATAGTGTATCTTGCACTGCCAAAAAAAATAGTACTAGAATAAAAGCACCTCACTGGAAATAGTCTATATTGAAACATAAAACATGGCAATACTCTAGACGCTACGTGGATCCAGCCGCTTAAGCAGATATTCCACCTGCACTTTCTTTGTCAATGGCATTATCCATTGCCCGTAGAGTCTAGCAACCACCTCTGGTTGAACCTTGAAGCTTCCTTGTGGCTGCTGAGTTGTAGCTGGTCCATCATTCACCCCCTTAGCCGGTTCAATAGGACACTCTATATCCTGTCCAAAAGTTGCGGCCTTTCTCTCAACTCGGCGTTGGACCGCAGCTTCAACATCATTGAAGGTGAGCAACTGCATCAGCCCCTCTGCGTCTTGCTTCTCAATTAGGGGTCTATATGTATCAGGACTCTCCTGAAACTTCGCCTCGGCAACAAAGGCTCCGAAGTGAATTCGCTTTGACAGAGCCTGATGGTTAGAAACGGCAAAGTATGGGGGTGAGCGAGACAAACATATAAGGGAGGAAGGTGAAAGAAGATGGAAGAAAGTTCACCATGAGGCATGATCTGCACATTCAGCAAGAAATTAAGAAGAATCTAACAAGAAAGAAACTAGCTGACCTGCAGGCAGAGTACGTCCATGGTGACCGCTGAGCCGTAATTGAAGTCATCGCCATCTCGCGTGATTTCTGGTAATAGATCGTCGAAGTACATCTTCCATATAATGTCATTGATGTTTATGGTGCTCGCTGCATCATGTAACACCTGCATTTCGGCCAGGGATGCATTATTAGTCAAAATTATACAGCTAGACAATGATTCTAACATGACATAACATGTCACACAGTTGATTGTCAAAGGAGACGTCATGCATTCGACATACTCTGGGGTAGTTCAATGGAGGCAGAATAAGCGGCGGAATGGCATCAGGGAAGAACGGCCGTTCCGTGGGGCTTGTGTAGCGCCGAACCTGGTGAAACGTGACAAACAAACACACAGCAGATAACAGACACGGAGGTGGTGTCGGATGGAGGCCAATCTTCCGTCAAACCCAAGATAACGAACCTGACGCGACGTGGACCTACTGATGGTCGGATGGAGGTTGTCATTGTACGAATGCGCACTGTAGTTATAACAGAAGCTCTCTTAGCGGAGAAAATATAAAGCTGCAAAACGTAATAAAGCTGCACCAGGGACGATTTCTAGGGGCAACATCGGGATATTGATGAAGGGTGGCAATATGCAAGCGGTGGGGATCCCTTTTCTAAGCAGGATAGTTACCTTTCCGTGTAGGACTTCCGTTTCCCGCATGACGAAATCCAGCAGCGATCCTTCGAATCCCGGTACCGGCATGGCTGACGCGTCGTACGCAGGTCTATTGCGACAGAACTGCGACCTCTCGATCAGCGAGAATATGATGCTGTCCTCTTGGCGAATTAGCGAGCTGCGGATGTTCGCCAATGTTACCGTGTGCTGGTCGCTGATATCCATGTCGCCAACCTCGCCGTCTGCGTGAAGGCTTGCGGACGGTTGCGCGGATGATGGAGTAATTTCGGAATCAGAGACAGCAGCGCCGAGGATTGCGGGGACCGGGACGACAGGAGCCGGGATGGAGGAAGTTCCGTGGTCACTACGTAGAGAATTAACTACGAGTGGTGGAATGCGGGATACGCGGGGCAAAAGCCGCTGAGACGGAAGTTTCTTACGATGGAATAAAGTTGGGATGGTGCTGCTGCTAGGAGCCAGTGGGAAGCGTGACTCAATCGCGAGAAGCATCTCGCCAAAGGGTTTATGGTGAAGTCCCACCAGCGAATCAGCAGCACCTGGTGACAGAAATAATTATACGGCGCTCATTCAGCAGGCTGAAGCTCCGACGCAACGATTAACGTCGGAGACAGCTGATTGACAAATAGAACGGCGGACAACTTGAAGATTTCAATGCTCTGCTTTCTGCTAGCGCATATTACGCTCTGCTTTCTACTATGGACGCTCATGGGCTGCGGAGCTGGATGAGACAATGCGGAAATCTCGAGGGAAGCAAGATGGATGGAAACAGCGTAACTTCCTTTTCGCCAGCGCTCTCAGCGACCACGTGGATGACGAAATGTTCATCGATACGAGTTTCTTCTGTTTTGCAAAACTGACTTCATTACTACAGTCTAAACCAGCAAAGAAGAAACATAATTATCCTATAATGGAACCAAAGATCATGACACCCTTTTGTGTCATATTCTCTTCACGTACATCCGTTGACCCTTCTCGCTTGCAACCAACATTTGCGTCTCCATCTGCCAGGCTCTTAGCTGCCATTTGTAGGTCTACTAAAGTGATGGCGTAAAAGCGATTGCCTGATTTGCCTGGTGACCTGTCCAGAGATCGAGAAGCTACCAGGCGATGCTCTCCGATGCCTGCATTCACTTCCACAGGATGCAGAAATCCCTCTTTTGGCCGAATAACTGGCAATGTATTCCTTGATTTTTCCATGAACTCCTCGCTACCTGATGAAGCTCCCACATCTGTGTCAGACCTCCACCTCCTCCTCGTCTCCATCGTCTTCCCAATCTTCTGAGAAGATGATACCGCTTCCACATCCTCCGCAGCAGCTCCCAGGCTCTTCACTCTCCTCTTCCTGCCTCCCTTCACCACGCAGTCAGCTTCAGAATTGTCCTGCAGCAACTGCTTCGCCCAGGCACTCCTAGGGGCCATGGACCTTCCTCCCCGGAGGGGAGGCACTAGCTTCAGTGGCTGCCGGACGGTGGTTGCACGCCTGCAGCTCTTTGGCGATGCTGTTGTGGCTTGCTCCTTGTCCACAGCTTGAGGCTGAAATGGTTTGGAAGGCAGAGGTTTACACGGTTCACATCCGGGTCGAATTGCCTCTGTTGAATGTGTTGGTCCTGCTGCGGATGCTGACAGCACTCCAGATCCCTTCAGCTCCAGAAGACATTCTGCATTGCCTTCTGCATGTCCTGCTTCTGGAATTTTCCAGGAATATGCAGCCTTAACCTGACCAGGCGTCAAGTCATGACAACGTGACATGTGGACTTCTTGGCTGCATGGAACATTCAGGTCCAGAACCACAACCCGCTCTGACATGTCAGTGCTAAGGTTCATGGGAGGCTGGTTGGCAGATGCTGCTGAAGAGTCCTCTTGTACCATCCCCGTGCCGTCATGATGCGACTCGGAAAAAAACCTACGTCTCGCAATGTCGTCATTCCAGAAGGGTTGCACAGCCGCGTGATGTAACACTGCGCCATGATGTGACATTTGATCGGAATGTACCATGTAAGCGTGCCGACGCATTGTGTCTTCTTGCAGTGCCGTGTGCATTCCATGATGATGCAACCCAGCTTCCCTGAGGGCCGTTTCGGATAACATGATCGTATGTTTGGAGTTAGGGCTGAAGTTGTTGGGGCTCGCGGCGTTGCTCTGATCGCTCATAGTACTTCCAGTTCCGGAGCAGCCCGCACGTCCGTCGAGTGAGGCGATCAACTCCACGTCTTCTTTTAGTGGTTCCCACGGACAAGAATAAGGTCTTGACGAAGATGCGCTGCAGAAACTCATGCGGAGAGAGGTGGTTGGTGGGACAGTAGAAGTCTAACCGGTATGAAAGAGTGTGAAATTGCAACTATCACACGTCAGAGGAGACCTTAGTTGCTCTGATCGGACATGGACCAGACACAACGGAGGCAGGAATTAAGGCCGTGCTGTCTGCTGGTAGGCAGACGGGTGGACGAGAAGACTAAGTAGCTGGTTCCCACAAAATGTTTGGTGAGACAATGCGAGTTTTCGTCGATTTTAGTATATCGCCCGTCTGTCAGACCGAGCGCACGGCATAAGCGTCTACGCAACATTGTGAACCCGCTGGCTGCATGGGATTCAAGCATCACGGAGAATCTGAAGGGAGAAAATGCCGGTGAGGCTTTGTCGTGACGGATATTGGGATCTAGATCTGACGCTTTGATCACCCAGTTCCGTGACGGTTGCGCGATACTATGCTGAGTCATTAGGCACATGGCATCGGCGAACAAAAAGACGGTGAGCTTGGCGCTAGCGCGATGACTTTCCATAGCCGCTGAGGCCAAAACGACATTCGACAGCCGCGCCTGGTGTGAGTATTGCCACACGACAGCAAGCGAGGAAGATTTGGTTGAAAGAAGCTTCATGGAGTCAGCGCGCACGAGCATGAAGGATCAGACTTGGTGAACGTCAGCAAATTTCCTCCAATCTAACTCATCCTGATCGTCGCATCATCCGTGGTGCGGATCGAAACTCAAGTGCAAGTGACGCCTACTTTCTCACCACGGAAACGGACTGGCGCACATGCCGTTTGAGAAACTGCGCGGGTTGCTCGAAACGCAAGAGGACAAGATCTATTGATAAGCTTGCTCCAAAGCAGCACCGCCTTAATCTCCCGGTAGTGGTGCAACTATCTTCACTTCCCCTGCGTCCATTATCTTCCAAAGTGCTGAAGTTGAGGATCAGGTTTGAATGCTCTCGGCATCTTTCCTAAGGAGGGTTTGGACACGATTTCCTGGTTTCCGAAGGGTTAAAACGAGATAGCTGTAGGTGCATTGCGGTAGCAACTCGATCGCGACTGGTTGATCCTACTGCAGATGGGAAGGCACGTGAACGATGTGCTACCAATTCTGGATAGCAGGAGGCACGTGAACGATAGCGTGAAGAGGGACGCTGATGGTGGATTTTGACAATCGCGAAAATCGCATTTTTCATATATTCCACTGTAGACACTGGCGTGATTTCCGTTGATACAGCAATGTAGTACTGCTGTGTCGTAGAGGCTTTGCAGTCTCTAACGAGGATTTCACTTCGTGTCCTCAAAGGTCACCGCCATTTTAGGCCAATCACGAAGGCAGAAACCCTACTGGTCTCCTAATTCGGGCGTGCTTCTAGAGAGAAGTATGCTTTATGTAACAACTGTTTCACAAATGCATCCACACCTATGAAATCACGCCCTCAAAATTGACCAAGGTTATCCAACTATTATGTTGGGTCTCATGTTTCATTGATCCTTTGAAACAATAACAAAATAAGGTAGCACTACATTACAACACCAGAACCCGCATGCCCGATGTGGGCTCGCGACTAAATAATCACCCCCCCTCCCAACCCCTTCTACATATCACCCTTTCCCTTTCCCATCCCTCCCCAACCCAGTGTGAAAGGTTCCCCTTGGTGTTTGCCACATCAAACAGCTGGCAGACTCCTTGGCCTTCCCGCACGCCACGGGCTGCCTGCAACGTTTGGGGAAATCACCCCCTTGGGACTTGCCTGGCGGGGACTGGGCAGACGAGGCTTCTGGTTACCACCAATAGAGGCTCTTGATGCTGCACCACAAGCCTGTGGCACCTGGTTACAGTCGCCATCCATGGTTACAACAACTCGCACAGCATCGCCAGCGTTCATGTCAGCGTTGGCTTTCGGAGAAGAGGAGATTGACCTTCTCTTGAACGCACCATCGTCGAGAGTCCCTGCGCTTTCACTCCGTTGGAATCGCTGTGGCCCAGTTGTGTTATTAGCAGTGCTCCCAACCCCCCCGATGGAAGCACAAACTTGCCCACCTAAGCCCGCCCGCATGTCCTCAGCAAAGAAACCCGCCATGTCATGAAGATCAAGCACTGGGCGCAGCGCTGCAACCACCTCGGACATTTTCGGGCGGCGCTTGGCTTTCTTCTGCAGGCACTCTTTGACGATCGCTGCGACCATTTGTGCGCCGCGAGCGGAGTACCGGCCGCGAAGGGCAGGGTCCATTATGCGGTACAGCGTGGAGGGCGCGGAGAGGTAGGGCGAGGCCCACTCGACAAGGCTCTGCTCCTCTCGCGGTCTGGAGAAGGAAAATGATAGAAGGCAGGTGGAAAACCAGGTTAGATACCTTTTTTTGGAAATGATGAAGGCAGGTTGTGTGAAGCAACAAACGTGTACGGAAGAACTCTGCAAGGGGTTATTGAATTTGGAAATAGGGATTGGAAGTACCTTTCTTTGTCCAGCGCCAGCCTTCCCGTCATCAGCTCCAGAAGCACCACGCCGAAGCCGTACACGTCACTCTTCGTTGTAAGGTGCCCCGTTAGCACGTACTCGGGGGCCGCATACCCCACAGTCCCCACCACCCGCGTTGACACGTGAGTCTTTTCCCCATCGGGTCCTTCTCTCGCCATCCCAAAATCCGATAACTTCACTTCAAGGTCGTTCGTTAACAGAATATTTGACGTCTTGAAATCGCGATAGATAACTTGATGCTCTGCTTCCTCATGGAGATACGCCAATCCCTCCGCGGCGCCGAACGCGATCTTCAGCCGTTGGTGCCACGTCAGCGGATTTGCAAGCGCATCCTCCCCGAAAAGCAAAAACTCGAGCGAACCCCGGGGAAGGAACTCGTACACTAGCAGCCGTTGATCCTCCTCGGCGCAATATCCAATCAGGCAAACCAGATTAGGGTGTTCCAGAAGCCCGAGAAAGCTAACCTCCGTCAACCACTCCCGCTCCCCCTGATGCCCGCACGTGTCAAGCACTTTTACGGCGACAGGGATTCGCCGGCCGCTCCGTGTGGGAAGGTAACCTTTGAAAACCGATCCGAACCCACCCTCGCCGAGAAATCCCTCGATATCGAAATTTCTCGTCATTTCTTCCACTTGGGCGTATGTGAAGGGAATCGGGCCGGCCATCGTTCGTTCGGGTAGACCGTCCTGTGTGGACTGGTAACCAGGTAACGGCTCGCGGACCTCGCATGGCGTTGACGAAAACTGGTTGTGCGAATTTGAGCGCGGCGAAAATTCGCTAGAGGGTTCGCAGATGGGCATCAAGACGCCAGCGTGGTGGTGCATGCCTGACATGATTGGCGAATTCGCGAGTTCTGGTAACGACTTGGACTTCTCCAGCAGGTTAGGAGGACTTAAAGCGGGGTCCACTGTAACGGGTGTGACTTTCCGGATCGGTTCTGCTCCGGCCGCGCTTTTACTCTTCACGATCTGGCGATCCGATGACTCTGCGCCGTTGATCTCAGTCGAGGCTGACGGCGAGGATGCGATGCTGGATGAGCTGGCAGGGCTACACGTGGAACTCGACCCTCCTGACGTGGCAGGGCGCAGCCAGCTGGACGATCGCCGGGATGTCGCCGACGACGCCTTTTTCCGGCTGCGAGGGCTCTGCGACGCACCGCTAGAAGCCGCTTTAGCGGACGCGGCAGGGGAGGAGATTTCCTTAGGGCTTGGCAGCAGCTGCGGCTTCCCGCCAAAAGCGGCGGCAGATGCGGCGGCGTCTTTCGGCGGATACGCTGGCGGAGTGGACGGCGCGGACCGTGGGCTGTTCGTGGCGGAAAGAGCGCGCGCGCGCACCTTGGACATGGGCGCGGACTCGGAGCGGGAGAGGAAGCTTCCTCGCGGTTTTGTGGTCAGCGGGGATTTGCACGTGGCTGCAGCTGCACCCGTTGATCTGCTCACGCGGGAGGGCTGCGGAGAGCGGGGTGAGTCGGGGCCGTCGCGTTCGGGAGAGCAACCCCGCGAGCTGAACCCGAAGCAACCCATGGTAAAGTCAGGGCGGTCGAACGACACTAACGGCTTGAAAGCGGTGCTAAGTGCCTTGGGGATGTTTCGGGGAAAGGATTGCTTGGGGAAGTGATTGCTTGGGGAAAAAATGGTCAGGTTCCCTGCACGTTGGGTAAAGATAATAGAGCTGGTCGTTTCCACGTCAAGCTTGGCTGAAAGATGGAGAGGCCTGAGAACCGAGCAGGGTATTTATGCTCGTGGGGCAACGGAGAGGGGACGGTACGTGTGTGACATCGGCGGAGGGTTGCGATGGCCGTCAGATCAGGAGGGGAGAGGAGGACGAGGAAGAGGAGGAGACCTGTGAAGAGCTGTGCGAGGAGCTGTGAGAGCAGGCGAAGCAGCGTAATTGCCGGAATGCTAAAAGGAGGAGAGAGGTCCGGGTTTGGGAGGCGGAGAGGCGGAGTGAGGGAGTGAGAAGGAGAGAGAAGGGGAACGGGCACGGGGAAGTGGAACTGGTTGCGTTGGCCTGGGGGAACGGTGGCTTTGCTGCGTTGTCGCATTGAAATTGGATCCATCGAAAAAGAGTTTTTAACGGGAGCGCCGTCGGTGGTGCTGCTGCTGCTGCTGCCGCTGCCGACTGAGTCTGCCTTGGAAGAAATTATTCCCACGACTTCTTTTCAACCAATCGGAGCGAGGAGGTGAAACGAGTGCCTTGACTTGAAGCACGCTATGTCGTCACGTAAATCAGCCGTTGGGTGGTGGTTGGTTACTCGGCCTCGTGCTTTCCGACTCGTACGGCGGTGTTTTATGATTGGAACCAAAAGAAACGTGCGAAGTTCCCCGCGAATGCTCCTAGCGAGTAGGATGATGTCCGCTTCTATCGCGTACAAAGGCAGCCGTCATTGCGTCACCTGACTCTTGGCTGTCGTGGCAACTGTTCGCCCACCCTCTACTATCTCAGCCAACCGAAGCGCGGAAAAGCCTGGAATGCCAAGAGGCACACGGCCGCGGCTCGGCGAGCAACCAGCCAGCAGCAGCCATCAACACAAAAGGCGTGGAAAATATCGTATTCACTGTGAGTGATGATACCTAGTCATCACCCGATACTACCGAATCGAACCTGCCTTTTCAACATGCTTCTGAGCAACCGCGTCGGACGGTGTATGCGTGCTTCTGTGCTGCTGTTCTGGCTCTGCTGCTTCGCTGCCTTCCTACTACTGCCTGCCTGCCTTGCTACTACCGTCTGCCTGCCATAGTACTAGTAGAGGAGTCCAAACGGGTAAGGGGAATAGGCGGACCGTCGTCACGGTTCGCGACGGTGGTGGTGCGCTGCGAAAATGTCGCAGGGGCTCCACGAAGGCTTCACGAGAACTGAGAGTGTCGCGTGGGTCTGGATTGACGAACCAATCAGTGACGGAAGATCCGAACGGTCGGAAACAGTTGCGTCCGCTGTATTGCAAATGTCTGGTTCATAAAAAGCTCGACTGGTTGATTGTGTTGCTGTTCTCAGAAGGGTTTCATGCATAGCATATTGCAGTAAATGAGCAACATATTTTAGTGAGCTCAAAGTAAGCTTATGTAAATGCACATATTTTTATACTTCCCAGATGGGATGTTCATTACCAAACACCATGTTCTCACTATATGTGTTGGAAGTGCTAAAGCACACATGATTTTTTTTCCAGTCCATCTAGTCCAATTATTATTGTTTCCGCGCAACTCTGTATTACAACTCATAACAAGTTGCTTGTGTAACAGCGCGAAACTCGACAATCCGAAACAATCCGCGCAAGGCCTCATCAGCCGGAGTACGCGTGGGCCGCTCATTGAAAATCGCTGCGAACTGCACGTGGGTCATGTCATGTCTTGATGCTGACGAGGCAGCGTGTTCCGAAGGGGCAGTGTCATTTGACGGGGACGTGTGTCAGTGGTTTGGTGGTTTGGTTTGGTGTGCCTCAAGCGGCGGTTGGGGCAGTTGAACGCATTCAAAGCAACCTTAGCCACAATGGTCAAAAACTGAGCAGGGATTTCATGTGGCTGACGGCAGTACGAGTCTGGTGGGAAATTTGTACACACCCGACTCCTTGTCAGTGGTTACTGACGGAGAAGCCTCACAATGACCAATCACGCGAAATCAGTCAGAAAAGTCGGCTTCCGAAAGCCGCCGACCTTGCTGACAGTCTCATATAAATTTCGCGATTGCCACCAACCAACAGGACAACCCTCAGCAGCATAAGTAGACCGCGAGTCTGTTACATAAACAACCGAGTTCAGATACAATTTCGAGCACACTTGTTCTGATGTCCCACAATCACATCCCAACAAAAATTTACACCAAAAAGTGCCGCGCTTAGCTGCACAACCAGATTCACGTGAAGTAACCCACACCGTTTTCACCAGCCACCCATGCGCCCTCCATCACACCACCCACCCAGCCTGACCAGTGTCCAACAGCTTGGCTCCCCCACGCCTCGTGGGCTCGTCTTGCCTCGTCATCATCGTGAAACTCTCAGCTCAGCAGCGGAATGCCATTCGTCCCACCTGCCATTTGCTGCCCGGTTACCAGCTCCATCCAACCACCTCGCACCTCCAGATACCTGTCAGATCGGAGCACCCACAATGGAGGAGGGAAGGGAGTTTGAAGCCCCCCTTGTTGCTCAGCTTGGCCTCTTCCCTCCTCGCTTCTAGGTTCACTCTTCTCGACGTCGCTTGCCTCACCCCACCTGCTCTGGCTTCGCCTCGCCGCCTTTGCTGGGCAACATTGCTCACATCACATTGCTGCCTGCCTCCCTCCCTGCCATCATGTCGCACCATCCATTCGTTACAGCGCTATTGCAGCAAGGCCGTTTCTAGGCCTCAAAATGATAGGTCCAATTTCACTTGCTGCATTTTCCCTTCGTGCTTTCTTCTCCTCCGTCCATTCCTACCAACCAAAGCCACTTTTGCTCAACCCACTCAGAAGTTGTGGCATTGGTGGCACTTTCGATTTGTCTCCAATTCAGGGAAACCCAAGCATCTCGCTCACGATAGATTTGCTTGCAGCGACTTGGCTTGGCCCGAGGAACCCTGTTCCCACGGCAACCTTGGTGTTTGCTGGCTGGAACGATCAAATTGTTCTTGCAGGCTGGCTATTATCAATAAACGTCCACCGCAAGGAAACGCTATCCAGAAAAACTAATCCACATTTTCAGTCCACTTGTAGTTTTCCCAGCGGCGGAGGTTCGGCTCGTGCCTCGTAGATCAATCTGGCAAATTCGCTGCTCGGGACGACTCTAACTTGGATTAACCATGGCGTTCTCTCAGATGAGCTTTATGGACGCCCTTCGAGTCGCCTCGAAGACCAAGGATGCGCCGTCAGCTTGGCTGCCGAACCGCCACTGGCCAGCAGAACTGACGGACCCTGCCTTTTCGCCGACCGTCAAGAAACGGAAGCCCATCACGTTTGAACCGTACGAGCCGCCGCATCTCACGTCGCTCTCGGCTCCCGACGGTGGGGTGCCAGTCGTTTCATCGCCGTCGTGCTCCGTTTCATCGACAAAGCTCCTCGTAATGCCGAGCGGGCCGTTCCGTATCGAGTCGCCTGCGTACGGCTCTTATCGTGAAACAACCTCCCAAACGTTCGAAGTTGAATCGGATCCTCCACTCCTTCGCGCTATGTCGACCCCAGCACATCCGTCCAGCAGCAGTGCACTTCGTGATGTCTCCCCGCTTCGATTGGCCGAGCCGCCTCTGCTGCGAACGTCCACGTGTCGTGCCGCCACAAGGAGCTCGCTTTCGCGAGTTTTGGGGAACCGTATTGGTGAGCTCGCTACATCCTCCTCTGAGCCCTTTTTGGCTTCTGACAGCGAACTTCCGAAAACGTCGTCGTCGAATCAGCTGACCAGCCAGGCCATTTTTCAACAGAGCAGGGCGAAACGCGAGTTTGCTTCATGTAACGACGTTACCAGCACCTGTTCGCTTGGTTCAGGCTCAGATTGGGTGAATTCCTCGGCGCTCACGTCGTCATTGCGCGGCGAAAAAGCTGGGCGATCCGTGGCTGACTTGATGGATCCAGGGCGTGTGATGGTGCCAGAGCTAGGGAAAGCTGTGCGACTTTTGCGAAGGAAGTTGTCGCAGGAGCGACAACATCAGCAGCAAAAAAACCCAGTTCCGCTAGCTACTTCGACACGGGAGCAACAGAAGCAGAGTTCTCCACCGTCGCAGTTGCTCGTGCAAGACCCAATGTCGTCTGTTTCGGTCCCAACGGAAGAAAATCACAGCCGTGAATTCAGCCTGCCCGAAATCCTGCAGTGGGAGGGGCAAGTGATTGCGAAGGGCGCCGCGCAGCAGCCCGGAGGGGCCTCGGCAATGAAATTGTCTGGCGTGGATGATAGAGCGGCAGAGGTAGGAGCGGTCGCGTGCGGGGATGCGCAGCCAGCACGGGCGGATGCGGAAGGGTTTGGCGGAGAAGTGCGCGACGAAGATAAGCTGTGCATTCACGAGCTTCTAGGGCAAATCACAGGCGAGTACGGAGGTGGCGCAGCGAGAGCCGCGATTGGGAATACGGCTGAGCGTATGGAATGCGACGGTCAAGCTTACTTCGTGTCCAATCACAGCGTTCCTTCGAATTTTACACCGTTACCAGCACCGGAAGCAGGCATCTCAGCTTCGCCAAATGTTCGCCGGAAGAGGCCCCCTCCTCCTCCCCCACTGGTCGATGTTGCGAATGTCGCATGTGCTGCTTTCGCTGAAATGTGTACCTCCGAAGGCGGTGTTGCTTCCTATTCACCGGATGAACCGGTAACAGCAGTAATAGTAGCAGCAGGAGGAACAGGAGCAGTTGTTACACCTCCAGCTGAAGCATCAGCTGCTGCATCCATAGCAGCAACAGCAGAGCTGCCATGCCCCACACCCACAGGCTGGGGAACCAACCAATGGGACCGGTTCCTGCCTGCCGAACCACCCACACCTTCAGGCATGGGGCATACTGCTGCATCCGTGGTTTGTGCTGGAAACAATGCTCCTGGAGGAAGTGGTGCTGTTGGTGCTGATGGCAGTGGCGGTCACGGTGGCAATGGTAGCGGGTTTGCCTCTTTGTGGTCAGAGGCATGGACAGAGGGGTTCAATGTGGATCTGTCTGGTTTGACTGGCAACCCTGCGTTGTGGTGATGACAATAAGAGCTGGTTCAACAATGAGCCTCCGCTCGCTCGGCATGCTTCCTGTGGTCTATCAATAGCGCTGATAATTTGCTGACATTTGCATTTGTATTAAACAATTTGGTTCTCCAACTGATATACTGCAATGGCAACCTTCAGATTTAGCGGAGCCCTTTCATTAATTTGGGTTAGTGTAATTTGATCATAGCGAAGAGATTCGTAACACGATGTTGGAAAAAAGTCGCGAGGGTGACCTCACGAGTTCGCAGGTCCTGTTTTTCCAAATGCCCCTACCGCGGTTGTCGGTGACTGGTGGCACACCAGAGCAAAAATGTCGCGCCTCGACAGCATCCCCCTTCAACCTAGCACCAATAATTTCGCATCGCAAGATACAACTTCGCAAATTCTCCCAAGCAGAGGCACGGATTCAAGCATCATAACTGCTCAGAATAATTGCTTACTCGCAATTGTCCACACCAATAATTGCGCCTACTGCTTTGCCAAGCCGCTAGAAGCGACGTTGCCATGATTCACGCCGCGTCTTCCGTTCACCTCGCCTCGCAAGCCTTTACCCCACCCATATCGGGTTCCATCCCAATTATAAAGCCAGGTCACAGTCGCTTTACCATTATCCAGAGCACCTGATTGATATTGCACTTATTCGAAGATCTTGGGGGTTCATTCTTTGTTAACAGTCGCGGGGTTCTTCTCACTATATATCGCTCGATAGCACAAAGGAATTAGCATGGCTCGCATCTCTCTGTTCTTGACTCTCGCGGTTCTCGTCGCTCTCATCCTCGCGCTTTCCTATTGCTCGCCTGCAGAAGGCCGGCTGGTTATCCCGTTAAGAGGTAAGCCGCCAACCGCTTTGAGTATATGAACGCAATTTCCTCTGTGACTACTATCGGAGGACCTAGTAGAGTCGAAATCGTCGATGTCCAATTCGCATGCGCGTGAATGCGCATGTTCCACAAAGCCTAGGGTCCAGAAACTCGCAGAATCGTGATTTGAAATATTTGCTTTCTGGCAGAATCGTGATTTGAAATCTTTGTTTTCTGGCAGAATCGTGATTTGAAATATTTGCTTTCTGTGCACCTGGCAGGTGTTGTGACGAAGACGTCAACTCAGACTGCATTCACGCGGACGACCGGCGGAATGAGGCGGCTGCTTGATGAGGATAATGATGACGACGATCATGATGATGACAAAGACGACGACGATAACGATCATGACGACCACGACGACCATGACGACCATGACGACCATGACGACAGTCACAGCGATAATAACGGCAAGGACCTCAGCAAATGCGTGGGGGAGTATAAGCGCGCCGTGCAGTGGTGCATGGTGAAACCCTTGATGGACGAGTGTAATAGGCAGGCTTATATGGCGTACGAGGAGTGCAAGAGGAAGAACTGATCTTGCATGGAGGGTGGACTTGCATCATCGGATGAAGTCGCACGAGGGAGCGGTGTGAGGAATTTTAAGGGGGCAGTGGAAGGTACGAGGGCAGCAGAAGGGCGGGGCGTCAAGGAATAAAGGGTCAGCACATCAGAGTAATAGGGAGCTGTAGATGCTGGTCTTCAGCTATGGAGGTCGCTTGATGCATTGTAATAGCAATAGCAGAGGCAGTGGTCACTCTGCTTTGTGAAGAAATAGCAATACGGTAATATCGATTAGACAAGCTGAGACACTTGCCACTGGTGACTGATCACTTGGATGCTCAAGCGTTCCTTGTTGCCCAAATTTCGAAGTCCCTAATCTCCTCCTGTGAGACTCCCTTGATTGATTCCAATCACGCAACAATAAACACTGAGCAAAATACCGTATAAGGTACAGGACACCCCTAATCAAAGGCCCCAATCTCCTCCAGTGACAATCCCTTTGTTTCAGTCACACAACAATAAATGAATGCCGTAGACATCAGGCACACAGAGCCAAAGAAAAGGTACACCCCACCGACTCCAACCATAGCTGTCGCGGGCAGGAAAAAACACCCAACAAAAAAGTTGCACACCTGAAACAAAAAGAAGCAATCAAATAGACAAGCACAAATAATAGTACCTTCAAAATATGTGGCACAGAAAGCTCAGAACAATAATGGCTAGAACATACAGCCAGACACAGCCGCCAAAGCAATTGCCAACGTACATACCCAGTTACAGTTAACGGCAATGCTGAATGCCACCCCTGCAGCTCGCACTTGCAATGAAATGTACCAGACACCCCAGGCACCCACAGCAGGGGCACAGCAGGCACAGCAGGCACATGAGACAAACTAGAGCTGAAAATGCCAAGCTACATACCCAGTTAACGGCCATGCTGAATGCCACCCCTGCAGCTCGCACTTGCAGGGGGAATATCTCTGGCAGCAACAGGCTGGGTATGGGGCCCACTCCACAGGAGAATGCTGTCACATACCTGCATTTATGTAAGGATATGATCATTAGAATCACTTTTCAGAAGGAACGGAAAACGGTCGTAACAATGGAAAACGGAAGCGCAATGGTCCCGGGCATGGTGGTATTGGGAACATGGCATGGTGCATACAATCAGAGACTACATTCATGTGATTTACCTTTGCAACATTGCCTGCTTTCCTTATCTAAAAAACTGGGAAGTGTGGAATTCACGAGTTTGTGCTTAGAAGAGAGAGAGAGAGAGCAGAACCACGCATGAATCTTACGTGATTGTGCCGATAACAGAGAGAAGTGGCGCATGGGGTTGCAGGAGAGGCAAGGACAGGACCGCCGAGAGAAACAGCATGGAGCATCCCTGAAGCATGTTCATCCATGGGTTGGGTGGAAACACCATAGAGCATACAGGGGAAGGGGAGAGGAGGGGCGCATGGGGTTGCAGGAGAGGCAAGGACAGGACTGCTGAGAGAAAGACCATGGAGCATCCCTGAAGCATCCTCATTCATGGGTTGGGTGGGAGCATGCTCAATGGAGCAAGCCAGGTAGGGGAGCGAGGGGAGGGGATTGGAGGGGCGCATGGGGTTGCAGGAGAGGTGAAGGTAGGTAGGCAACTCAGACCACAGCATGGAGCATCCCTAAAGCTCCAGGCAGCATACCATTGCGGGGAGAGAGGGAATAACTTTTGAGTCGACTCAAAAGGCAGCTTACCATTGCGGGGAGGGAGGGAGGGGATAATAATAGAGCATGCAGCATCACCTGGCTCTGCGACGTGACATAGCGCATGCACTGCTCTGCGCTGCACTGCACCGCACTGCAAGACTCTGAACTGCATCGAACCATACTGTTGCCCCGTACCATGCCAAGGAAAGAGAGCAGCAGAAGGGGCTTTCTCCCTGCCGAATCCACCAGACGAGCAGCCAGCAGCACAGCTGGCGGGGTGAGGGAAAGAACAGAGAGGAGTGAGCGAGGGATGGAATGAGAGGCTTCTGATGAGAAGAATGGGTGGAATAAGAGGACCCACATGAGAGGAGAGAGGTGGCAGAGGCAGCCTCTCACCAGCCACATGGGTGGCAGCCTCTCACCAGCCACATGGGTGGCAGCCTCTCACCAGCCACATGGGTGGCAGCCTCTCACCAGCCACATGGGTGGCAGCCTCTCACCAGCCACATGGGTGGCAGCCTCTCACCAGCCACATGGGTGGCAGCCTCTCACCAGCCACGTAAGTGGCAGCCTCTCACCAGCCACATGGGTGGCAGCCTCTCACCAGCCACATAAGTGGCAGCCTCTCACCAGCCACATGGGTGGCAGCCTCTCACCAGCCCCATGGGTGGCAGCCTCTCACCAGCCACATGGGTGGCAGCCTCTCACCAGCCACATGGGTGGCAGCCTCTCACCAGCCACATAAGTGGCAGCCTCTCACCAGCCACATGGGTGGCAGCCTCTCACCAGCCACATGGGTGGCAGCCTCTCACCAGCCCCATGGGTGGCAGCCTCTCACCAGCCACATGGGTGGCAGCCTCTCACCAGCCACATGGGTGGCAGCCTCTCACCAGCCACATAAGTGGCAGCCTCTCACCAGCCACATAAGTGGCAGCCTCTCACCAGCCACATAAGTGGCAGCCTCTCACCAGCCACATGGGTGGCAGCCTCTCACCAGCCCCACGGGTGGCAGCCTCTCACCAGCCACATGGGTGGCAGCCTCTCACCAGCCACATGGGTGGCAGCCTCTCACCAGCCCCATGGGTGGCAGCCTCTCACCAGCCACATGGGTGGCAGCCTCTCACCAGCCACATGGGTGGCAGCCTCTCACCAGCCACATAAGTGGCAGCCTCTCACCAGCCACATGGGTGGCAGCCTCTCACCAGCCACATAAGTGGCAGCCTCTCACCAGCCACATGGGTGGCAGCCTCTCACCAGCCACATAAGTGGCAGCCTCTCACCAGCCACATGGGTGGCAGCCTCTCACCAGCCCCATGGGTGGCAGCCTCTCACCAGCCACATAAGTGGCAGCCTCTCACCAGCCACATGGGTGGCAGCCTCTCACCAGCCACATGGGTGGCAGCCTCTCACCAGCCACATGGGTGGCAGCCTCTCACCAGCCACATAAGTGGCAGCCTCTCACCAGCCACATGGGTGGCAGCCTCTCACCAGCCACATAAGTGGCAGCCTCTCACCAGCCACATGGGTGGCAGCCTCTCACCAGCCCCATGGGTGGCAGCCTCTCACCAGCCCCATGGGTGGCAGCCTCTCACCAGCCCCATGGGTGGCAGCCTCTCACCAGCCACATGGGTGGCAGCCTCTCACCAGCCACATGGGTGGCAGCCTCTCACCAGCCACATGGGTGGCAGCCTCTCACCAGCCACATGGGTGGCAGCCTCTCACCAGCCACATGGGTGGCAGCCTCTCACCAGCCACATGGGTGGCAGCCTCTCACCAGCCACATGGGTGGCAGCCTCTCACCAGCCACATAAGTGGCAACCTCTCACCAGCCACATGGGTGGCAGCCTCTCACCAGCCACATAAGTGGCAGCCTCTCACCAGCCACATGGGTGGCAGCCTCTCACCAGCCACATGGGTGGCAGCCTCTCACCAGCCACATGGGTGGCAGCCTCTCACCAGCCACATAAGTGGCAGCCTCTCACCAGCCCCATGGGTGGCAGCCTCTCACCAGCCACATGGGTAGCAGCCTCTCACCAGCCACATGGGTGGCAGCCTCTCACCAGCCACATGGGTGGCAGCCTCTCACCAGCCACATAAGTGGCAGCCTCTCACCAGCCACATGGGTGGCAGCCTCTCACCAGCCACATGGGTGGCAGCCTCTCACCAGCCACATGGGTGGCAGCCTCTCACCAGCCACATAAGTGGCAGCCTCTCACCAGCCACATGGGTAGCAGCCTCTCACCAGCCACATAAGTGGCAGCCACTCACCAGCCACATGGGTGGCAGCCTCTCACCAGCCACATAAGTGGCAGCCTCTCACCAGCCACATGGGTGGCAGCCTCTCACCAGCCCCATGGGTGGCAGCCTCTCACCAGCCACATGGGTGGCAGCCTCTCACCAGCCACATGGGTGGCAGCCTCTCACCAGCCACATGGGTGGCAGCCTCTCACCAGCCACATAAGTGGCAGCCTCTCACCAGCCACATGGGTGGCAGCCTCTCACCAGCCACATAAGTGGCAGCCTCTCACCAGCCACATGGGTGGCAGCCTCTCACCAGCCACATGGGTGGCAGCCCCTCACCAGCCACATGGGTGGCAGCCTCTCACCAGCCACATGGGTGGCAGCCTCTCACCAGCCACATGGGTGGCAGCCTCTCACCAGCCACATAAGTGGCAGCCTCTCACCAGCCACATGGGTAGCAGCCTCTCACCAGCCACATAAGTGGCAGCCTCTCACCAGCCACATGGGTGGCAGCCTCTCACCAGCCACATAAGTGGCAGCCTCTCACCAGCCACATGGGTGGCAGCCTCTCACCAGCCACATGGGTAGCAGCCTCTCACCAGCCACATGGGTGGCAGCCTCTCACCAGCCACATGGGTGGCAGCCTCTCACTAGCCACATGGGTGGCAGCCTCTCACCAGCCACATGGGTGGCAGCCTCTCACCAGCCACATGGGTGGCAGCCTCTCACCAGCCACATAAGTGGCAGCCTCTCACCAGCCACATGGGTGGCAGCCTCTCACCAGCCCCATGGGTGGCAGCCTCTCACCAGCCCCATGGGTGGCAGCCTCTCACCAGCCACATGGGTGGCAGCCTCTCACCAGCCACATGGGTGGCAGCCTCTCACCAGCCACATAAGTGGCAGCCTCTCACCAGCCACATGGGTGGCAGCCTCTCACCAGCCACATGGGTGGCAGCCTCTCACCAGCCACATGGGTGGCAGCCTCTCACCAGCCACATGGGTGGCAGCCAGACGATCCCGGCCTTGTCCACCAGACGAGCAATACTGTGCTGGCTTGCTAGCTTGGAAAGCGCGAGCAGGGGAAACGCAAGTCAGAGACGACGCATATGCACCAGATAGCTTAGACAGGGCGATCAGGGCAGTGACAGCGATTCCAGAGGAAACCAGCAGAGGGGAAGACGCGAGAAGAGAAGTAGATGGGAGAGACACGGGAAACGAGGTGGCTGGAGGATAGGGTGCGACCCACACGTACCTGAGAGCTTGAAGAGTGCGATGAGGGCAGAGACTGCGATTCCGGAGGAGAAACCAGCAGAGAGGAATACGTGGGAGGAGAAGTAGACGACAGCGTTGATTCCTGAGAACTGCTGCAGGGCGAAGAGCGCTGAGCCTAGGAGGAGCACTGAAAGAGGGAGAAGCAGGGCGATGGGGAAGCAGACGACAGGAGAAGTAGACAGCAGCGTTGATTCCTGAGAACTGCTGCAGGGCGAAGAGCACGGAGCCTAGCAGCAGCACTGTGATTGGGGGGAAGGTGGGTGGAAGAAAGGAGACGGAGAGGGAGCATGAGGAGAACTGCAGCAGAGAGAAGGGCACGGCGCCTGGGAGGAGCATTGGAGGTGGGAAGGGGGAGGGAAGGGGAAGCGGGAGGGAGGAGCGAAGGGGGAGGTAAAGGGGGGGAGAGAGTAGGGACTGGTACGAGAGAGCTGCAAAGGAGGGCTGTAAGAAGGAAACCTCCTCCCCACCCCTCACCTCTTCCTCCCAAACCCCTCACCTCCTCCCAAACCCCTCACCTCCTCCCAAACCCCTCATCTCCTCCCCAATCCCTCACCTCCTCCCCACCACATCACCTCCTCCCCATTCCCTCACCTTGACCCCACCCCTCACCTTGTCGGTATTTCGGATGGAAGAGAGAGGCAGCAGGGGGCGGAGCAGAACCTTTGCTGCTGAGCAAAGGCGTGTGCAGGGTGGCGGTGGCGCCTGTTGCATGATGAGCAGCAGCAGCAGCAGCACCTGGCAGGGCTGCGACGTGTGCTGGCTCCTGTGCTGAGTGTGCAGACGTCAGTGCTGCTGGTTGTGCTGACGTCAGTGATGGTTGTGCTGACGTGAGCTCCTGTAGCACTTCTTCTGCTCCCTCCGTTCCTCTCAGAATCACTGCTGCTCGCGCTGCTGCATGCATGCTGTGGTGCTGGGATGAGATGGGAGGGCAGTATGGGAAAAGAGTACAGGGTTTCGGAATCACTGACACTGACGTGAGCTCCTGTACTGGGTTCCAAACCAACTTGAGTGTTACACTTGCATGACTAGAACTAGATAAGCTATATTTTAACGCAACGTACCAGCAGCAGCCAGCGAGGGGTCTCTGGTGCGGCCAGTGCCATGCCGAGGAGCAAGAGGCAGGGAGAGCATTGGCGTTTGTACCTACCAATGTGCTTACCAATGCACCTTCCCGCAGCAGCAAACATACCAGCAATAGCCAGCGAGGGGTCTCTGGTGCGGCCAGTGCCATGCCAAGCAGCAAAGGGCAGGGAGAGCATTGGCGTTTGTACCTACCAATGTGCTTACCAATGCACCTTCCCGCAGCAGCAAACATACCAGCAGCAGCCAGCGAGGGGTCTCTGGTGCGGCCAGTGCCATGCCGAGCAGCAAGAGGCAGGGAGGGAGAGAGCCCAGGAGGAACATGCCTCGCCACCTGCAAGAATAGGGGTGCAGTGTGGTGAAATGCGGTTCTGTGAGTGATCATCAGCCCAGCAGCGGGAATGCAGGGTATGCAGGGTCGAGCTCACATACACCCGCCCCTCACCAGCTGTGGTGCTGCTCCAGAGGCAGGCCGGCCAGTAAGGCAGAGAAGACGCCTGTGCTGGTGGAGAGCAGCAGTGAGAACGACTGACTTGAGTGCGGTGCAGTGCGGTACTGTGAGCAACAAGTAGTGCTGCGACAGATGCACCCGTGCCTCACCAGCTGTGGTGTTCCTCCAGAGGCAGGCCCGCCAGTAAGGCAGAAAAGACTCCCGTGCTGGTGGAGAGCTGAGCTAACGTGCCCCAAGTCCCGCGAGATGAGGTGGGGGTTACCTGCAGTGGGGGGCGGAGAGAGGTGGGAAGCGGGAGAAAGTAGGGGGGATGGGAGAAGGAGAAGGGAACGGGAAAGTGGCCTCACGTGCCCCAAGAATTGAGTTGCGGGCTACCTGGAAGCATAAGGTGGAGGGAAAGAGGGTGCAGTAGGAGGGGTATTTCAAAAGAAATTGGAAAGTACCTCAGATGCAGGCGGAAGGGAAGTGAGCAGTGCACGGAAGAGGGCGTGTAATTACTGATAATGTTTAATAATTACTGATAATGTTAAAAACAGGCTAACTTAATCACTGTACCTCTGATATGTAGAGAGGAACAGTGCCAGATACGATCCCTAGCCCAACCCCAACAAGCGCTCGGCCAATCACCATGTGCCACGTGGCAGATGCTGCAGCACTGCGCTGCAGAGGGGTGGGTGGGGGTTTTTACATTAAGATAGTGCAGTTCAATGCGGTTCAATGCAGTACAATGCAGTACAATGACGTATGAAGAGGTGCAATGAGGTGAAATTAGAGAGTGACATAAAGAGTGATCTTAAGTGCAATAGATCGAATGCGAGAGGCACAGGGAGGGAGCAAGAAAGTATGAATCAATGGGGCACCAGTCACATGTATCAGTTATCCTGCTTTCGCCCCTCCCGTCCCCCATTCATGGCCCCTCTTTTTCCCCCTTTCCTTTCCCCCCTCATACCCATGTTATCGCCTCCCAACAACCCAACCCTTTCCCTCCTCACTCTGCGCCCATTGACCACACATGAACCTTCCCCACCACACACCTGAAAAGCGACCCAGCAATGAACGGCAGGGCGGCAATCTGAAACGCCCGCCTCCTCCCTGCCACGTCAGCAAGCCACCCCCCCAGTGGCGCTCCCACTGCTGCCACCGCCAGTGGAATGCTCACAATCAAGGCTGCATGGATGGTGGTGGGGGGAGAGTGGGGGGGAGGGGTAACGAGGGGGTTTGAAGAAGGGAGGTGGGGAAGGAGAGTGGCTGCCTCAGCAAGCAAACCCCCAGCGGCATCCCCACTGCTGCCACCGCCAGTGGAATGCTCACAATCAAGGCTGCATGGATGGTGGGCGGGGGGAGAGTGGGGGCGAGGGGTAACGAGGGGGTTTGAAGAAGGGAGGTGGGGAAGGAGAGTGGCTGCCTCAGCAAGCCAGGCCCCCAGCGGCGCTCCCACTGCTGCTACCGCCAGTGGAACGCTCACAATAAGGGCTGCATGGATGGTGGGTGGGTACAGAAAGGGAGAAAGGGGGGGAAAGGAGAATGGAGAGCGGGTGAAGAATAGGCCAAGAAATAGAGGATAGGTTGGTGGATAGAAAACGGAGGGACAGCGAAAAGGGCAGAGGGAAAGCGAGATTAGGCTACCCTATGTGCTACTTAACAACATGCTACGTCCATGCTACTTACCTGCATGCGACTTACTTAAGTGCTACTTCCTTACGGACTTTTGATCAGCATCTGCCACGTGGCACATATATGCGAGAAAGGGAGGTAATGGACGCGTTGAGGCTACTCACTAACGTTCTATGATTCTACCTACTTGCATGCTGCAAAAGAGCTACTAGTAGCTTACATGCTGCCATGCTGGTTGCGGGTTGGTGCAGGTCAGCAAGGAGGAACAGCAGTGACGCGTGGCTTACATCCTGGTTGCGGGCTGCCATTTACTTACTCATGTCCTACTTGCTTACATGCTGCAATAGAGTTACTACTACTAGCTTACATGCTACCATGCTGGTTGAGAGTTGGTGCAGGTCAGCAAGGAGGAACGGCAGAGACGCGTTGATGATACTGGGTGATGCAGCGAGGGAACAGAATGGTGATATGTGAAGGCGTGGAATGCATGCGATGGCATGATATGTGATGGGGAATGCGATGGCGAGAAGGGACAATGACCGTTGGAGAAGAGGGCAAGTCGTGCCATTTGATATGTCACGGGGAATGACACTGGCGCGAGGCATTGCTACGGTAAGGAGAGGTGCAGAGCGGTGGAAATGACAAGGGCACTGGAATGTCGGGGTTCCATACAGCATGTAATGCCCACTCGTGCGATGAACATCAGGCATGCAACATAGAATATCATGCACAGAAAATATTAAAAGTATGAGGACCGGAGAACCAGTAAAACGGTACCTGACATGGTAACCAAACGAGAGAGCCCCACAGCAAGCGACGAGAACAGGCAGAGCCACCCCCGCCCCTCCGTACCGTCCCTTCCCCACTGCTCTCCTCCCCAACCCATAGCTCCCTCCTCCCAAAAATCGGCCCCAAAACGAGCCTTTTGATCCTTTCCTTTGAGAAAGAAACGGCTCTGTAGCCGCTGCTGACTCAGGAAACTGTTGCGTAGCCGCTGTTGCTGGTGATGCAGCAGCGGGCGAAGGTTGAAGCAGAGTTATTGGAAGAGGTTCAGGAGAGTGAGGGTGTGCGGGAGGAGTGGGAGAGAGCGAGGCGTGGCGTGAAGGCAAGGGGAGTGACGCTGCGAGAATGAGCTTGTGAAAGGGACGATCCTCCTCGGGGATTGGCTCTCCGTCGCCGTTGGCTGCCGTTTCTGTATGCACCCATCATGCAACCACCCATCATGCAACCATCCATCATGCAACCACCCATCATGCAACCATCCATCATGCAACCATCGGTCATCATACAATCATCCATTATGCAACCATTCATCCATCATGGAACCATCCATCAATGCACGCACCCAGTCGTGCAAACATGCACACGTCAACACACCATTCCTTCCATGATCCAGCCAATGTGCAACGATGCATCCGTTTATTCAGACATCCGAGAGCATTCCAAAAAAATCAGGTAGCTAAAATGTTCAGGGAGCTGGTAAGGACCACATGGCGGGAACCTTCATATTCTGGATTTAGGAAAATTACAGACTAATTGCCGAGCTGTGCGGCGATTAAGTTGTCGTTGGGTCCGTACCTTCTCCCATTCCAATCAAATGGCTAGTCGCTGTCGTTCTATGCCTCGCAGGCGCTGCAAATTCCCGACAGCTGCTGCTGCTGCTCGAAGCACCTCTCGCGTTATCGATGCTGCTTCCAGCGCGTACATCCCGAGGATTGCCATGTCTCATGCTTCCGTCGCAATCCCCTCTCTTGGTCTATGCTTTCTGCGATAACCCTAACCGCAGAACAGCAAATGTCGCCTACACGTGTGTTTCCTTGCGGCTCCGTAATGATCGCAACGAACTCGAGATCATGTCACACAACGAACTTCGATTTCATGTACTCGAGCTTTACGGATTCCATTGTCGGAGTCAGCCGCTTGCAGACCCAATTTCCTCGCTGCAGTCAGTCGCGCTCCAGTTTATATCCGTTCATTTGCGTTTTGTAGACCTCTCACTTTGCTCTGTAGCATATTGTTGTTATGTGGCTTGTCCCAAAACAAGAATGTTCCACATGTACATACAGTAGTGTAGTTCAGCCTTGATGCCCAGCTCGGAGTTTCCTTGGCTTGATGTCATTCACACCAGCAGATTTGGGAGCTGATGGAGCAAGCACAGTTTGCAGTGCCACGTGGGCCATCGTCCATCACGAAACGGACGCACGTGATTCACGCTGTCTCGCTGGTTCTGCCCATTTTTATATTCCAAAATCCCCTCCCGCTTTATTAGACAGCTGGAAACCCTGACAAAGGCTTGAAACATAAAAACATATGACTTCCTGTGCAGAGCTGGTCAGAGCGCAAGTTTTACCAAGTGATTAGACCCCACGCTTGTTTAGGAGGAGAACTGCCTTTTGGGGACGGACTGTACAGTGCAGTATTATACTGTAAGCTCGATTTCTTTACCAGGTCAAGCACTCCCTCCAGCTTGATCTCCCATCCACGCACGCAAGAGGGTCAAGCGAGAAATATCCAACTCAACACTCAACATTGCCCTCTCCAATCAAGACGCGGTCATGAAATATCCAACTCGTTACTGAATCATTCCCGTCCCGACCCGACTGCTTGAACTAGACCTGTGAACTGTCTACTGTACCGTATCCTTGCTTTCGCAACGCAAGCCCTCCGCCCACACCTTACATTCCGAACCTCCTCAACTGCTCAATGTCCAATAACACCCAACCTAACCGCCCCAGAAACCTTTCAAGCCTTTCAACAAACCTCCCGACGAATCTCCTTGTCTTCCGCTTCGCCTACTCCCCACTCATCCACCCCATCCGTGGATCCGCATTCCATCCCGTCCAGTTGCCTTGCCCACTTTCATTGCCATCAGAGTCGTCTCCAAATCCCGTTATTCTCCCCTCCAATAACTCGCCCACAGCCAGATTCCACTTGCGAAACCAGCAGGCAGCAAGAAGGAAAGACACTTGCGTCTTTACGCCTCCGTCCATTGTGTCAGGCGCACTTGTGTCCAGAGCATTCAGCAAGTCTTTTTGTGTGGAAGACGAGATAGGCCAGTTGCATCCATTGCTCAGCACGAGTTTTGGTTGAGCCAGACCTGGAAGCAGCAGATGTACGAAACCGAAAAATGGTTCAGTGCGACTGCCTGTGGCAGTCACAGCTGTTCTAGGGCGAGCCTGTTCCTCCACCGTTTGCTCGTCTCTGATCCACTGTCTCTTCACCGAGAGTTGCAAGAGGAACACATACCCCGCGAATGCTGGAGTCACCTGTCAGATGTCCCGTTGACGTAGCTCGCTTCGCCAAAAAGCTTTTGCTCAGCAGCAGAACCACCCGCTAATGATCTCCCGTCTGCTTGACCCTAAATGTGCGATGCGCAGCGAGAGCTGCTTCTCAACGCAGCAGTCAACCAATCAGGATAATCCCGTCAGCTAGGTCAATCCATTCCCCCGTCTGGCAGTAGACAGATGCAGCATACGATGCGTTCCTCCTTTGAGACGATAAACATGCGACACGACTCGACGAATTCCTTGCCCCAATAATTTCGTCCAATGAAACCCTCTGAAGAATTGCTCGTCTACAACTGGTTCTCGCACCTGTCGCAATCCCTGCTTCCTGGATTGAGATTCATCGCAATCGTCTCCGTGATGAATCTACTAAACTACTGATATCACAAGTGCGTGCTGCCTAGTAGAGTACATCACAAGAACTCAGATATCAAAACTGTCGGTCTTCAGTCTATACTATGCATGGAGCCGTCTCGTGGCGACTTACGGCTCGCGCTCCGCTCCGACCTCCGCCTTCGCCGCTCCGGCCGCTTGGCGGAGCGTCAGCACACCGTCAAAATTTTGGGTAGGACGTACGGGCAGCTGAAAAAACACTATCAATTAGGGCCGCAGCTCGGTTGTGGCGCGACGGGCTCGACTTATCTCACCCAGTGCTTGCGGCCCGGGCAGCATTACGGGCAGCTGTACGCGTGCAAGTCGATCGAGAAAGCGCGGCTCGCCGAACCGGAAGATGTGGAGGTGGTTCGGACGGAAGTGGCCGCAATGCAGGTGCTACAGGGCGCGCCGCAGGTGGTGCAGCTGCACGACGTTATCGAGGACGAACAGGTGTGGCTGGTGCTTTTCGCCAATGCTATTAGCCGAAAGTGTTTATCGCCAACGTTATTCGCGAATATTCGCCTACGTCTCCCTTTTCCCCTTTTCACTGTCCCTCTCCCACCTCCCGCGGTGCATTCCAACCCTGCGAGTTCGACACGTCGCAGGCCGTCCACGTCATCACGGAGCTATGCGAAGGAGGCGACCTGTTTAATCTCCTTCTGATCAACGGCCGACTCCCGGAACGCACGGCATCGCACGTGGTTAAGACGCTCGCCGAGGCGCTCGTTACCTTCGAGCGCGTCGGTCTCGTGCATAGAGACTTGAAGCTCGAAAATATCTTCGTTTCCGAGATCGCTAGCACGGAAATCACATTTTCCGCGAAAAACCGCGGGGACAGATCTGGCGACGGCTCTCACGACTACTCTTCTCTGTGCGTTGAACGTGTCGAATCTCAAGGCGCCTCCACTGGCGCTGGCGCTGGCGGCTTGGCTGTTGATAGCAGCGGTACCAGCAGCTCATGCGCAAGCCCTAGCAGCCGTAATATTCATTTTTTCGAGTCGTACTGCTAAACATGACAGCAGACGGAGCGGCAGCTTCGGCAGCAGCGGCAGCAGCAGCAGCAGCGGCGGCGGCGGCGGCGGCGGCAAAATCGCCGCTAATCACGCTCAGGCCAGCAGCTTCCGAATAAATGATTCGTCGACCAATAGCAGCTTCAGCGCCTGCAACGGCGGTAGTTGTGGCAGTTGCTGTTACTGTCGCACGACTGGCGTCGCGAATAATGGTAACGACTCTTCGCCTGCCGACCTCGCTGGACCGTTGCTAAGCAACCGCAGTGTGCCTGGGAAATCCGCATCTGCGAATAAGGTTGAGGCGTCCAGCGGCGAGAGGGGGCGAAGTGCAGCAGCTATCAGCGTTCGCGTTGGCGATTTTGGGGTGTCCGCGTTCGTTAAGCCTGGCGAAAAGCTGCATTCGGTAACAGGGAGTCCGTATTACGTAGCTCCCGAAGTTCTGGAAAACTCTTACGGACCCGAAGCTGACGTTTGGAGCCTAGGGATTGTCGCGTACATGTTACTGTGCGGTTACCCGCCTTTTTTTGCCGACGAACCTGATGCCATTTTTGAAAAGGTCTTGGGAGGTGCAGATGCTGACGTTTCGCATGGGCCGTGGAGGCTGATTTCCGGTCAGGCGAAGAATCTCGTCTCAAGGCTGCTAGACAGAGATCCTGCTAAACGGATAAGGCCATCTGAGATACTCGGTAAGAGATTCGATCCGTTATTCTCAGTACTCACCTGGTAACCTGTTTATGCTGCCCTTCTCATGTCAAAAAATCCAAACACAAGCTTGTCACTCTTTGTCCCTACCGTTTGCTCTTTGCCCTTACCCTTTCATGCTTGCCTTTCAGAACACCCATGGCTGCTAAGATATGCATCAACAGCAGCACCCTCAACTGCAGCACATTTAGCAGGAGCTGGAGCAGGAACATCAGAAGGAGCCGCAGCAGGAGCGGCTGCAGCAGGTGTTCCTGTTCCCCATAGACCCGCTGTCAAGCCTCCTAACCCACTCTCTGTCCAGTTACCAATCGATTTGCCTCGTCAACATCCTGTGATCTCGCCGAAACAGCAATCTGCGAAATCGCGACATCTGCAGTTTTACACGTCACCACATCGGAACTCCTCCAGCATGCCACGTCATCAATCTCAGGGTCCAGTTGATCTCTCACAACCCTCTGCCAACGTCCAACGCCTATCCATCAACCCTCCTCGTCCTTCGGTCCACAATTCCCGACCCTCAGTCAACTCACCCCGCGCCTCAGTCAACTCCCCTCGAGCCTCAGTCAACTCACCCCGCGCCTCAGTCAACTCTCCTCGAGCCTCAGTTAACTCACCCGGCGCCTCAGTCAACTCAGTTAACTCTCTCCGCACCTCAGTTAACTCTCCCCGGGTCTCAGTTAACTCCTCCCGCCCTTAGTCAACTCCACCTCGGCCTCGGTTAAATCTTCCCGAGCCTCAGTCAACTCTTCCCGGGCTTCAGTCAACTCTCCCCGGGCCTCAGTCAATTCCCCCCGGGCCTCAGTCAACTCCCCCCGAGCCTCAGTCAACCCCCTCCACCCATCAGTCAACCGGAAATCAGGGGGGACAAACTATAACGGAGGAGGAGGGAATACGAAAGGAGGGGGGAAAATGGGAGGCGGGTGGAATAAGGGGAACTACACTGGAGACGATTTTCTGAGCCCTAAGGCTGAATATCAGACTGGTAATCAGCCTGATATTAAAAGTGCCTTATGTACTGACACACCATTAAGAACAGGAGCAGCAGGAGCAAGAGCAGGGGCAGCAGGGAGGGCAGGAGGAGGAGAAGGAGGAGGAGGAGGAGGAGGAGGAGGAGGAGGAGGAGGAGGAGGAGGAGGAGGAGGAGGAGGAGGAGGAGGAGGAGGAGGAGGAGGAGGAGCAGCAGCAGGAGCAGCAGCAGGAGCAGCAGCAGGAGCAGCAGCAGGAGCAGCAGCAGGAGCAGCAGCAGGAGCAGCAGGGAGGGCAGCAGCAGCAGCAGTCCCTCTCCATCCACCATTCCTCCGATCTGCTTCCGACAGACCTGCCACGCAATCAACACTTCCGAGTAGCAGAGCCTTCCGCAAGTCAGCTTCCATGCCTGCAGAAAGAACTCTGCGCGCCTCTAAGGCGCTTTCCGACCCGCTGAAACTGCCACTGGAATCGACACCAGAGTCGACTCAGCAACTCTATTCCCTTGCAGCTAGAGCTCTAGAGAACCGTCCAACTCCCCCAACTGACTCCACTCGGAAGTGGCCTCAAAGGCCCTTGACAAACTCTCAAATGCCGTCCCCGTTGCCCGAACCTGATAATTTCTTTCCTGCAATGTCAAACTGCGGATCTTCTTTCATATCCTCGTTTGAATCAGCTTATAACGCAGCCGTTGAGGAGGGCAGTAAGGCTCCCATGGGCTTCCGAATCTCCTCCCGTGCTTCCAAATCTCTGCCTGATCTTGCCCAAGTTGCGCCCACGACTAAGCCTACCGGTACCCTCGTTATCAACCAGGGTGCACCTAGGACTACCCTCAATAAGGACAGGGTGGCACCAAAACCGCCCAAGTCCAACTCGCACCACTCACACGCTTCGCCGCATACCCTGCCCGACACTCGTTCATTGGAGCAGTCAGCAGTGCTGTCTGGAATGCTTGCAGACAAGCCTTTTGCCTCTGAAGGGGGGCGGTTGATACGTGATGTGACTGTAGCGAAGGCGTCTTGTCAAAAGAGGGACGTGCGTCAAGCAGAGGAAGCCGTGACACGAAAAGATATGCGCGGAAGTTTTTCTAAGTTCTCCAACTCGGCTCTACTTGATGCAAACTCCAAGGGGCCTGCTGCTGCGCATACTGTGCCTGGAACGGCTAAAGTTGTTTCGATTAATGCTGCTGCTGCTTCTGCTGCTGCAAGTGTTGCCGATTTTGCTGCGTGTGCTTCTGATGGCAATTTCCTCTCGAGCACGGGCCCCCCACGGCATCACGGTTCCCCTTCGCTACACTCCAAGCCGGTTGCTCGCAGCTCCTCCCTCACTCTGATTTACGCTGCATTTTCAGTCTCTCCGTGTCACTCACGCAGCAGCTCCAGATGCAGTCTAGAACTTGAGTCTTCTGACTTTCATACACTGTCCAGCATAATTGCTGCGTAATGGGATTGCTGACATGACAACCATTATCACAATGTTTGCCTTATGATGTGCGTGAATTTTGAACAAATCATTATCGTTTTGCATCAGGGATTTTTAAATTGACGGTGAAATTTAGCATCATATTCGCTATTAAGGTGAAATTTATGTAGCGAATGAAGTTCCTTACCGTACTCGTTATGAGATGAGAGAACCAATCTCTTCAAGTTGCGGGCGAGTGGCAGAGCAAGAAACAAACTTCACTTTTTCACTCCTCACCTCACCATGGGTATCCCCGTTAGAGAGCACCGCGACTTTGCTACAACGCCTCCGCCTCATTGCGAGGCAGTGCCGCACATTTGGTCTCGCTTCGTCGACGCTTTCGTTGATTTCGCCGTCGGCGGCCACGTGCTCGCGGGCCGTGCGAAGGATTCGCCACGGTGGACTCAGCCTGTCCAATCAGGAGCTCTAGATCCAGCCACTGACCAATCAGGAACTTCAAATGAGACGGATTCCGTCAGTCCAAGAGACACCGTCGGGCCTCCTCCGTTAGCGACAGTGCTTCCGGCCGCGGATCGCGTGGTGGCAATCGGCGATATTCACGGCGACATTTCCAAGGCGAGGCAGGCGCTTCGCACGGCAGGGCTGATCGACGGCCAGGATCGCTGGACAGGCAAATCGACGGTTCTGGTGCAGGTTGGGGATCTTCTAGATCGGGGAGGGCAGGAACTAGCCGTTGTCTACCTTTTTGAGAAATTGAGGCGAGAAGCGAGGCAGGCTGGAGGTGCGGTGCACGTGTTACTTGGTAACCACGAGACTGGGAATTTTGAGGGGTGGTTTCGTTATGCAACTCGAGAGGGCAGGAGAGATTTTCAACGATGGGCAGCCTGGGAGAGGCTGGGGATTGGTTTCCGGGCAGCTTGTGAAGGAGGAAGGGTTTCTCCCGACCCTCTAGCTTCGGTTTCCGAACGTGTGAGGCGGGAGCTACGTGCACGGATGGCAGCATTATCTCCGGGCAGCCCGCTCCTGCAGCGCTTTTTTGCGGGCAACCCGAGTGTCCTTCGGCTGGGCAGCACAGTTTTTGTGCATGGGGGACTGCTGCCCGAGCACGTGCAATACGGTCTGGAGAAAATCAACAGGGAGGGGCAGGAGTGGATACTTTCACCTGCCCGGCGGCCGGACGGGCTGCCCGAACGCGGGCCACATTTTTTCCACACGAAAAACGCAGTCGTGTGGGTTCGGGAATACTCCCATACAGACCCTTCGATCTGCGATTGCAGGCTGCTGGAACGGACGCTCCAGATGCTCCCAGGCTCGATGCGAATGGTTATGGGCCACACGATTCAGCAGCCGGGGGGGATCAACGCTACTTGTAAAGGGAAGGCTATTAGAGTGGATGTGGGGATGTCAGAGGGGTGCGGAGGGGCAGAAGCGGAGATACTGGAGATTCGGAAGGATAGAGAGGTGTGGGTGGTGCGAGCAGCAGAGGAAGCTGCTGGGAAGCCTGCAAAAGCGCATGTTCTGGCTGGGACTGAAGTGCCGGTGGATAAGCACGGGTTTTGGGGGAAGCTGAGGGAGGCCATGGGAACAAGAGTTGCGTAATGGACGAAAGTGGGAGGTTTTACGGTAGAAGCTAAGGAAGCAGGCTGGCTGGAATGGAACCACCACCGAAATTGATAATCATGGGTTGTGTGGGGCAGGCTGGCTGAAGTACCTATGCAATATTGGGACAACAGCTTCTGCTGTTGAAGGGGTGTAGAACAGGAAAAGACATGGGTTGTAGTTTCTGGACTCTGGTGGAGAAAGGATTCTTAGAAACACTGTATGTATGTACCCTTTCGTTCATTTCACAAATACGGTAATATTCTGAAAATACCGCCACTGCAATCTCAAATGCCAAAGCATTGCAGGTAACCTGTTCCAGCCAGGATGAGTCTGCTGTACCCATCTCTGCACTGACTTGCACAGCTTTCCACCCATGCACTACTCATTAGACTCCATTCCCACTAAAACCACTTGCCCGCTGCCTCCTGCTGCTGCTAGACTGACTGCTCTGGTTAGCTTGACTTGCTTGACTTGCTTGACTGGTTCCACTTGTTCCACTTGTTCCACTCGCACTCGTGCTGCGCCCACTTGCGGACCCACTCGCTCCTCCTCCTCCTGTCCCATTCCCTGTAGTAGCTGCCGTATCCCCTCCGTTTCCTCTCAGCAGATTCAGCAGCTGCGTCATTGTTGCAAAGAACAGGTCAGATTGGAAATCCGGGTTGAAAAAAGAGCCCAAGGATAAACCTCCCCCAGAAGAGCCTCCTCCGGTGCTGCTGGGGGTGCCGCTGCCTAGCTGGATTGGCATGGGGACCGCTGGATCTGATGCTGACGTGGCAGCTTGGACGAGCGTGTTCACGATTTGGCTTTGGATATAGGCAGCAGGAGGCGGGGGGGAGGATGGAGGAAGGGAAGGGGAGGGTGGGGTTGCGGGAGTGAGGGAGCTGTTAGATTGGAGGGAAGCAGTTGCTGCAGGAGAGACAGTGCGAGGTGGCGTTTGTGTTGTGTTTGAAGCATTGCAAGAACCTGCAAAGAGGCAGAACGGATGAAGTAAATGAGAGATGAGGAAGCAGGCAACTGGAAGCATAGAGAAGAGCAGGCAACTGGAAACAAAGACAAGGGAAGGCAACTGGAAACAAGGAGTTACGAATGAGATACGTACTGGCCAGTGTTATAAGCAGGGCACAGAGGAGCAGTGCTCGTCGGAAAGCAAACGTGCTAGAAAGTCCTTCTCCAGCCATAGTCGGTGCAACGCTTGCTCAGGAGCCTCAGAAGGGTGCTCAGGAGCACAGAGCGGTGCTGAGGGCCACAGAGGGGTCCCTAGGTTCCTTGGGCGATTGGAGTGGGTACTGGGTAGTCACGAAGCCCTTTCGCCTGTTGTGTATTGTGAATCAAGCTCAGCAAGCCGAAATTGCGGAGTAGCTAACTTCCCGAAGCCCTCTGAGGCCGACTGAACCTGCACAGCCAGAACGGCAATAATAAATAAGTTTTGCTGACGGCGAGAAGGCCATGGAAGCGGATGCTGAGCTCCAGGGTCCTGCATCGGAAGCTGGTCGCTGTCATTGTCACTGCCTGTCACGAAACGTCAGTAATTTCTATTCTAGGGCTGGCCTGACAGCTCCGGCTCCCCCTCGCTTCCTGGGTCTCGTGCGACTGTGCACGACGGATTGCGAAACCGCGAGCCATGAATCCACGATTTTTATTAGCAGAGCACGAGTCGTTTGTTTTCGCTCGCTGGAAGACGACGGAAAATTCCTGCCAGGAAACATTTGACGGGAATAGTCGCGTGACTGTGACAGAGAGCCGTGCCAAACTGAGCAGCTGAAACATGAACCGTCACCATCCGAGCCACCGAAAAAAATGACAATGCAGATCTCCTCCCTGATGGTGCCTTGGAATAGCCGGAGAGGACGTTCCAGCCTAGCACAGCCGCGGAGATTCAGACAGCTTGTCACGTCTCGAACTTGTCGCGACTCGCGACAATGACTGTCGTGAAGGGACGAAAACGGACTGCCAGCATGCAGCTGCTTTCAGGATTATCCAACACGGCGATAGCGACAAGCACTCATCAACAGATAAGCCTTGGAAGTTCTAGGATGTGACAGGACTCAGAACCAGAGCTATGGCAGGGTGATGCGGTTCGGTTCGTGTGTTCATTCCTGGGGTGGTGTGGCGGGGCAGCCAGAACTCGGCTGTCACGTGTACTCGTTTTGAATTCAGGTGCTACGGTTCGGTTTGGTATGTTGCTATCACGTTAAAGAGCGATTTAAAGGTTAAAGGGAGGCAGAAAACCACCAACGCAGGAATGTGTGACACACCACCTACATACAGGTCGGTTGTGTGATAATTTCACTATTACTGACTGGTAGTCGAAATGCAAACCATTTCTGTTCATAAGGTGTAATTCTCAGTGTTGAATGACACTACCGTATTTGTCCTGTCCATGCAAGCAAATACATACCGTATGGCACTTTTTCATCTTGCTTACCACATTCCGATGTGGCATTACAATCTTGCAAGAAGGAAGACACAACTGCAGTGCACAGAATGAGGTACAACACACAATATCTTGCAACCTTATGATGCATTCTCTTTCTGAGCACGGCTCCTCCTGCTGGCCAAGCTACTCAAACTCGCCCTGCTAGCTCTACTCTGCCTGCTATTCTCACTAGCTATTGCACCCGCACTGTCCCCATCCGAGCCCAAACCACCCCCCACAACTACAACACCTCCACCGGCACCACCGACATTTGCCAAGGTGTTCCCGATCTGAGGCAAATTCACATTGCCAAAACGAACACCAGGCATGCTAACCAGCCTGCTCAATGTTGGATCGTTCAGCAAGACCGCAATGAGCTCTAGGGCAAGCTGATAAACAGCTTCTGCGGAGGTGGGGGTGGTGGAGGTGGAAGAGGTTGTGGTGGTGGCAGGAATGCTGGATGATAGAGTGTTCGGAGGAGTGGACGTTGTAGCAATTCCGTTGTTCAAGACGCGGCGATGCTGTTGTGCAGCTTCAGCGACGGAATAAAATGAACCGCTGTTTTTCGAACCTGAAACATGTGACACTGCATAGCAAACATGAAAAACAAAAAGTCGGGGAGAAGTGAGGTTGGGGAGCAGTGAGACAACGGTCTGTGAGACAGGTTAACGCTGGTGCAACAGCCAAGATGGGGGAAACATTACAAGCGGATGGGAGATGAGTGAATCGGAAGGAGAAGAGTGAATCGGAGGGATGAGGGACCAAGAGACAAATGAGGAGAGTCCCATACCTGAAAGCAGGATCAGAAGGAAGCAGGCGAAGAGGCGCATCAGCAACGCCATGGCCACGTAAGCACTTTAGGGACTTATGTCAGTTTCGTCAATCGCTCTCTGAATTGCAAGAGCTGCACAATGCAGTAGCAAACACGGAGAATATACGGTAGCAAATGTGAAAGACGCATGTGTATCTCGTTCACCGAGCACATTTATATGAAACAACAACTCAGGAATGAGAATCTGGGAGTGTGTTTGTCCTTACCGAGGCCCACCTGCACTGGTTTCCCACGAACTGTGACAGACACTGACAGGTGGGTGAAGGGCCAAACCTTTCCACATCCTCATCCGCTTTCACGTCTGCATCCCCATCCCCATCCACATCCACATCGGAGTTTCCACACGATTAGAAATCACATATCCGCGCATCTGTCCCGTCAACAGTCGCATATAAGGCGCCGGCGCTGCATGGTTAAAACAATCCCCAGGCGCAGGATCGCATCCATGGTGGGAGGGTCGTGCTCTGAAATTCGCAGCTTCCGGATCCCGACGCTATGACTGGAAGACTCGGATTCACCGTCGTGATTTGCACGCGTTACAAGCAGACAATGATCCATGGACAAGAGGCACTAGTTTCGAACTGGAAAGTGACATCCCGACAGTGACCCGGACTTGCTCGGTCGCTACGAGGCGTGGCATCATCCGCCTACCAGAGGGTCCTTCAAAATAGCCACATGGCAGACGTCGCACCGACGAAAACTCTTCTAATCGTACGCTCTGCATGCCTAGTCCCAACAACGTTTCCACGAGCATCCATCATTGCTCTACTCTCACCGTGCTTTCTGGCTAGTACCCGTCACTTGAGAGTGATGTGACCAGCCTGGTTATGGCTGGCGGAGGTTTGAGCATGACCACTCTGTATCGCGGAAAACCACTCGATATCCTTACTCGCTGTCAGACTTCGAAGTAATATGTCCCCAACCATGAATGCAAGAAATAGCGGAATATCCAACTATTAGCCCAAGAGAAAAGTCAAGCACATAATAAAACATAATGCTGCACTGCATGGCAGAAGTTAATACATCAGCATTGTTATTTCAGATCTGGCAAATATTCCTTCCACCAAAACTTCTAACTATGCCACCCTTGCTCTAATCATACTATTTGCTGGATGCCCTTGTCCTCCCTCTTCTCCTATTCTGCAACATCACAACCCAGCTCGTTCCTCTATGCAGTAAACTCTCGTGACTTCCTTAGCCAAAAAAACCGAATAGCAGTGGATCAAGCAGTGCAGCACCAATGAATGGAATTTCTGTCGATCTGTCCAGAGCACCACACCGAGTTCCTGCCTTGATTTTTACCCCTCCTCGCTCCTCTTCAGCGTCGTGCATGTGCATGGTCATCAGCTGCTCCTCACAGCAACAATCAAATAGAAGCCGCAGGTCCAAATGGTCTCTCTCGCGTCCAGCAACACCATTCCTCCTCTCTTCTGCTGTAGGGTTTTTTTTTGAAAATTCTAAAAAAAAACCCTTCCGCAGGTCCAAATGGTTTCTCTCGCGTCCAGCAGCACCATTCCTCCTCTCTTCTCCTCCCAACACCAACAAGCACCGGCTATACCACTTATCACGGTGGCAGCATCACCAGGGCAGCTTCAATGTCGTGCATGTGGATGGTCATCAGCTGCTCCTCACAGCAGCAGTCCAGAGGCAGACGCAGGTCCAGATGGTCCCGGGCATCCAGCAGCACAGGCACCGCCATGCCTCCGTTCCTCTCCCTGCGCTGCTTCGCTGTCGTGCGTGCGATGATCGCCTCTGCCAACGCCTCTTCTGAACACGAGAAGTGCAGCCTGGGGGGAAGGGGGGAACAGGAGGGTTTGCAGTGGTGGAAACGGGTGGCAAGGGGTGTAAAATGGGGGAAGGAGAGAAGGCATCCGTCCCTTGGACACAAGCCTCCATTGCGAATGGCAACGATGCATATCCGTGCCACTCAAATGGACTCACCTGAAGCCAGTAAGCAAAGACGTGTCTGTGTCATCTCCATCTTCACTCCCCTCCTTGCTCCCACTGCCACTGCCTCTCCCACTCTCATTACTTTTGAGACGTCTCAAAACTCAAATAGACTCACCTGAAGCCACTAAGCGGAGACATGTCCGTGTCCATGTCTCCATCTTCACTCCCCTCCTTGCTCCCACTCCCACTGCCTCCTTGTTTCCCCACCTCCACCTCTTGGAGAAGTTTATTTTCAGGAACATCAGCGAGACAGGGCATACTACTCCCTCCTCCTCCTGTCAACCCATCACCACCGTTCCTGATTCCAGCATCCGAAGCAGCAAAGCTGCTGCGGTTACCACAGTGATGATCATGCTCGTTACAGTCACATGCCTTGCTCCTGCTGCCACCCAGACTGCTACACTCCTCCCCCTGGCCCCTCCCATCCTTCCTCTCATCTGCCCCTTCATCCTGCTGCTTCCCCTGCAGTACCACCTCTTCCTCCCTTCGCTCCTCCCTTCGCTCCTCCCTTCGCTCCTCCCTTCTCTCCTCCACTCGCTCCCCAATCTCCCTCCCCCATTGCACCCCTCCCCCTTGATGCGTCTGCTCCATCTTCCCCCCAAACACACCCCCCTCCTGCTGAACCTTCTTCTCGTCCACATGGTGAGAATTCTCACCACACGTCTTCTCCACACCATCCCACCTCCCCTCCCCGCCCTGACCATCCAGCCTCCCCTGCTCCTCCCTCTGAACATCCCTCTTCCCATGCTCCCTCCCCTGCCGATACCCCATCTTAAGCAGCATCACCCTCGCAATCTCCCTCGGACTCAAGTCATCAAAAGTGAAACACTTGGTAACCCGTCGCTTAAACCCCTCATTAGCCTCGAAAACCCGCTGCATCGGCTCCGCATACCCCGCAAAAATCACCACCAGTTTCCCCGAATCCATAACAGTCATTATCTCCTCCAAAGCCTCTATCCCATAGTCTTTCTCTTCACTCCTCTGACACGGCATGAGCCTATACGCCTCATCTACAAAAAGGATTCCCCCCTCTGCTTCCTCGATCTTTCTCCTCGTTTTTGGACCCGTATGCCCCACATATTCCCCTACCAGGTCCGTTCTCTGCACCTCGATGACCTTATTCAAGGGTAAAACACCCACCAGCGCCAGCATCCGGGCAAGCACCCGCGCCACGGTTGTTTTTCCGGTGCCCGGGCTGCCCAGAAAAGCCATGTGTGGGGCGCGACGGGGAGGCACGGGCAGCCCAAGTGCCCGACGCCTCTGGTCTAGTAGGAGACCCTTTCCCCATGTCCTTAGCTGCTGCTTTAACGAGTGGAGGCCTACTAACGAGGATAGCTCCTTCTCAAGCTGATCCATTACTAGCTTTGCTCCGTGCACTGCCAATTCAGCCTGCAACGATTGGGGAATCATACAGAAGAGAAGAGAAAACGAAACTTTCACCTGTCCAGAAACATGTTTCTGGCCATCCTGTATGTTTCTTGCATAATGCACAAACAATACCAGGCATGCCCTCCAAACCTGCAGCCTAGTTCGCCTGCTGATGTGCCGCTGCAGCAGCGCCTGACCTTTGAGATGACTCGAAAGTCAGCACGCATACGCATATTCATACACCACCGATCCCGCCCAGGTGCCCCCACCCCACCATACCTGCAGCCTCGTTCGCCTGCTGATGTGCCGCTGCAGCAGCGCCTGCACCTCCTGGCATACAGAGCACCGTGTGGCTTTGCTCGGAAGCAGCGCCACGGGCGTGTTGCCGACCTGATGGTTGGCGTGGGAAGGAGGGACGAGGTGCGGGAGATGAGATGTGAGGAGAGGAAATGTGAGGGGAAGGAAGAGGCACCAGGAAAAGAGAAAGGAGAAGTGTTTCGTTGCAGCAGAGCCTGCCCTGCCCCTCTCGGCACACAGAACACCTGGGTCCGCTAAGAAGCAGAGCCATGGGCGTGTAACCATCCTGAACCATTCTTGACCCCTCCCGACCGTACCTTGTCCACAGCACACGGGTCTGCATTGGCTTCTAGCAGCACCGCCACCGCTGTCACGACGCCACCAGCAGTACCAGCAGCGCTAGCACCACCAGCAGCACCACCAGCACCACCACAGCCAGCACCGGCAGAAGGTGTGGAACTAAAGGACCGTGTCGCAGGAGAAGCAGAAGCAGCAGCAGCGGCGGGCAGGGAATCAAAACTGGCAGGCGACACAGGTGTGGGTGGCGGGCAGGTGGGGAAGGCAGAGCCATAGGCGCCCGAGGAAAGCAGTTGAGGGGAGAGGGGCTGGGGAGAGAGGGGTTGAGGGGAGAGGTGATGGGGGGAGAGCGGACGAGGGGAGGAGGGGGAGAGTGGTCGGGGGGACAGCTCCCCAGGGGAGAGTGGTTGGGGGGAGAGTTCCGCAGGGGTTTGGAGTGGTGGAGACGGATGAGAGGGAGAGAGCACTGGGTCTGCTTGTTGCTTCAGGTGCTGTTGTTGCTGCTTCTGTAATCCAGGTGCCGGTTCAGGTACCTTTGCTGACCCAGGTGTCCCTTCAGGTGCGGAGGCAGCTGTTCCAGCTGGCTTGCTTGGTGGATGGGCGGCAGCACTGCTGCTGGCGGTGATGCCAGTGTTGTTACCAGTGTTGCTGCTAGCGGATTGCACAGCAGCCCACACGGCGAGATGGAGGGGAGTCATGCCGTTCTGGTGGTGGGATTGGGAAAGGGGGAGAGAGAGGGAAAAGTGTGTGGGAGGGCGAGGTGGGGGAAAGAGATAACGGATTGCACAGCAGCCCACACGGCGAGATGGAGGGGAGTCATGCCGTTTTGATGGTCAGCGATGGGATGAGATAGAGAGAGGAAATGCGGAGGAAGGAAGGGGCGAACGGGATGGGGAGCTTACCGTGGCAGCAACGTCCGCCCGTGCGCCTGCTCGTATCAGCAGCCGAATGGCATCCGCGTTGCTGCTCTTGGCCGCCACGTGGATTGGGGTCTCGCCGAACTGATGGGGACGGGGAAAGAGGGAGACAAGGGGGGAAGTGAGACGGGGCGTGTGAGAAGGTAGCAGTCGAAGAGCGTCCGTGTTGCTGCTCTTGGCCGTCACGTGCACTGGGGTCTCGCCGAACTGGGGAGGGAGAGGAGGAGGGGGGAAAGGAGAGACGTAAAAAAGGAAGGGGAAAGGAAAGACGTCGAATGTCGTCCAGACAATGTAGCATTCCCTTCTCCAGAGAAAGGAAGGGGAAAGGAAAAATGCCTAGCTGTAGTATTCCCTTCACCATGTATTCAACTCATCTCCACGTCTGCCCTCAGTCCTGCTCCACCTGCTCCGCCGCACTGCCCCCTCCAGTCCAGCAGAAAGCGGAGAGCCTCGAGGTATTCTTTGAACATCACGTTTTGCAACGATGCTATTGCAAGCAGCCTCACCGTATTTTCACTCATCTCACCATGTTCCGTGCTTCCACGTCTGCCCTCAGCTCTGCTCCACCTGCCCCGCCGCACTGCCCCCTCCAGTCCAGGAGAAAGCGGAGAGCCTCGAGCTGCCCCTCCGCCACGGCGAGATGGAGAGGCGACTGACACACCTGGGTGACGAGGAGTGGAGAGGAGTGGAGAGGAGTAGAGAGGGGCGAAGAGGAGTGGCGGGGGGAGGGCGTGACATGGATTAGGCGTGGCGTGGGTGGGACTTGACAGGATTGAAACGTGCGCAGTGACGGTTGTGTGATATATTAATTAAGAGCTTTCTTTCCGTCTCTGCCGCTCACCGGGAGTTGCCTCTCGTTGATTGCGCCAGGTCTGTCATCTAGCGCGTCCCGCAGCGCCTCTACGTCCCCCTCCCGAGCTGCCACGTGTACCGAAATCCGCTTCTTGCTCCGCACTAGAACCGCAGCTTCCGGCGCGGTTCTAGTGGCGGCTCCCCCCTCACTTGCGGAACGGTCGTCCGCCGCTTCCCCCCAGTCCAGTCTCCGCCTAGCCGCGGCGCAGCACCGCCGACCAACTCTCCCCCTCCCCGCATCTCCCCCGTCACTCATCCCCGATTCCACTTCCCCCAAGCCCAAACCTCCACAACAGCCGCAAGAAGACGACGGAACCGTCGCTTCAATCGAAGCATGCTGTAACGAGGACGATGCAATGCTGGTTGTTCCCGTGCAAGGGCTCTCGATATCAGGGACCACCAGACTTTGCGGCGCTAATCGCGGTGGAGAACAGACTTGAGATACATGGCCGGCTGGATCGGTTTGACCGGCTTGACCGTCTTGACTGTCTTGACCGGCTTGACCGTCTTGACTGTCTTGACCGGCTTGACCGTCTTGACTGTCTTGACCGACTTGACCGACTTGACCGATTTGGCCGTCTTGGCTGGCTTGACCCTTGTGACCGCCTTGCGCACTGCTTTTTCCGCTTCTTTCAAGCGGCTCCGGTTGCGAGGGGACAGCACTGGACGGCGACGGCTGCGACGCAACCGCTTCGCGAATGTCTTCGCTAGGCGTTTCGCACTTGGCTGGAGAAGAGCGAGACCTGGAAAAGCCGAGGATGGTGGTTACGGCGGGGCCTAGCTCGACAGGTGGCGGGAGAGACGGGCCGTATCTAGCGGAAACTGCGGGACCGAAGGGAGCAGGTGACGGGATGATCTCGGCCGCTGGTGAACTGAGAGAAGGGGATAATGGATGGTTCAGATTGGAGAGCGCTGGCGAAATTGTGAATCTGAACGAGCCGGAATCGGCTGAGTCGGGAGACGAGGATGCTCGTTGCTGCTGCGGTTCGGGAGTTTCATGTTGATGGATGTCGGTGTGTGCTAGGTCAGGGTTGGGAGCTTGCGGGAGAAAGGATTCGAGCGAGGTGCGAACGGATTCTGTGCACGGAATTACGGAATTTGTTGAAATGGCGACGGAATCCGTTACGAAAGAGGGAGGCGAATCTAAGGTGGTGGTGGAGAGCTGGGGAAGCGAGGCTGTGCGGGAAGCGGAATGAGGAACGCTGGTGGGTGGTGAGGAGGAAGAAGTAGACGTTGAAGAGGATGATAAAGAGGAGGAAGGGGAGGAGGAGCCATGGCTAGATGTGTGCCTCCTTGGTGGTGCTGTTCCTCGCGGTGCTGCTGCTCCTCCTACTGAAGTTCCTGGGATAAAATCGAATATCGTCTCTAGCGTCTGCTCCTTAGTCAGAGCGCCTCTCCTATCCGCTACGATGAACATTCTCCTAGGAGTACCTATTCTTACTAAACAACCCTTCGCTATGCGCGCTACGCCCGCATGCTGCTACTACTCCGTGCAAGAACCGCTTAGGAACCCAATACCAAAATTGCGAGAGATGCTCAAACGTAATGACTACCAAAGACAAACACGTATTGCAAATCGAGAGACAATGGAGAGACGAGACGAGACGAACACGTATTGCAGTGCAGACAGATAAAGCCTTTCTGAGAATGCGGTATGTTTTCCAACAATTTCAGGCTACAAAAGACGCTTTGAGAAGGACAAGGCAACAGAAAGCGAAGAGCACTGCAGATGACCGAATGGAATTGAGGAAGGTGGCTTTTGCGAAAGGTCACGAAGACTGGATGAGATGCGAAGGTTAGGCGCGAAGTCCAGGTCATAGTTGTCGGTTAGATAGCCAAGATCGACGGTACGCTTTTATCGCGAAGGGTTGTTGTGGGTAGGCCTGGGCTGCGGCGAAAAGGGACGTCAAGTTGCGATTGTTTGCCCACACTCGTGGCTTTCGTGAATGATTTTGATTGTTCCAGCGACGAGGCACTACTTTCATGTCCCCCACACGTATCTTCGCCAAGCCGTCAGTGTACCACGCTCCTGTCAGACCTTGGCCGACACGGCTTGCCAATACGCGACGCGATGGAGAGGTTTCCCGCCAAGAACCAAGCACACCCACACGGCCAGCTCAGCGAAGTCAACGGTTGGTAGGATTTCGAAGGTACAACTCACTAACCTTTCCGTTAGAACAAATAGCTTACATTAGCACCTCAAATTATATGAGTTTGACTTACCTTATACGTACCGTAGTAAGGAGAATATGAATGTGCTCCCACAGCATGATGTAGGCATCATGCTGAAGTTGTACATATAACATAATGGCCTAACTTTTCGGAATTGCGTCGCATCAAGCCTCATCTTCTGCAACACATACAAAAAACATTGATAACAAGCACGACACATTAGCACAATTGTGGAAACAGGAATTCGGGAAAGTGCAGATGTGTGCTTGACACGCTGCACGACACTCACCTAAGCGTTTAAATCTATGATTGCCACGTAAACACCACCAAGCGGCAAGTATCACAAGAAGCATTAGAAGCACACTCCCCACCACAATGACCACTATCCACCAAGTGGGCGTCCCTGTAAAGGGGACACGGAAAAAAACGTCAGGCAAGAAGTACGAATCAACAAGCACCTGCAATGTAGTGAAACATGACTGCAACGTGCACTGCCAAAAAAAGGAAAAATCATGGTACAAAAACTTCGACAAATATTCACTTTCCCCGAGTCATCAGTGCACTGACCTCGCCCTCCACTGGCACTCCTCTTACCATTGCTTATCCCGACCGGTGGCGATGCTTCCGCTGCACTCGCTGCTGCTGCTGCTACTGCAGTTCCTCCTCCTTCACCTTGAACCACATTCACCTCCTCTCCCTCCTCCTCTTTCTCCAGGGACACTGGCACCACTTCAAACAGCTCCACAGCACTCAGGACAGCTGGCAGCGTGCTATTGGCTGCTGTGCGCACGCCTACCTGGTCAGGGTAAAAGGGAAGAACGAGGGCATAGCGAGAACGAAGGAGAGTTGGGGGTGGGGGTTCAGTTGGTGATCAGAAGCTTACGAGTCTAGGAACTGAGGTGGCTATATGCCGACGTATTGACTCAGCGAGAAACACCCATTTCGAACCAATGTTCTTCCAGCGATGGCCAAAACTTCAGAACTAAATGTGCATAAAAATAGGATAATGTGCTTGTAATGAGGCACAATTACAGCACCCATTTCCAGGACCTCTGAACGACCGAGGGAGAAGCGGGAGCAACCCAAAAGCAAATGTGCTGATAATGATGCTCACAGGATCATGTGCTTGTAATGTTGCACAGACAGCAGCACCCACCCACCTCCAGGTCCTCTGAACGGCCGAGGGAGAAGCGGGAGCAGCCCACGAGGTACCGTGCTCATAACGATGCTCACTAGTCAAAGTCGATTCAATGATGCTCACAAGTTAACGACGCACAGACAGCAGCACCCACCCACCTCCAGGTCCTCTGAACGACCGAGGGAGAAGCGGGAGAAGTTGAAGAGGAGGGGCACGATGAGGGCCGTGCGAGGTGGCACGTGCGAGAGAATGTCGAAATCCGAAGCTGCTTCCGCTGCTGCTGCTGCTGCTGCTGATGATGATCCGAATGCTGCTTCTGCTGCCGAGTTGGCAGCACCACCAGCAGCACCAGCACCAGCAGCACCAGCACCCCCACTCCCCGGCCCGCCTCTTCCCCCCAGCAGCCCGACTCTATTCCCCAGAGCCACCACCCGACTCCCGCTCCCCAGCAGGATGTCAAACCGCCGGTCTCCCACCTTCGCACTCACGTTCATCTCGGCGAAATAGAACCGCATGTACCAGAGATTAGACGCGTGCGCTGGTATCAGAGCCATCCGGAACCCCGTGATTTGCGCGCCTGGGGAAGGAGGAGGGGGAGGTGTGCCTGCTGCTCCGGCTGTGCCTTGGGGATCTACTCCTGTGAGCACTCGCCTGTGCTGCATGTGCTGCATGTGCTGCATGTGCTGCATGTGCTGCATGTGCTGCATGTGCTGCATGTGCTGCCCCCCGTGCTGCCCTCTATGCTCGTACTCCTGTTGTTGAACCATGCTGTTGAGGTGGCTGTGGTTTGCAAAGGGTTCTGTGAGCATCTGGGGAAGCAGGGCAGGGCACTTGGTGCAGAGCTCGTCATGGGAGCGAAGATAACTCAAGTCCAGCTTATCATGGGAGCGCCGATCACTTAAATACAGCTCATCATGTGAGGGATGATCCTGAAAGCTCAGCCGTCTGCGAGAATGCACCTGCCTCTGACCTTGCCCTTGTTGCTCCTGCCCCTGCCCCTGCCCTTGTCCTCCCTGCCCCTGCCCCTGCCCCCCCTGCCCCGGCCCCTGCCCCTTCCCATCCACTGATTGCAATTCCAACCCCCCAGCCGACCTCCAGTCCTCAAATATCATCCCAGGTAAAAACTCAGGTGCTTTTCTCGTCCCCGCAATCCCCCTCCCTCTCGCCCACCCTCTCCTCCCCGTCCCCACCCTCCCGAGCCGAGCCATCTCCTTCTCCCAAACCACGTCCGCAATCCAGGTTCGGAACCCCGGGTCCTGAGGCTCGGGCCCAACCTGCCCGCCGCCCATGTTGATCCGGAGATAAGACGAGAGGATAATATCTCGGCCGAGGATGGCAGAATCGTAAGCTTCTGAGTCAACGGGGAGGATTTCTAAGGAGTTGATAATAGGAGGGGCATGGGAGGGGTTCTGTGTGAGAAAACAGATGGAGATGGTTCCGTTGCTGCTGCTGCTCTCTGTTCCATTAATGCTCCTTTCCGCCTGGGTGAAATTTCCCTGTTTTCCTGTGTCCTGTCCCTCTCCGCCTAACCCCACTGCTCCTGCTCCTCCTCCTGCTCCTCCTGCTCCTCCTGCTCCTCCTGCTCCTCCTGATGGCCCCCCTCCTCCTCCCACTCCTGCCCCCCCATTTCCCCCTCCTGCTGCCATCCCATTTCCGCCTCCACTTCCCCCCTGCTCTACATTCCCCCCAGGGTCTGTCACTCCCCCAGGGGCATACGCCATATAGTCAGAATAGTACGCTCCTGATACAAGCCTCTGCTCCACTACACCCATATCAACTGCTTCCACTATAGTGTTTTGTAGCTTAACTAGAAAAAACGGAGGCGCGCTTTGGTTATCGTAATCATAATAAGCAAACCCTACCTGCACTAAGTATTGCCCAGGGAATACAGGAACCCTGTAGCAGCCTTTGAGTGTTGGCAAATAACGGAGAGATGCTTCTACCGAGGATAAAAGGTTCCCCAGGGCGACGTTCTGAGTGAGGGATACTGGTAACCCGTTACGCTGGTCGGCGGGATTCGCGCGCTGGTTACCAGATGTGCTTATATCGAAGTATTGGTCAGGTCCCATTGGATTCCGTTAATAGTTGTGCCGACTGTGCTTCCACAGTCAATACGGATAGGAACTGGTGTGTGTGCGGGGAGGATGTGGGCAGTGGGAGGGGGGTGGATGGGGGAAATGGGTGGGGGACGGGAAGCGATGAGATGAGGTGTGGAGCATGGATCCCGATATTAGTTGTGCCGACTGTGCTTCCACAGTCAATACGGATAGGAACTGGTGTGTGTGAGGGGAGGATGTGGGCAGTGGGAAGATACAAGGAAACAGGATGTGGGCGCATTGGGGCACAGCGGGAAGACACAAGGGCGCATTGGGGTATTAATAGTGGGTGCGATTAGAGGGACTTGTGAGTCGACTCAAATTTCGAGCTCGATCAAGCATTGGGAGAATGAGAGGAGGAACGGGAAGTTCCCTGCAGTCGAGACGGAACTGGCGTGGTTGAGGTGGTGGGAAACGGGGAATGGGGAACGGGGGAATTGTGGTGTGAGAAGGCGGAAGAAAAAATGTTTCGAAATGGGTGGAGAAGGGAGAGAATGGGGAAGGGGAGGGGGAAGGGTGGGGAAGAGTGAGTGAAGAAGGGGAGGGGGAAGGGTGGGGAAGAGTGAGTGAAGAAGGGGAGGGGGAAGGGTGGGGAAGAGTGAGTGAAGAAAGGGATGGGGAAGGGTGGGGAAGAGTGAAGTGAATGGGGAGGGGGAGGGGGAAGGGTGGGGACAGGTCACAGAAGTGTGATGTCGTACCCATGGTTGGTCGCCCGGCGACAGTTGGCGACGCGTGCGACGCCAGGCATGCGACGAGGTAGAGTAAACGCAAGCAGAACAATTCCCTGAGTGAAGAGAAGGGTGGGTGAAAGGTGGGCTGTTTCCCAGCTCTCTGTTTTTTGAGAGAGGGGTGAAGGGTGGCCTGTTTCCGAGTTCCCAAAAAGAGCGGTGGGGAGGAGCGTAACTTTTGAGTCGACTCAAAAGTCGCCTGTTTCCGAGTTCCCAAAAAGAGTGCTGGGGAGGAGCGTAAGGCGAGTGGCACTGACGAAGCGGCGCCGGGGAGCGCTGAAGAAGCGGCGGAAAAGCGGCGCCAGGGCCGTCTGAAAAGTATTCGACTTGGCGCCATTTCACTAGTCGCACAAACGGTCGAGTTCGCTTTCGTTTAATTCAGGAATAATTCAGTGCACAGTGTCGTGCACCAGTCAGCAACTTTGGTTCACGGGAAGGCCGGACATGCGACGCGAAAACATCGTCGCACGCTGCTGCATGGTCCGCACTCAACGACAACCCAGCGTTGGGCTGTCGCTAGCCTACAGGTCGTTAATCTCCTGCTCCTACAAGTTAGCCTGTTATGAATGTTATGGTTCCCCTAACGGCTAGTTATTTAGTATAATAAAATAGATGGCAAGGGTGGAAGGGTTGGAAAGTGCACTAGCAGACGGCATGTGCTGCACATTTTTTTTTTTTTTTTTTAATATCCATTGATAATGCATCTTATACGGTATTGTCAGTTACATCTTTTTCAGTTTTAAATGAAAGAAAAACGGAAAACGCAGCCTCAAGAACACCCCAGTAGAACAGCACATAAGGAACCCCAAAAGACACCCCAACGAGATACCCCCAACGAGACACCCCAACGAGACACCCCAACGAGACACCCCAACAATACGCCCCATCTAACCAAACCCCCCACCCCCCTCACCTAAACCCACCCTCTAAACCCGCATGTCCACCAAATAGGGCGCATCCGCCCACGGAGCATCCCATCCCATCTCCTCCTCAAAATCCTCCCGCTCCACCGAAACAGCCTCTGGGCCTCTCATCATCGACGCCGCGCGCAACAAGATCACACGCGCCTGAGCCCGCTGCAAAGCCACACCTATGGCCGCTTTAAGTGATCCAAGCAAGTAAGCCGAGAAACCTTTCCCCGTAGCTCTCGCCGCCCCTTTCGTCTTCGCTACCTCAATCTGCGCGTCGCCCTGTTTCTTAAGCCACCGCCCAAAACTCCCCCCCAGGCAACCCCATGTCTCAGCAATGAGAGGTGTAAACTGCACTCCCCTATGTCGCTGCAGAAGCAATTTGTAGTCCGCCGCCTTCCGCTTTTCCCTCTCTCTAGCGGCAAAACCCACCTTGCGACCAATCTGTCCATGGTGCTGCGCGGACAACGAGATAGGGTCCACCACACTAACCTCCAGCGCATGCTCCTCCCCCTCCCTCAGTCTCCGCACCGCCACATCCACCCTCTTCCCTGGCAGCAACGTGTCGTCTTCCATGGTCACGACCCCACCCGCCCCTTTAGCTATCTTCGCCACCACAAACTTAACCGCGTCGTGAACACGAGAAGGTGCGTACTGGTACTTGCAGCGAAGGGCATGATGCGGGTCAGAGGGATCAGCAAACTCAAACCCACACGCGCACTTGCCGGCGACTATCAGCTGCTGTATGGGGAGGCCTAGGCGCATGGACGCACAGATGCTCCACTCGGCTGCGGTGAAGGTAGCCTCTTCGTGCGAAGGGACGGCGGAGACCCACGCCCCTGCCCCCGGGCCCTGAAGGGATGTCAAACGAGCCATGGTGGCGTCGTCGTGGGCCATACCCCGAAGAGTCTGCAGACTCTCAACCGCTAGGCGACGGTGTTGTGTGGGGAAAAGCAGCACAGGGGGGTCAGCGGTGCATAAGGCTAGGGGTGGCATCTCCTGCCTGACCGACTGTGGCAGCAGCTCCACTGCTCTCGCAAACCAAGGATCCAGCAAGGTCGTAGCCTCGGGCGTGCGGAAAAACTCCTCAAACATCCGTTCCTCCCCTGCCACCCCCATCCGAGCCACATCGCTCACTGCCTGGCACCAACCACATGCGTACGACAGAGGGCTAAGGTCAGCTGCAGATCGAATGCCAAACCCTCCAAGTCTGGCTGGAAGGTGCAGCTGTAGACGGGCCATCTGCGACCTTGCCGAATCATGATCCCAGGTGCTATCTGGAAACAGCTGCTCAAAACAATCCTCAAGCTTCGTGTCCCAGTCGCGGAAAGCCTCCACAACCTCAGGCCGTGGAGGCATCGTCCTTGTGAGGTAAATCGGGCGCGCTGACACTGCGATCGCCAGCAGATGGGACGCAATCTGTGGGTGGTCGAGCAAAGGAAGCCAAGTGACAGGTGCATGCAGCTGCATCAGCCGGCCTCGCAAGCTGGCCACCTCCCACTCCTCCTCCCCAATAGGAACCCCCACTACGATGAGCCCCGTCCATGTTTGCTGCATGCCGGGCGGGACGGTCTCGTTCCTCTCCTCTCCCTCCTGGTCCACCCCTCGCTCCCAAAGCTTGCACTTATGCGGCTGCACCTCCAGACCAAGCCCGCCCAGTCGTTCCCGCAAGACCTCATAAGCTGCTAGCACCCGCTCCCTAGGCCCCAAGATGTACGTATCATCGGCGTAGCTGAGAAAGAGTAGGTCGGCGAATTCTTGTTTGGTGGGCTCCATAACCAGCTGCTGTGTGAACGCGAACAGAAACGGCCCCAATGGGTCCCCTTGCCTCGATCCTCGCTCTGAAGCCAAAGCTTCGACGAAGGGGCCCGCACGGAGGTAGAGGTCGCTAGGAGTGCCGTAGAAGACACGCAGGAATGGGATCAAACCCGCAAAAGGCGACTGTCGAAGTCCTTCAAACATTTCCCGCCGATGGAAGGAGTTGAAAGCATTCGCCACATCAATTTGAAGCGCGCACCATGACGGGTGAGTAGAGATGGCAGAACGAAAGGCATGTGCGAGGACTTCCACTCCCGACCTGGATCCGACTCCTAGCTGGTTACACGGCGCAAAGTGCGACATCATCTTCGGCCGAAGCACGATGCATAGGGCCCGAGATAGTATGCGGGGGAGCACCTCGCCTATAGCCACCGGGCGAACGTCACCATTCGGCTTCGACAGGCCTACAAGGTTGGACGCAGTGAGCCAGGGTCGCACGCGCTCCGCTACCTCTCCCTTGGTCCACTGGGTGAAGACTCCTAGCAGGTGAGGCAGGTATGCGGGCTCAGAGAGAAAAGTGTCGCGCAGGTGCTCCGTCACCCACCCCGACGGTCCTGGTGCCGACGCCCTAGCCGCAGAGTGGATCGCCTGACCAAGTACCTCCACTGAGAGCTGCGGGATAAGGGAAGGCTCAACTATCTCCTCCTGCAACCACTCCGGAATGGCGGTCTCGCTCGATGGGTGTTTCGCTCGCAGCGCGTCCACCATGTGCTGAGAGGGCTGAGCGATGCTACCGGCAGTAAGACACGCCAAACCCCGACTCCATTCTCCCACTTTGCACCTTGTGCAGCAGCGAGCCAGGCGCACCGCATCAGGATCATGCTCGGGGGGGGTGAAGGACAAAGGACGCGCCGCAGGTTGCATTACCGCCACCGCCAACTCAAACAGCTCCCGCCACTCCCCGACCCAAAACTTCTCCAACCGCTCCCTGATTGCCGCCCTATGCCCCTGGCCTTGCCCAGTTGGCATCCCCAAGATAAGACGAGGGAAGGCCAAAAAGACCAAGGACGCCGCCTCGTCTGCTGCCTTTAACTGTAGCCGCTTCAGGACACAAGACAGTGCATCAAGCACCCCCAATCTAGCGCGCTGTGGGATACGACGCATGATTCTCCCTGGCACCAATTCGATCCCAAAAAACGACTCCCAGTCCCATGTAGGAACTGCGGCCCATACCTCTTCACTGATATCACGTGGTGGCGGGGGTTCGCCGTCCGAGTCATCTGTGACGTCGCGGGTCAACCCAAGCGCCTGAGCACGACGCTGGGCGTCCGCTGCCCTGCAGGCCGACATATGGCGTGTGGCCTTTCCTCTCTCCGTGAACGTGCGATAACAGGTTTCGCACGGAATGCGGGGCGGGGGTGTCAATGTAGGGTCTGGGTGCTCCTCTCCACTCGAACACGCCGGCAAGACCCTCCTGCTAGACTCCGTCTCCATGCCCCCCTCTAACGGCCTTGCAAGCTCCATCCCTCCGCACTGCAGCTGCTGCTGCCCTCCGCTCTGCAACTGCTGCTGCCCTTCGCTCTGCAATTGCCGTTGCCCTCCGCTCTGCAGCTGCTGCTGCCCTCCGCTCTGCAGCTGCTGCTGCCCTCCGCTCTGCAGCTGCTGCTGCCCTCCGCTCTGCAGCTCCCGCTGCCCTCCGCTCGGCAGCTGCTGCTGCCCTCCGCTCTGCAGCTGCTGCTGCCCTCCGCTCTGCAGCTGCTGCTGCCCTCCGCTCTGCAGCTCCTGCTGCCCACCGCTCTGCAGCTGCTGCTGCCCTCCGCTCTGCAGCTGCTGCTGCCCTCCGCTCGGCAGCTGGTGCCCTCCGCTCTGCAGCTGCTGCTGCCCTCCGCTCGGCAGCTGCTGCTGCCCTCCGCTCTGCAGCTGCAGCTGCCCTCCGCTCGGCAACTGCTGCTGCCCTCCGCTCTGCAGCTGCTGCTGCCCTCCGCTCGGCAGCTGCTGCTGCCCTCCGCTCTGCAGCTGCTGCAGTTTGGTTGCCCGTCGCCTCCGGCCCCGGCCCCGCGTTCGGGGCCTTTCCGCTTGGTCCGGGGAATCAGGGTTGGCATTCTCCCCCTCCATGGGGCTTGATTCCAGCTCATCGGTGCAAGCCTCGTCCGCCATCTCCACATCCAACACCCAAACCGGCTCTTGCTGCCCTCCGCTCTGCAGCTGCTGCTGCCCTCCGCTCTGCAGCTCCCGCTGCCCTCCGCTCGGCAGCTGCTGCTGCCCTCCGCTCTGCAGCTGCTGCTGCCCTCCGCTCTGCAGCTGCTGCTGCCCTCCGCTCTGCAGCTCCTGCTGCCCTTCGCTCTGCAGCTCCTGCTGCCCTCCGCTCTGCAGCTGCCGCTGCCCTCCACTCGGCAGCTGCCGCTGCCCTCCGCTCGGCAGCTCCTGCTGCCCTCCGCTCTGCAGCTGCTGCTGCCCTCCGCTCGGCAGCTGCTGTTGCCCTCCGCTCTGCAGCTCCTGCTGCCCTCCGCTCTGCAGCTCCTGCTGCCCTCCGCTCTGCAGCTCCTGCTGCCCTCCGCTCTGCAGCTCCTGCTGCCCTCCGCTCTGCAGCTCCTGCTGCCCTCCGCTCTGCAGCTGCTGCTGCCCTCCGCTCGGCAGCTGCTGCTGCCCTCCGCTCGGCAGCTGCTGCTGCCCTCCGCTCTGCAGCTGCTGCTGCCCTCCGCTCGGCAGCTGCTGCTGCCCTCCGCTCTGCAGCTGCTGCTGCCCTCCGCTCGGCAGCTGCTGCTGCCCTCCGCTCTGCAGCTGCTGCTGCCCTCCGCTCGGCAGCTGCTGCTGCCCTCCGCTCTGCAGCTGCTGCTGCCCTCCGCTCGGCAGCTGCTGCTGCCCTCCGCTCTGCAGCTGCTGCAGTTTGGTTGCCCGTCGCCTCCGGCCCCGGCCCCGCGCTCGGGGCCTTTCCGCTTGGTCCGGGGAATCAGGGTTGGCATCCTCCCCCTCCATTGGGCTTGATTCCAGCTCATCGGTGCAAGCCTCGTTCGCCATCTCCACATCCAACACCCAAACCGGCTCTTGCTGCCCTCCGCTCCGCAGCTGCTGCTGCCCTCCGCTCTGCAGCTCCCGCTGCCCTCCGCTCGGCAGCTGCTGCTGCCCTCCGCTCTGCAGCTGCTGCTGCCCTCCGCTCTGCAGCTGCTGCTGCCCTCCGCTCTGCAGCTCCTGCTGCCCTTCGCTCTGCAGCTCCTGCTGCCCTCCGCTCTGCAGCTGCCGCTGCCCTCCCCTCGGCAGCTGCCGCTGCCCTCCGCTCGGCAGCTCCTGCTGCCCTCCGCTCTGCAGCTGCTGCTGCCCTCCGCTCGGCAGCTGCTGTTGCCCTCCGCTCTGCAGCTCCTGCTGCCCTCCGCTCTGCAGCACCTGCTGCCCTCCGCTCTGCAGCTCCTGGTGCCCTCCGCTCTGCAGCTCCTGCTGCCCTCCGCTCTGCAGCTCCTGCTGCCCTCCGCTCTGCAGCTGCTGCTGCCCTCCGCTCGGCAGCTGCTGCTGCCCTCCGCTCGGCAGCTGCTGCTGCCCTCCGCTCTGCAGCTGCTGCTGCCCTCCGCTCGGCAGCTGCTGCTGCCCTCCGCTCTGCAGCTGCTGCTGCCCTCCGCTCGGCAGCTGCTGCTGCCCTCCGCTCTGCAGCTGCTGCTGCCCTCCGCTCGGCAGCTGCTGCTGCCCTCCGCTCTGCAGCTGCTGCTGCCCTCCGCTCTGCAGCTGCTGCAGTTTGGTTGCCCGTCGCCTCCGGCCCCGGCCCCGCGCTCGGGGCCTTTCCGCCTGGTCCGGGGAATCAGGGTTGGCATTCTCCCCCTCCATGGGGCTTGATTCCAGCTCATCGGTGCAAGCCTCGTCCGCCATCTCCACATCCAACACCCAAACCGGCTCTTGCTGCCCTCCGCTCTGCAGCTCCTGCTGCCCTCCGCTCTGCAGCTCCTGCTGCCCTCCGCTCTGCAGCTGCTGCTGCCCTCCGCTCTGCAGCTGCTGCTGCCCTCCGCTCTGCAGCTCCTGCTGCCCTCCGCTCTGCAGCTCCTGCTGCCCTCCGCTCTGCAGCTGCTGCTGCCCTCCGCTCTGCAGCTGCTGCTGCCCTCCGCTCTGCAGCTCCTGCTGCCCTCCGCTCAGCAGCTCCTGCTGCCCTCCGCTCTGCAGCTGCTGCTGCCCTCCGCTTTGCAGCTCCTGCTGCCCTTTGCTCTGCAGCTCCTGCTGCCCTCCGCTCTGCAGCTGCTGCTGCCCTCCGCTCTGCAGCTGCTGCTGCCCTCCGCTCTGCAGCTCCTGCTGCCCTCCGCTCTGCAGCTCCTGCTGCCCTCCGCTCTGCAGCTGCTGCTGCCCTCCGCTCTGCAGCTGCTGCTGCCCTCCGCTCTGCAGCTGCTGCTGCCCTCCGCTCTGCAGCTCCTGCTGCCCTCCTCTCTGCAGCTGCTGCTGCCCCCCGATCTGCAGCTCCTGCTGCCCTCCGCTCTGCAGCTCCTGCTGCCCCGTCCCCACCGGCGGCTGCCGGCTCCTCTCCTGGGCCCCCTGCTGCCCGCCCACCTGCGGGTCACGCTGACCCCCCACTAGTGGCTCCTGCTGCCTGTCTTTCCCCGCCGCACTCCGGCGCCTCCGCTCCTGCCGCCATGCGAGACGTGGCACGACCGGGGGGATTGCGGCGTCGGCCGAGCCGGCGCCGTGCAACATTGCCCTCACAGGTAGGCAGCGTCTGCGAGTGTCATGCTGTTGTTGCAAGCGCCTACGGTGTTCCTCCCAGGCTGCCCTCGCTACCTCCGATGCCACCCGTGGTACAACCGCCGCCTCGTCGACTGGACCCTTTTCGGTTGTTGCTCCCCCCCTTTCTCCGATGATGGCCGAAGGTACAGGGTAATCGCCGTCAGACCCGGTGTTGGGAGGGTCTTACGGGAAGGCCGGACATGCGACGCGAAAACATCGTCGCACGCTGCTGCATGGTCCGCACTCAACGACAACCCAGCGTTGGGCTGTCGCTAGCCTACAGGTCGTTAATCTCCTGCTCCTACAAGTTAGCCTGTTATGAATGTTATGGTTCCCCTAACGGCTAGTTATTTAGTATAATAAAATAGATGGCAAGGGTGGAAGGGTTGGAAAGTGCACTAGCAGACGGCATGTGCTGCACAATATTTTGAACGGTTTGTATGATACAAAAGCGTTCTGCAGATCCTAGGGTGAAGCCGACGACGCCGCCTAGTTGGTTGCGGATGGGCCCGAACGATTGACGATGCGAGAACGACAGAGAGTTACTTCCGTGTAAACCTCGCATAGGAATTCGCTCCTAGTAATTCGTGCTTTCGCCACTTACAATTCGCAAGTTTCGTCATCTTCAACGAACATCAATACTTTTTTTGTGCCAACTACAGCGCATCAGTATTTCGCATAGGAACAAAACAGACAATAAAACGTTTCCTCTCATTGTAAATAACAACATTTCCTCGATTCCTGTGAAAACTGCTTGTCCGCAGCAATGGCGTCTGCGGCCGCGCAACTGTCGCTTCCGCGCATCTTCCGTTCATCTCCAGATGCCCATTGTCACTCGTCTAGCCGCCATCGTTCCGCCGTGCTTCCGCGTTTCACGGGCTTAAAAATCTCGTCACCAGTTGAGCGATTAGGCGGTGAAAATGCGTTCCGCGGTACTAGTGCCGTGCCTGGCGGAAAAAGAGGAAAGGGGGAACCTCTCCGCCTTCCGAGTGCGCTGGCGCGCGCGGACGTTGTGGTTGCTGCGGCGGAAGGCGGAACCCGCGCGCCGCCGCGGGATCGGAAGCAGAAGCTCGCTCCGCCGAGCGGGCGCGCGGGGGGCGCGGGGAGGTCGGGGGGCGGAAAGATTCCGTACGAGCTCGAGGCGGTGATCAGCAATCTCGTGTCGCTCGCGCCACGTGGCAGCATCTCGCGATGCATGGAGACGTTCAAGGGGAAGCTGACGCTGCCGGTAGGGTTTGGGGCCGTGTACAGTAATTAGGGTTTCATCCACAGTGACCAGGATTGGAAGAGCCATCTCCAGTGATTAGGGTTTCGGGTTACCCGTTGTAGTAAGGACTTTTCCGAGCCGATATATTTCTGGAGACGTTGAAAGGGCGAAGCTGTCGCTGCCAGTAAGGTTTGGGGCCAGATGCATTGATAAGGGCTTGTCGCCAAGATCTCGCCCCAGCGCGTTGCTCGCTCTCGCCATTCCCCCACTCTCATTTCCCAACCCCCAATCCCTTCCCCTCCCATCCCTTCCTCCCCACCCGCTTCCTCCTTCCCCACCTTTCCGCCCCTTCCCCCCCCCCCCCTCCCGCTCCAGGACTTTGCGCTGATCTTCAAGGAGTTTGCGCAGAGGGGCGACTGGATCCGCGCTATGCGCCTCTTCAAGTACATGCAGGTGGGGGTTGGTGGGTGGGGGAGTACGGGGAGATGGGAGTGGGTTGGATTCGGTTGAGGGGCACATTGCACAGAGCAGAGGGGCGATTGGATCCGCGCTATGCGCCTCTTCAAGTTCTAACTTTCTGTTGTTTGTCTGGCTCGTGATTCCTGTGTTGTTGTGTTGTGTTGTGTTGTGTGTGTGCAGCGTCAGCAATGGTGCGCGCCGAACTAGTACATGTACACGATTATGATGTGATTTGAGTCGACTCAATACACTCCTTGTGCCCGTGATTCCTGTGTTGTTGTGTTGTGTGCGTGCGTGCAGCGTCAGCAATGGTGCGCGCCGAACGAGTATATTTACACCATTATGATCGGCATCATGGGTGCGTGCATATTTCACATGCCATACCCTCCACTCCACCATGCGTGCTACACAGACAAGCGCACTTTCGTTCATCCCCCCCCCCCCCCCCCCTCATTCGTGCACCCAACGAGTAAGTCTCCACGATTATGATCGGCATCATGGGTGCGTGCACTGCTCTGCACACATGCCCACATGCACACACACCCACCAACCAACCAGCATACAGACAAACAAACACATGCCCACATGCACACCCACCAACCAACCAGCATACAGACAAGCAAACACATGCCCACATGCACACACACCAGCATACAGACAAACAAACACATGCATGCATGCATGCATACAAGGCCACCCACACGCCCCTTTGTGTGTGCTGCGTCTTCCCCAACCTCTTCTACGCCTCCCCCCTCCTTACCAGGTCGCGAGGGCATGTTGGACCGCGCACAGGAGCTGTTTGAGGAGATGCCAGAGCATGGGGTCGAGTGGCAAGTGCCTTTGGCTGGTTGCTTTGCCATATATTCTTTTTCCCCCACGCGCTGTTTCCTCCCCTCTCCCCTCACTTCCACCCAGGGCGAGAGGGCATGTTGGACCGTGCACAGGAGCTGTTTGAGGAGATGCCGGAGCATGGCGTGGAGTGGAATGTGTATTCCTTCACTGCGCTCATCAATGCTTATGGGAGAAACGGCATGGTGAGGAGCGGCTGTTGGTGCACCTGGTGAGAAACGTCCCTTGGTGCACCAAACATGCCGGAGCATGGAGTGGATTGGAATGTGTACTCCTTCACGGCTCTCATCAACGCGTATGGGAGGAACGGCATGGTGAGGGGAAGAGAGGCCGGGTGAGTCGCCTTAGAAACCGACATGTGAGGCACTTCAGATGCCGGAGCATGGCGTGGAGTGGAATGTCTACTCCTTCACCGCCCTCATCAATGCTTATGGGAGGAACGGCATGGTGAGGGGAAGAGAGGCCGGGTGAGTCGCGTCAGAAAGCAACATGTGAGGCACTCCAGATGCCGGAGCATGGGGTCGAGTGGAATGTCTACTCCTTCACTGCCCTCATCAATGCTTATGGGAGAAACCTTAGTGGGAATATACGCTTATAGCGTATATACGCGTATCGTATATACGCTAACGTATATACGCTAAACGCTTAAGGGTCGATTTGGTAATACGCTTTTTCGGGCAGGTAAAAAACTATCCCTGGCAGGGTGAAAAAAACGTCGTGCTCAAGATTAAGAAGGTGATCCCTATTCTCAAGACTTTCGTAGCATTTCCCTAAGTCTGAACGGCGATTGGGGTGGGATGTGGAGTAGACACTAAAAGGAGAAGTAGGTAGGAATCGGAAGGAGCTCTGCTGTTAGAAAGCGGGAATGCCAACTAGAAATGACGACTGGAATTTTGCTGGCTGGTAAGTAGCGTGAGTGGGGTTTGGTGGGGGACGTTTTTGACAGGTTGGAATTCGTAGGTAATATGGGTTCCAATGCGGTACCATGTTCAAATTTGAACTGCCTGCAACTTCGAAGGCCCACTCCCGCTTCCCTAGACCGTCAAATTGCATTTCGACTTAGGCGAAATGCTCAGCAGAAGATTCCGCATCTTTCTGTATACAAGCGATTTTTTTCCCTGGGCAGCCCGAAAAATTTTCTGATAGCGTATAGCGTATTAGCTAGCGTATTGCGTTTTGCGTACACACGCTAGCGTGTATACGCTATACGCTTTAGGGTTTGAGCGTATATTCCCACTAAGGGAGAAACGGCATGGTGAGGAGCGGCTGTTGGTGCACCTGGTGAGAAACGTCCCTTGGTGCACCAAACATGCCGGAGCATGGCGTCGAGTGGAATGTCTACTCCTTCACCGCCCTCATCAATGCTTACGGGAGAAACGGCATGGTGAGAAGTGCGGGCATGTGTGTGTGTGTGTGAAGCGCCTGAAATGCCTGAGGAATTTGAGAAATGGAGCCGAGTGGAACGTGCTACCCTCCTTCCTCCCGCTTCCCTCACTCTCTCCCTAAACCCTCCACCATTGCTTCCCTCGCCCCCTACCAGTCACCATCAGTACGAGCGCTCATTGGATTCGCTAGCTCGCATGAAGCGCGAAGGCAGCAGCGAACAGCATCACATATAACACCGTGTTGCACGCATGTGCCAAGACGGACCTGCTCCCCTTTCCACCCTGTTGTTTCTCACCCTCTTTCCCATCAGTATGAGCGGTCACTAGACCTGCTAGCAAGGATGAAGCGCGAAGGGGTAGCAGCGAACAGCATCACACACAACACCGTGTTGCACGCATGTGGCAAGGGCCTGACTCTTTTCCACCCCTCCCACTCCCACCCTGCTCCCCATCAGTACGAGCAATCCCTTGTCCTGTTAGCACGCATGAAGCGGGAGGGGGTAGCAGCGAACAGCATCACATACAGCACCGTCCTGCACGCATGCGCCAAGGGCCTGGCTCTTCCCCATTCTCTCCCCCACCCCCACCCACTCCCACCCCACCCTCGCCTTCCACACCCTGTCCCAATCAGTACGAGCGATCACTCGACCTCCTGGCACGGATGAAGAGGGAGGGGGTAGCAGCGAACAGCATCACATACAGCACAGTGCTGCACGCATGTGCCAAGGGCACACACTTCCCCACCGCCTCCCACTCCCACCGCCCTCTGCCCCCATCCGCCTTCCCTGTCCACCAGTACGAGAGATCGCTAGACCTGCTAGCTCGCATGAAGCGGGAGGGAGTGGCAGCGAACAGCATCACATATAACACAGTGCTGCATGCATGTGCCAAGGGCGCCATTCCGTGGGACGGACTGGTTGACATATTCGCAAAGATGAGGCAGGAGGGCGTGCAGGTGAGGGGTGAGAGGGACGTGTGAAGTGGGATTGACGTACGGATGTAGAGGGAAGGGGAGGCCAAGATGAGGCAGGAGGGCGCGCGGGATCTCCCGCGGATATAGAGGGATGGCATCTCTAGAGGGATGGCATCTCTAGAGGGATGGCATCTCTAGAGGGATGGCATCTCTAGAGGGATGGCAGCGGATATAGAGGGAAGATCCCCTAAATGGGCTCGTTGATACCTTCGCCAAGATGAGGCAGGAGGGCATGCAGGTGAGAGGGGAAGGAGAGGAGGGTCCGAGGGGGCACTGTGGAATTGTTGTATTCCGCCTTGCATTTGGTATGAGGGCCATTCCCTGGGATGGCCGGTTGATATCGCACCAAGTTGAGGCAGGAAGGCATGCAGGCGAGGGGGCGAGGTGCAATAGTGGGAGGGGAAGTCGGAATGGGACGTAGTCACGTTCAGCATGCTGTGAGGTGTATTTTGAGGCGCCTCAAAATACACCTCACTGAAGTCGGAATGGGACGTAGTCACGTTCAGCATGCTGCTAGCAGCCTGCGATGTTCCTTGCTCATCTTCCCCATTCCCTCCCCTCTCACCCCCCATTCTCACTCCTCCCATCAGCCTGACATTGTCACGTTCAACACGCTGCTAGCGGCCTGCAATGCGCGTTCGCTGGTGGAACAATCGGCTATGGTCTTCCGATCCATGGTGGCCTCGCAGGTGGGTGTGTGCATGTCTGTATGTGCATGTGCATGTGCATGTGCATGTCTGCATGGCTGTGGATGTCTGCATGGCTGTGCATGCATCTGAGCCTGTATGTGTTTCTCTCTGTGTGTCTCCAGTATGGTCTGCTGGTTTTGTCCCATGTGGCGAGAATTCATCAGAATCCGACATTAGTTTTTTCTTGTTAAAAAATCTACGCGGCTGAACGTCTGCTAACGCCAAGATCTCCCGCCCCCTCTATTCCCAGGTGCCGCCCAACGCCCTCTCGTGCGCCTCATTGGTCGACACGCACCCATGCTTGCCTTTTAATCCTTCAGCTCTCCTACTCTCCTGATCCTCGTCCCCTCCCTTCAATCTCCCCCATTCCCAGGTGCCGCCCAACGCCGCCCAACTCTCCTACGCCTCATTGGTCGACCTAGGTTACAAGACTGAAGGTTAAATAAAGCCGAGATTTTCCGACCCTCCCAATCCCTTCCCTCCCAGGTACCGCCCAACGCCCTCTCGTACGCCTCATTGGTCGACACGCACCGCCGGGGCGGGCAGCTGGGCGGCGTGCGTCGTCTGTTCCAGGAGATGTCTGAGGAGGAAGGGGTGGTGGCTGACGTGTCAGCTTACAACATGCTCATCGATGCTTACGCGTGGGGGGGAGAGTATCAAGCAGCACAGGAGGTGAGAATCGAATGGAAACTGCTGTTGTTCTTTCGTGCCCGCTTGTGTGTTGGACGCAGCATAAGTGGCGTCTGTTCCAGGGGATGTTGGAGCTGTCAGTGGTAAACAGGTGACTTTTGAGGCGCCTCAAAAGCTGTCAGTGGTAAACAGGTGGGCTGCCGAACCAAAGACACAGTTTAAGTTGATGGACATAAGACCTCCGCAGCCCACCTGTTTACCACTGACAGCATAAGTGGCGTCTGTTCGAGGAGATGTTGGAGGAGAGGAGAGGAGGAAGGGGTGGTGGGGTGGCTGATGTGTCATCTCAGCATACAGCATGCTCATCGATGATGCTTACGCATGGTGGGGGGAAGGGCATATCAAGCTGCTCAGGAGGTGAGAATGGAAGGCCACTACCTGTCAGGAGGTGAGGGAACACACTTGTGCCGTAGCCGTAGCCGTGGCGTGGTGGTGTGGTTCTGAGGCGCCTCAAAAGTCGCCTCAAGAGGCGCCTCAAGAGGCGCCTCAAAAGAAGAAAGGTCACTACCTGTCAAATCAACGCACATACGTCGTAGCCGGGTGGTGGCTGATGTGTCGGCATACAACATGCTTTTGAGGCGCCTCAAAAGGTGGCTGATGTGTCGGCATACAACATGCTGATCGACGCATATGCATGGGGAGGAGAGTACCAAGCTGCTCAGGAGGTGAGAATGGAAATGGTTATTGTGCATATGCCACACGTACGTGCACTGCACAGCAGTCAGTGCCGTCTGTTCCAGGAGATGTCGGAGGAGGAGGAAGGGGTGGTGGTGGCTGACGTGTCAGCTTACAACATGCTCATAGGCGCTTACTCCCCCCCCCAGTCCCGTCCCCTCTCCCCCCCCCCATCAGGTGTTCAACGAGATGCAGCAGGCAGGCTGCATCCCCAACGTGGCCACCTACACGGCGCTCCTGAAAGCCCTCGGTTCGAACGGCAGCTACCACCACGTGCGCTCCGTCTTCACCTCCCCGCTCTCCTCCTCGTTCCCTTCCCTGCTCCTATCTCTCCTCCACCCACCCAGGTGTTCAACGAGATGCAGCAAGCCGGCTGCATCCCCAATGTGGCAACCTATACTGCCCTTCTCAAGGCTCTGGGTCCAACGGCAGCTACCACCACGTGCGATCCGCCTTCACGCAGATGAAAGCCTCCGGGAGAAGGAAAGCCAATCTCCCTCCCCTCACAGGAAACCCAATCTCCCTCCCCTCACAGGAAACCCAATCTCCCTCCCCTCACAGGAAACCCAATCTCCCTCCCCTCACAGGAAACCCAATCTCCCTCCCCTCACAGGAAACCCAATCTCCCTCCCCTCACAGGAAACCCAATCTCCCTCCCCTCACAGGAAACCCGACCTCTCCACGTACCTGACGCTCCGTGAGGCGCGGCTGAGTCAAATTTTGGGACGAGTTTTGAGTCGCCTTCCCTGCTCCTTTCTCCCCCATCAGGTCTTCAACGAGATGCAGCAAGCCGGCTGCATCCCTAATGTCGCAACATACACTGCCCTTCTTAAAGCCCTCGGGTCCAACGGCAGCTACCACCACGTGCGATCCGTCTTCACCCAGATGAAGGCCTCTGGGAGGAAACCCGACCTCGCCACGTACCGGACCCTGCTGGACGTTTTTATCTCGGGAGGGTTCTTCCGGGAAGCTTCGCGGCTGTTCTGGGATATGGAGGAGGATGGGGTGGAGGTGGATGAAGGCGCATTCACTTCCCTCCTGGTGGCGTGTGGTTTGGGAGGATTGACGACCGAAGCTACTGAGATATACAGGTACGGGAACAGTCATGTGTGTGTCATAACTGGGATATGGAGGAGGATGGGGTGGAGGTGGATGAAGGCGCTTTCACGTCGCTGCTGGTGGCGTGTGGGTTGGGGGGGCTCACAACGGAGGCAACAGAGATATACAGGTGCGATAGGCTGAGAAGCCTTGTGGGCTGAGAATTTTTCTGACATCACTACTTGTGGCGTGTGGGCTCGGAGGGATGGCATTATTTTAGATTCTCCTTTACCCCTTCCCCTCCCTCGCCCCCCCCCCCTTAACCCCCCCCCCCTCCCCCTCCCACCCTCGTCCCAACTTTTTCTCGTTGCAATCAGGTTCATCCTCGTTAATGGAGGCTCTGATAAGCATGTATGGATGGGTAATACATGAGATACGATTCATGCACTCACTGCACTCTCTCCCTTCGCTCCTTCCTTTCCCCACCTCGTTCTCCTCAGGTTTATGCGGGAGCGATCACAGGTGCAGCCGTCAGCCTCGTTAATGGAGGCTCTGATAAGCGCGTATGGGCAGGCAGGCATGTACGACCATGCGCTCACGGCCTTACATGAGAGCATGGAGATGGGACTCTCAGAGCAGCCGGTGAGTGGATGAGTGGGGAGTAAGCACGCAACAGTGACCGCGTAAACCAGCAGGCAGGCAGGCAGGCAGGCAGGCAGGCAGGCAGGCAGGCAGGCAGGCAGGCAGGCAGGCAGGCAGGCAGGCAGGCAGGCAGGCAGGCAGGCAGGCATGCAGGCAGGCAGGCATGTACGACCATGCACTGACGGCCTTACATAAGAGCATGGAGATGGGACTGTCGCACCAGCCGGTGAGGAAGTGACGTGACGGTTGAATAGGGTGCAGAGCGGTGTAGCACTGGCGTTCACAGCAGAGCACATGCGCGCGCTGAGCCTTGCACGTTCCACAGGGTCCCTTTCCGGCTCTCATGGAGACATAACATTTTCAGCGGGGGGCATGCACGACAGCGCAGACTGCGGCAGGGACAGTGACATCTTCCATACCCTTTACTACCCGGGCCTCCCCCCTCTTCCCCCACAGGGTCCCTTTCCGGCTCTCATCGAGACATATGCAGCAGCGGGGGGCATGCACGACAGCGCAGACTGCGGCAGGGACAGTGACATCTTCCATACCCTTTACTACCCGGGCCTCCCCCCTCTTCCCCCACAGGGTCCCTTTCCGGCTCTCATCGAGACATATGCAGCAGCGGGGGGCATGCACGACAGCGCAGACTGCGGCAGGGACAGTGACATCTTCCATACCCTTTACTACCCGGGCCTCCCCCCTCTTCCCCCACAGGGTCCCTTTCCGGCTCTCATCGAGACATATGCAGCAGCGGGGGGCATGCACGACAGCGCAGACTGCGGCAGGGACAGTGACATCTTCCATACCCTTTACTACCCGGGCCTCCCCCCTCTTCCCCCACAGGGTCCCTTTCCGGCTCTCATCGAGACATATGCAGCAGCGGGGGGCATGCACGACAGCGCAGACTGCGGCAGGGACAGTGACATCTTCCATACCCTTTACTACCCGGGCCTCCCCCCTCTTCCCCCACAGGGTCCCTTTCCGGCTCTCATCGAGACATATGCAGCAGCGGGGGGCATGCACGACAGCGCAGACTGCGGCAGGGACAGTGACATCTTCCATACCCTTTACTACCCGGGCCTCCCCCCTCTTCCCCCACAGGGTCCCTTTCCGGCTCTCATCGAGACATATGCAGCAGCGGGGGGCATGCACGACAGCGCAGACTGCGGCAGGGACAGTGACATCTTCCATACCCTTTACTACCCGGGCCTCCCCCCTCTTCCCCCACAGGGTCCCTTTCCGGCTCTCATCGAGACATATGCAGCAGCGGGGGGCATGCACGACAGCGCAGACTGCGGCAGGGACAGTGACATCTTCCATACCCTTTACTACCCGGGCCTCCCCCCTCTTCCCCCACAGGGTCCCTTAACGGCTCTCATCGAGACATATGCAGCAGCGGGGGGCATGCACGACAGCGCAGACTGCGGCAGGGACAGTGACATCTTCCATACCCTTTACTACCCGGGCCTCCCCCCTCTTCCCCCACAGGGTCCCTTTCCGGCTCTCATCGAGACATATGCAGCAGCGGGGGGCATGCACGACAGCGCAGACTGCGGCAGGGACAGTGACATCTTCCATACCCTTTACTACCCGGGCCTCCCCCCTCTTCCCCCACAGGGTCCCTTTCCGGCTCTCATCGAGACATATGCAGCAGCGGGGGGCATGCACGACAGCGCAGACTGCGGCAGGGACAGTGACATCTTCCATACCCTTTACTACCCGGGCCTCCCCCCTCTTCCCCCACAGGGTCCCTTTCCGGCTCTCATCGAGACATATGCAGCAGCGGGGGGCATGCACGACAGCGCAGACTGCGGCAGGGACAGTGACATCTTCCATACCCTTTACTACCCGGGCCTCCCCCCTCTTCCCCCACAGGGTCCCTTTCCGGCTCTCATCGAGACATATGCAGCAGCGGGGGGCATGCACGACAGCGCAGACTGCGGCAGGGACAGTGACATCTTCCATACCCTTTACTACCCGGGCCTCCCCCCTCTTCCCCCACAGGGTCCCTTTCCGGCTCTCATCGAGACATATGCAGCAGCGGGGGGCATGCACGACAGCGCAGACTGCGGCAGGGACAGTGACATCTTCCATACCCTTTACTACCCGGGCCTCCCCCCTCTTCCCCCACAGGGTCCCTTTCCGGCTCTCATCGAGACATATGCAGCAGCGGGGGGCATGCACGACAGCGCAGACTGCGGCAGGGACAGTGACATCTTCCATACCCTTTACTACCCGGGCCTCCCCCCTCTTCCCCCACAGGGTCCCTTTCCGGCTCTCATCGAGACATATGCAGCAGCGGGGGGCATGCACGACAGCGCAGACTGCGGCAGGGACAGTGACATCTTCCATACCCTTTACTACCCGGGCCTCCCCCCTCTTCCCCCACAGGGTCCCTTTCCGGCTCTCATCGAGACATATGCAGCAGCGGGGGGCATGCACGACAGCGCAGACTGCGGCAGGGACAGTGACATCTTCCATACCCTTTACTACCCGGGCCTCCCCCCTCTTCCCCCACAGGGTCCCTTTCCGGCTCTCATCGAGACATATGCAGCAGCGGGGGGCATGCACGACAGCGCAGACTGCGGCAGGGACAGTGACATCTTCCATACCCTTTACTACCCGGGCCTCCCCCCTCTTCCCCCACAGGGTCCCTTTCCGGCTCTCATCGAGACATATGCAGCAGCGGGGGGCATGCACGACAGCGCAGACTGCGGCAGGGACAGTGACATCTTCCATACCCTTTACTACCCGGGCCTCCCCCCTCTTCCCCCACAGGGTCCCTTTCCGGCTCTCATCGAGACATATGCAGCAGCGGGGGGCATGCACGACAGCGCAGACTGCGGCAGGGACAGTGACATCTTCCATACCCTTTACTACCCGGGCCTCCCCCCTCTTCCCCCACAGGGTCCCTTTCCGGCTCTCATCGAGACATATGCAGCAGCGGGGGGCATGCACGACAGCGCAGACTGCGGCAGGGACAGTGACATCTTCCATACCCTTTACTACCCGGGCCTCCCCCCTCTTCCCCCACAGGGTCCCTTTCCGGCTCTCATCGAGACATATGCAGCAGCGGGGGGCATGCACGACAGCGCAGACTGCGGCAGGGACAGTGACATCTTCCATACCCTTTACTACCCGGGCCTCCCCCCTCTTCCCCCACAGGGTCCCTTTCCGGCTCTCATCGAGACATATGCAGCAGCGGGGGGCATGCACGACAGCGCAGACTGCGGCAGGGACAGTGACATCTTCCATACCCTTTACTACCCGGGCCTCCCCCCTCTTCCCCCACAGGGTCCCTTTCCGGCTCTCATCGAGACATATGCAGCAGCGGGGGGCATGCACGACAGCGCAGACTGCGGCAGGGACAGTGACATCTTCCATACCCTTTACTACCCGGGCCTCCCCCCTCTTCCCCCACAGGGTCCCTTTCCGGCTCTCATCGAGACATATGCAGCAGCGGGGGGCATGCACGACAGCGCAGACTGCGGCAGGGACAGTGACATCTTCCATACCCTTTACTACCCGGGCCTCCCCCCTCTTCCCCCACAGGGTCCCTTTCCGGCTCTCATCGAGACATATGCAGCAGCGGGGGGCATGCACGACAGCGCAGACTGCGGCAGGGACAGTGACATCTTCCATACCCTTTACTACCCGGGCCTCCCCCCTCTTCCCCCACAGGGTCCCTTTCCGGCTCTCATCGAGACATATGCAGCAGCGGGGGGCATGCACGACAGCGCAGACTGCGGCAGGGACAGTGACATCTTCCATACCCTTTACTACCCGGGCCTCCCCCCTCTTCCCCCACAGGGTCCCTTTCCGGCTCTCATCGAGACATATGCAGCAGCGGGGGGCATGCACGACAGCGCAGACTGCGGCAGGGACAGTGACATCTTCCATACCCTTTACTACCCGGGCCTCCCCCCTCTTCCCCCACAGGGTCCCTTTCCGGCTCTCATCGAGACATATGCAGCAGCGGGGGGCATGCACGACAGCGCAGACTGCGGCAGGGACAGTGACATCTTCCATACCCTTTACTACCCGGGCCTCCCCCCTCTTCCCCCACAGGGTCCCTTTCCGGCTCTCATCGAGACATATGCAGCAGCGGGGGGCATGCACGACAGCGCAGACTGCGGCAGGGACAGTGACATCTTCCATACCCTTTACTACCCGGGCCTCCCCCCTCTTCCCCCACAGGGTCCCTTTCCGGCTCTCATCGAGACATATGCAGCAGCGGGGGGCATGCACGACAGCGCAGACTGCGGCAGGGACAGTGACATCTTCCATACCCTTTACTACCCGGGCCTCCCCCCTCTTCCCCCACAGGGTCCCTTTCCGGCTCTCATCGAGACATATGCAGCAGCGGGGGGCATGCACGACAGCGCAGACTGCGGCAGGGACAGTGACATCTTCCATACCCTTTACTACCCGGGCCTCCCCCCTCTTCCCCCACAGGGTCCCTTTCCGGCTCTCATCGAGACATATGCAGCAGCGGGGGGCATGCACGACAGCGCAGACTGCGGCAGGGACAGTGACATCTTCCATACCCTTTACTACCCGGGCCTCCCCCCTCTTCCCCCACAGGGTCCCTTAACGGCTCTCATCGAGACATATGCAGCAGCGGGGGGCATGCACGACAGCGCAGACTGCGGCAGGGACAGTGACATCTTCCATACCCTTTACTACCCGGGCCTCCCCCCTCTTCCCCCACAGGGTCCCTTTCCGGCTCTCATCGAGACATATGCAGCAGCGGGGGGCATGCACGACAGCGCAGACTGCGGCAGGGACAGTGACATCTTCCATACCCTTTACTACCCGGGCCTCCCCCCTCTTCCCCCACAGGGTCCCTTTCCGGCTCTCATCGAGACATATGCAGCAGCGGGGGGCATGCACGACAGCGCAGACTGCGGCAGGGACAGTGACATCTTCCATACCCTTTACTACCCGGGCCTCCCCCCTCTTCCCCCACAGGGTCCCTTTCCGGCTCTCATCGAGACATATGCAGCAGCGGGGGGCATGCACGACAGCGCAGACTGCGGCAGGGACAGTGACATCTTCCATACCCTTTACTACCCGGGCCTCCCCCCTCTTCCCCCACAGGGTCCCTTTCCGGCTCTCATCGAGACATATGCAGCAGCGGGGGGCATGCACGACAGCGCAGACTGCGGCAGGGACAGTGACATCTTCCATACCCTTTACTACCCGGGCCTCCCCCCTCTTCCCCCACAGGGTCCCTTTCCGGCTCTCATCGAGACATATGCAGCAGCGGGGGGCATGCACGACAGCGCAGACTGCGGCAGGGACAGTGACATCTTCCATACCCTTTACTACCCGGGCCTCCCCCCTCTTCCCCCACAGGGTCCCTTTCCGGCTCTCATCGAGACATATGCAGCAGCGGGGGGCATGCACGACAGCGCAGACTGCGGCAGGGACAGTGACATCTTCCATACCCTTTACTACCCGGGCCTCCCCCCTCTTCCCCCACAGGGTCCCTTTCCGGCTCTCATCGAGACATATGCAGCAGCGGGGGGCATGCACGACAGCGCAGACTGCGGCAGGGACAGTGACATCTTCCATACCCTTTACTACCCGGGCCTCCCCCCTCTTCCCCCACAGGGTCCCTTTCCGGCTCTCATCGAGACATATGCAGCAGCGGGGGGCATGCACGACAGCGCAGACTGCGGCAGGGACAGTGACATCTTCCATACCCTTTACTACCCGGGCCTCCCCCCTCTTCCCCCACAGGGTCCCTTTCCGGCTCTCATCGAGACATATGCAGCAGCGGGGGGCATGCACGACAGCGCAGACTGCGGCAGGGACAGTGACATCTTCCATACCCTTTACTACCCGGGCCTCCCCCCTCTTCCCCCACAGGGTCCCTTTCCGGCTCTCATCGAGACATATGCAGCAGCGGGGGGCATGCACGACAGCGCAGACTGCGGCAGGGACAGTGACATCTTCCATACCCTTTACTACCCGGGCCTCCCCCCTCTTCCCCCACAGGGTCCCTTTCCGGCTCTCATCGAGACATATGCAGCAGCGGGGGGCATGCACGACAGCGCAGACTGCGGCAGGGACAGTGACATCTTCCATACCCTTTACTACCCGGGCCTCCCCCCTCTTCCCCCACAGGGTCCCTTTCCGGCTCTCATCGAGACATATGCAGCAGCGGGGGGCATGCACGACAGCGCAGACTGCGGCAGGGACAGTGACATCTTCCATACCCTTTACTACCCGGGCCTCCCCCCTCTTCCCCCACAGGGTCCCTTTCCGGCTCTCATCGAGACATATGCAGCAGCGGGGGGCATGCACGACAGCGCAGACTGCGGCAGGGACAGTGACATCTTCCATACCCTTTACTACCCGGGCCTCCCCCCTCTTCCCCCACAGGGTCCCTTTCCGGCTCTCATCGAGACATATGCAGCAGCGGGGGGCATGCACGACAGCGCAGACTGCGGCAGGGACAGTGACATCTTCCATACCCTTTACTACCCGGGCCTCCCCCCTCTTCCCCCACAGGGTCCCTTTCCGGCTCTCATCGAGACATATGCAGCAGCGGGGGGCATGCACGACAGCGCAGACTGCGGCAGGGACAGTGACATCTTCCATACCCTTTACTACCCGGGCCTCCCCCCTCTTCCCCCACAGGGTCCCTTTCCGGCTCTCATCGAGACATATGCAGCAGCGGGGGGCATGCACGACAGCGCAGACTGCGGCAGGGACAGTGACATCTTCCATACCCTTTACTACCCGGGCCTCCCCCCTCTTCCCCCACAGGGTCCCTTTCCGGCTCTCATCGAGACATATGCAGCAGCGGGGGGCATGCACGACAGCGCAGACTGCGGCAGGGACAGTGACATCTTCCATACCCTTTACTACCCGGGCCTCCCCCCTCTTCCCCCACAGGGTCCCTTTCCGGCTCTCATCGAGACATATGCAGCAGCGGGGGGCATGCACGACAGCGCAGACTGCGGCAGGGACAGTGACATCTTCCATACCCTTTACTACCCGGGCCTCCCCCCTCTTCCCCCACAGGGTCCCTTTCCGGCTCTCATCGAGACATATGCAGCAGCGGGGGGCATGCACGACAGCGCAGACTGCGGCAGGGACAGTGACATCTTCCATACCCTTTACTACCCGGGCCTCCCCCCTCTTCCCCCACAGGGTCCCTTTCCGGCTCTCATCGAGACATATGCAGCAGCGGGGGGCATGCACGACAGCGCAGACTGCGGCAGGGACAGTGACATCTTCCATACCCTTTACTACCCGGGCCTCCCCCCTCTTCCCCCACAGGGTCCCTTTCCGGCTCTCATCGAGACATATGCAGCAGCGGGGGGCATGCACGACAGCGCAGACTGCGGCAGGGACAGTGACATCTTCCATACCCTTTACTACCCGGGCCTCCCCCCTCTTCCCCCACAGGGTCCCTTTCCGGCTCTCATCGAGACATATGCAGCAGCGGGGGGCATGCACGACAGCGCAGACTGCGGCAGGGACAGTGACATCTTCCATACCCTTTACTACCCGGGCCTCCCCCCTCTTCCCCCACAGGGTCCCTTTCCGGCTCTCATCGAGACATATGCAGCAGCGGGGGGCATGCACGACAGCGCAGACTGCGGCAGGGACAGTGACATCTTCCATACCCTTTACTACCCGGGCCTCCCCCCTCTTCCCCCACAGGGTCCCTTTCCGGCTCTCATCGAGACATATGCAGCAGCGGGGGGCATGCACGACAGCGCAGACTGCGGCAGGGACAGTGACATCTTCCATACCCTTTACTACCCGGGCCTCCCCCCTCTTCCCCCACAGGGTCCCTTTCCGGCTCTCATCGAGACATATGCAGCAGCGGGGGGCATGCACGACAGCGCAGACTGCGGCAGGGACAGTGACATCTTCCATACCCTTTACTACCCGGGCCTCCCCCCTCTTCCCCCACAGGGTCCCTTTCCGGCTCTCATCGAGACATATGCAGCAGCGGGGGGCATGCACGACAGCGCAGACTGCGGCAGGGACAGTGACATCTTCCATACCCTTTACTACCCGGGCCTCCCCCCTCTTCCCCCACAGGGTCCCTTTCCGGCTCTCATCGAGACATATGCAGCAGCGGGGGGCATGCACGACAGCGCAGACTGCGGCAGGGACAGTGACATCTTCCATACCCTTTACTACCCGGGCCTCCCCCCTCTTCCCCCACAGGGTCCCTTTCCGGCTCTCATCGAGACATATGCAGCAGCGGGGGGCATGCACGACAGCGCAGACTGCGGCAGGGACAGTGACATCTTCCATACCCTTTACTACCCGGGCCTCCCCCCTCTTCCCCCACAGGGTCCCTTTCCGGCTCTCATCGAGACATATGCAGCAGCGGGGGGCATGCACGACAGCGCAGACTGCGGCAGGGACAGTGACATCTTCCATACCCTTTACTACCCGGGCCTCCCCCCTCTTCCCCCACAGGGTCCCTTTCCGGCTCTCATCGAGACATATGCAGCAGCGGGGGGCATGCACGACCAGCGCAGACTGTGGCAGGGGCAGTACCATCGTCCATACCCTCTACTCTACTACCCGGGCCTCCCCCTCTTCCCCCACAGGGACCCTTTCCGTCGCCACAGCGAGCCCGGACCCTTTCGAGGTGACTTTTGAGTCGACTCAAAAGTCTCCCCACAGCGAGCCCGGACACTTTCCGGGCTCTCATAGAGACATATGCAGCAGCGGGGGGCATGCACGACCACGCAGCAGCAGTTGCACCACGCCACTGACGTCTGGAATCTCCCACTCCTCCCAACCGTTAACTACCCCTCTTTTCCGCAGGGTCCCTTCCTGGCTCTCATGGAGGCGTATGCAGCAGGGGGCATGCACGACGATGCAGCCTTCGTCTTTGCTCTCATGATGCAATCCGATGGGGGGAGAGCGGCAGCAAGCGCAGGAGCAGGCGCAGCAGCAGGAGCAGCAGGGGGAGCAGCAGGAGGGTTTTTGTCTGGGGACTCCAGTACTGCGGGAAACACAGCCGTCTCGCTCTCGTCCCCTGCCCTCTCCTCCTCCTCCTCCGCCTCCTCCTCTGATCCATACCCTGCTGATGCCTCTCTGCGGACCTTCAATGCTCTCATCGAGGCGTTCACTAAAGGGGGGCTTTATAATGAAGCAATCAAAGTCAGCGAGGTGAGTGCAACTGGCTGTGCCAGTTCATACATACCCTGCCGATGCAACTCTGAAGACCTCTGAGACGCCTCAAAGTCCTCTTCCTCCTCTCCTTGTCTCTTCTAAGAAGCTTGACTCAAAAGTCAGCGCTCGAAAGAATTTCTCGGCTCAAAAGCCAGCGCTCGAAGCGGCTATATGCCATCCCACCCCTTGCAATGCAACCTCCCCTCACCCTTCACAGGACATGGAGCAGGCAAACTGCCGGCCAACTCCTCTCACCCCATGCAACTCTCCTCCCCAACCTCTCACAGGACATGGAGCAGGCAAACTGCCGGCCTTCTCTGGCAACGCATGCAGCCATGGTGGCCGCATACAGCGCTGCAGGCACGTTCGAAGCGGCTTATGCACAGACGACGGAGATCAGGGAGGAGGGCATGGTGCCGCCTGCTGCTAGCTACTGCCATCTGCTGGCACTGTGTGCTAGAAGGGGAAGGTGAGAAGGCGTAGGCTTTAAGGTGAGTGGAGCAGAGGGAGTGAGAGGCACATTTGAGGCAGCTTACGCACAGACGACGGAGATCAGGGAGGAAGGCATGGTGCCGCCCGCTGCCAGCTATTGTCATTTGTTGGCCCTATGTGCGAGGAGAGGAAGGTGAGGGAACAGCGGAATAGAGGGCCAAGGTGAGTGAGAGGGTCAAGTGGAGTGCGAGGGCACGTTTGAGGCGGCTTATGCACAGACGACAGAGAACAGAGAGGAGGGCATGGTGCCGCCTGCTGCGAGTTACTGCCATCGTCTGGCGCTCTGTGCGAGGAGAGGCAGGTGAGAAGGAGAGGGGGAAACAAGGGGAATGAGAGGCCACGTTTGAGGCAGCTTACGCTGAGACGACGGAGATCAGAGAGGAGGGCATGGTGCCGCCTGCTAAGAGTTACTCCACTCCATACCCTCCACCCCACCCGCTTGTCCCCGTTTGTTGCTCCACTCCATACCCTCCACCATACCCTCCCAGGTGGCAGGACATGAGGCGGCTGATCACGGAGATGGAGGGGGGTGGACCGGGTGGTGAGGGGGCTGCTGGTGGGGCGGTACGAGTCGCCGTGTGTTTTTCCCCGTTTTCCATCCTCTTCCCATCCTCTTCCCATTCTCTTTCCGCTTGTGCCACGCCACCCCCCTCTCTCCCAGGTGGCAGGACATGCGGCGGCTTATAGCGGAGTTGGAGGGGGGGATGACAGGGGAGGAGCGTTGATACGTCTTAAACCCTTCCCCCCACTACCCTGTAACCCTCTACTCTTTCCTACCAGGTGGCAGGACATGAGGCGGCTGATTGCGGAGATGGAGGGGGGGGGAACGGGGGAGGAGCACCGGGTGGTGAGGGGGCTGCTGGTGGGGCGGTATGAGTCGGAGGAGTTCTGGCCGATTGCAGCGGACTTCTTTGGGCGCCTCAAGGTGAGGGTGGGGTGATTGCTTGCTGAGTTAACTTCCCTGAGACTACAAGATACACAACACACATTTGCTGGTGGGGCGATATGAGTCGGAGGAGTTCTGGCCGATTGCAGAGGACTTCTTTGGGCGCCTCAAGGTGAGTTTGTTTGTGGCCTCCAGATGCACAACCCTGCTCTGGTGGGATGGGGAGGGGACCTCTCATCCCATCCATGCCGGGGGGGGAACGGGGGAGGATGTGGTGCGAGGGCTGCTGGTGGGGCGGTATGAGTCGGAGGAGTTCTGGCCGATTGCAGAGGACTTCTTTGGACGGCTTAAGGTGAGTTTCCTTGACTGCTGAGTTGACTTGACTGCTGAGTTGACTTGACTGCTGAGTTGACTTGACTGCTGAGTTGACTTGACTGCTGAGTTGACTGCGCTGAGGCGGTTCAAGATGCAGAGCATAGTGGGCGGGCAGGCGAGCCACACCACTCAAGCCGCACTCACCATGCCTCTCCTCTCCTCTGTGTGGTGCTACGACCCTTCAACCTACCCTTTAACACAGAGGGAGGGAGTGGCGGTCAACAGGGTGTTCCTAAATGCGCTCATGGATGCCCTCTGGTGGGCGGGGAGGCGGGCCACAGCACTCAAGCTGCATGCATGAGCTCATGCACTCATGCACTCAAGGATGCCTCTTTTTCCCTGTGTGCAGAGGGAGGGAGTGGCGGTCAACAGAGTCTTTCTCAACGCGCTAATGGACGCCCTCTGGTGGGCGGGCAGGCGGGCAACAGCACTCAAGCTGCACTGCACCCAACTGCCAAGCATGCCACTCTCTCTTGTGTGCCCCATCATGTCCCTCCACGCAGAGGGAGGGAGTGGCAGTGAATCGAGTCTTCCTCAACGCGCTCATGGACGCCCTCTGGTGGGCGGGCAGGCGGGCAACAGCACTCAAGCTGCACGCACCAGCCACCAGCCTCGCCGTCTTCCCGGAAGCTTCCTACCGCTCCCCAACCCTCTGGTCCCTGGACGTGCACCGGTCAGCTTTCTTCCTCCGTCCAACGCCTTTATTTATTTATTTATCTATTTATTTCAAATTTTTCCCCGTGCCCCAACTTCCTGTCCTCGTTTCATATGCAATCCAATGTCCAATCTTCCTCAATTACGTTCAGCTTGTCACAAGGGCCAGCATGTGTGTTGTGTTCCTCCACCACTGGCTCGCTCAAGTGCGTGAGAGAGCCCACAGTTTTTGAGTCGACTAAAAAAAGCGGCATGTGTGTTGTGTTCCTTCCTCCACCACTAGCTCGTTCAAGTGCGCGAGAAAGCCCACTGTTCGCAAGCCCCTCTCCCATCCCATCCCCACGTGACCCCCACCGATCTCCTTTATTTTCATGCAGCATGTCACAAGGGGCGGCCTGTGTGTTTCTGCACCATTGGCTCTCGCAAGTGCATGAGACAGCTGTGCTGGAGCCAGCAGAACTTCCTCCTCTCTTCAGTATAGTCACAAGGTGAGGATTTATAGCTCGACCGTTTTTTCTAGGTGTAGCTGGTTTCAATCTCAGCAGTAAATGTTTTGAGACTCACTACTGATGCAGTCTTTTGTTTTCTTTCCTCCAATGTATCTGGTACAGAATGTTCACATTCGGTTAATGTACGTTCCTGTGCCCAATTATTGTATTTCCTCAGGTGGGGTGACGAAAGTCCCAACAAGGATGAGGCTGATGCAGCGCCTGTGAATAAAGCTATGGTGCAAGCTGTTCAGTCGCTGCAACTCCCCTTTGCTCCAGCACCGTGGAATAGAGGCCGGCTCGTTGCGAATCGCGAAGCCTTGATGGCATGGCTTCTAGCAGATGGGAATGCTGACCTCTTGGTCTTGAAGGATGCTCCATTTCCTGTAGAGGTTTCAAGTAGGTCCGGTGCATGATATTTGTGAAACCATCGTCCTACAGATGTATTTGGCTTATTGTTCTTGAGAAAGGTTAGCAAATGGAGATATAGTAAATGAAAGAACTTGTTTCGGACGGGGCCAAGGCTTCAAAGAAGGGTGGCGCAAGCTCCCAGCACCAGCTTCCGAACCTGACGAGGGAACGGAGCAATTGCAGCAAGAAAGCACCACCAAACCGTCTGCTTGGGCGCTCGGCAGCTTGTCCTGACGGCCAGCGGACGTGCAAGTACAGTACACCCTAGCATTTCCCGCGTCTGTACTGAGATTCTGGCTTACTGGTTTGAGCCTCTAGGCCCCGGCAACAAGCTGATAGACACTGTAGCTGAAATGATTGGAAAGTATTTCCTTCTCACTGCGAATCTGCGATGTCTCTACTTTCAGCCCGAGTGTATAAAAGTTTTCTGCTTGGAAAATCAGGTCGGAGTTTGTCTGCGTCCCTGTCTCGTTGAATCACAGGACCTAGGTTCCCAAGGTGTGCATTTGCGGCTTCAAGTTATTATTATTGGCTAGGTTTGGACGTGTATCCGTGTTATTATTATTTTCTGAGTCTATGCAAGGGAAGGAGATGGGGGAAGTGACCTGCTGCACTCCTCTGGTGAAGTAACTCCGTGGTCAAGCTGACAGAAGTTGCTCCGGTTACCCTAGAGCTGTCCTTATCTCTAAGCAATCTGGCTGACTGTCCGTCCTGAGTCGGTCCGCTGGGAGTTCCCAACCCAAGGTCCTCCAGGATGCGACCCTCGAGATTGATCTGCTGATCGTTCAGTGCGGTGAAGTAGGATTCAATTCGGTAAATTCTGGTTCTTAATCCTAGCCTTTTTCAACCGTAACACACCAAAGAGAACCGTGGTTAGTTGGCTGTAAAATGGGACACAAATTTCGATCCACCAAACCAACAAACAAATGAATGAAGGCTGAAAGAGGGAAACGCGAGATTGGCTGGCTGGCTGGCTGTGAGCACAGGGCGAGATAAGACATCGTCCTTCATTCCAGCTCTTTTCATTCTGAAAGCTGAGATTTCTGACATTGAGATTGCCGCCTAGCGCCAGGCTTCTGCTTATTGCCCGTCCCACAGAGCAACGATACCGCCTTGTGGTACTCCTTGAGCAACGATACCTCCAAGTTCGGGGCTTCCAGGTGTTAGGTGGTTGAGGCACAAGGTTATTGGAGGGTTTAACTACCTTCAGCCTATATCACCCAATTCGGTCTCTTCCTCTTATTTCTATTTCGGGCGAATATAATAAGCCGCCAAGATGATGGACATGGTGTTGACCCTCCTTATAGCGAGCTGCATGACTCTAACGCAGTTCGCGCTACAGCTCAAGGAGAACATGTCCACGTGTGCATACTTTAAGAACTTCAGCCTTGTTCTAGACTCCGTCTCCAGCATCCACTCGCTGCTCGAAAACTGCAAGAAATTCAAAAACTGGGGAGCGACGACGGATGCGGCGAAGAAGGCGTTTCAGAAGCTGGAGGATCTTCTGAGGAAGTGCACGGGCCTGCTGCAGCGCTGCATCAGCGCGCGAAGCAAGCTTCTGCAGGTTCGAGTTTTTTTTGTTTAATACGTCCTCAAATACGTCAACTCATATCATGGTTGGCTCGATCTACAAGTAACCTTTTTTTACACCGTGCAAAATGAGTAGCTAAAATTGAACATTGTCAGAGTGTGTCTCTCTTTTCCGGTTTCTTGAGTCTCTTAGGCGTGAGGTTGGATGAGAGATTTCGTCAAGGACGCGTTCCCATGAGTCGCTGGACCTGCTCCTCCCACATTTTAAATTGCCTGTTAAATTAGCATGGACACATTGCGAACTTTGCATCGCTCGGAGAACTGTACACAAGTTTTGAGATGTCTCCAAACGCTCACGCACCTTTGTGGCCTAATAAGCCATCTGGGCCCCACTATGAAGCTTGCATCTCCTGTTGACTCATACTGAAAGCAGTCGTCGTATCAGAAATATCCATTTTTCCCCTCGATTTCCTTTCCGCGCGCAGCTGGTGTCGGAGACGACGATCAAGCTGGACGATTTCGTCACCATGCATGCTGAGCTGGAAGCCGTTGAAAATCGTTGTATCATGCAAATTAATTTCTCCCCTTGGATTCCCTTTCCGCGCGCATTGATCCCCTTTCCCGCGCACAGCTGGTGTCGGAGACGACGATCAAGCTCGACGATTTCGTCACCATACATGCTGAGCTGGAAGCCTGCCTGCTCGCCATCCCCACAGACGCCCTGCCTGATGACCTCGTAGCGCAGGTACGCGATAGGTGTTACAACGTGATTACCCGGCAAGCGCTGTATCTGAAAGCGCGCGTGACTTTGAAAGATAGATTGTAAAGGAAGCTAGGGTAGTTGGGTAGGTAGTAGTAATTGGAGGGCTTTTGAGTCGAAAAGTCACTTCGTAGAGGAAGCTAGCCTCAAAGTGGGAAGGCAGCTACTCGTCAGTCGTGCTTCAGTATAGTCGCATCGCAAGTCTCGACAGGTTTGAGCTTGGTCATTGCAAGTCAAAGGTCAAAGGCTAGTCTAAACCTGCGATTTTCACGCTGCTGTAGCAACCTTCCACCATTCTCCCCGACTACACTTTCGTGAGCGCGTAATGGCGCCCTGAAGCCGTTTAATACATTTCGTCCGTCATTGTCATCTGTTATTCTATGCGTGCGACGTATCGTCACGCCCAGTCCACGGTGTCTGATTGTCAACATCAGTCGCCGATTTTACCGCGTCTTTACCCAGCTCCAAGCCACGCTCAAGCAGATGCACGACGCGTGGTTCGAGGATTTCTTCACGGCCGACATGAAGCAGCAGCTGCAGGCTCAAGCCCTTCCCGTCTCCCTATGCTACCCACTCTCCCCCCTCCCTTACCCCTGCTACCTGCTTGTTTCTCCCTTCTCTTCTGCAGCTCCAAGCCACGCTCAAGCAGATCCACGACGCGTGCTTCGAAGACCTGTTTACGGCCGACATGAAGCAGCAGCTGCAGGCGCTGCAGCAGGACGGCGGGGGCAGCGGGGGCGCGGGCGTGCGGCGCAGCAGCAGCCTGGGGACCCCGTACACGCAGAGCCAGTTCCCCGCGGGGCAACTGGCGGACGCGCTGGGCATGGACAGCGGGGGCGCGTTCCGCAAGGAGCAGGAGGCGCTGGCGCTGGAGAAGCGCAAGGCCGCGGAGAGCAGAGACAAGGCGCAAGAGGCGCTCATGGACCAGGTCAGTGGGAGGCAACGGGGGAAGGGGGGAGTTGAGTGGAGAAGGTGGGTGGGCGGCGGGAGCATTGGCGCTCGCGCTGGAGAAGCGCAAGGCCGCGGAGAGCAGAGACAAGGCGCAAGAAGCGCTTATGGACCAGGTCAGTGGGGGAGAGGGGAGGAAGAGGGGGAGGAGGAAAGGAGATTAGTGAGTGTAAGAGGGGGGGAGGAGAGGTACGGCGTTAGTGCTTGCGCTGGAGAAGCGCAAGGCCGCGGAGAGCAGGGACAAGACGCAGGAGGCGCTCATGGATCCGGTCAGTGGGGGGAACAAAGGGGAAGGGTGGAAAATGAGGGGGAATCGGGGGGAAGGTAATGTAGGGGATCTTTGCTGGCGCTGGAGAAGCACAAGGCCGCGGAGAGGAGGGATAAGGCGCAAGAAGCGCGCATGGTTCAGCTCAGTGGGGGGGAGGGGGAAGGGGGGGAAGAGGGGGAGAAGAGGGGGGCGAAGAGTGGGCGAAAAGGGGAGAAAGGGCGGGGAGGGGGGGGGGGGATGAGGGAGGGGGGTGGGGAAAGTAGCGGAGAGGAAGGTAGGCAGCGACAATGTGCAGGAGGCGCTGATGAATCAGGTCAGTGGGGTGGGAAAGGGTGGAGAAATGTTTTGAGACGTCTCAACAAAGGGTGGGGAAAATGGGTGCAAGGGGCGGGGGAAGGAAAGGTGAAGCTCCCTTCCATCCCCACGCTTGGCCAATGTTTTCCTCCCTCCAACCTCATGCCCACCTTTGGCACTTGCGCCCCAAACCCAACCTACACCTTCCACCAGCTGATCTCTGATGTGCATGGAGTGCGAGCTCCTCGCCTTTAAGGAATCCGAGGCGAAGGTCCTTCACAACCTCACCCTTAGATTCTCCCCGCTCCTCCCACCCCTCAACCCCAACCCCAACCCCAACCCCACCCCTACACGAACCTACACCTCTTTCAGCTGATCACCATTCTGATGCGCATGGAGCGGGAGCTGCCCGCTTTCAAGGAATCCCAGGCAAAGCTCGCCCGCGAGAGAGCCTCTGCAGCAGCAGCAGCCAGCTCAGGCGGCGGGCAGCGCGGCAGCAGCGGGCTCTCAGGCACCTCCTCCGTCCCCAAGTCCCCCAAAGAGCTCCTCAGCCCCACCCGCCGCCGCATGATGCTTCTGGCAAACGCTGTGGACGATATGACTGGGGATGCTGCTGGGCTGTCGCTTACTGGGAGCGGCGGGAGCGGGTCGGCGGGTCGGGAACGCCGAAGCAGGCGGTCTGGTGCGGAGGGGGGTGGTGCGGGGGAGGGCGGGCGTGAGTCGCAGCATGATAGGTACGACTCGCAGACCCAGCAGCAGCAGCAGCAGCAGCATTCGCGGTTTAGGGATGGGGAGGGGGATGGAGGCGGGCGGACGGACGACGATCGGCAGAAGGACCGGAACAGAGCAGTGCGAGGGGAGAGGGAGCATAGGAGGAGCACCGAGCGTAGGGACCGAGGCAAAGACGAACCTGGTTCGGGCACCGCCATGCCAGGTTCTAAAAGCACCGGGGGGGCAGGTGCGGGCGATGCCCGGTCCAAGTCACCGTTTGACATGGGCGGCAGGAAGGGCGGCGACGATTTGGAGTATATGGATGACCCGACACGGGCTCGTACCGGCAGTTCGAGTGGGAGAGAGAAGGATAAGATGGGGAAGACGGGCAGTGGGGGGAGCTCGGCTAGTAGCGTCTGCGGTGGGTCACGTACCCGGTCCAAGACTGGGCGTACTAGCAGTGTGGATAGGCCTGGAGGGAACGGGGATATGGGGGGGATGGGAGGGGAGTTAGGTGGGGAGGGCGGCGGGACAGGTGCGGAATGCTCCGACCCTGAAGCTGACCTGGCGGCGTATGATCCCGAGGCTCCGCAGCAGATCGTGCAGAATCTGCTGTTTGGGTCGGCGGAGGAGAAGGGCCGGGCGGCAGGGCTCGTCGGGTGGTATGCATCCATCTCAGCTGCTAACAGATCGACTTTCCGAGAAGCTGGTGCTGTAGACGCACTGCTGCCGCTGGCTGTGGGTGGGCCTAGGGACCCCAAGGGAGCAGAATCCGCCCTTGCCGCTCTGTTGAACCTGTCTAGTGATGAGATGGGGAAGCAGGAGCTGCTCACGCACCTCCCGCTGCTGATTCAGGCGCTCAAACGCGCGGATTTCTCCCCTGCAGCCGGCTCATCCGCTGCGAATGTGATGAAATGCGCTGCTTCCTTTTCGGACCGCGCCCGGGGGCTGGTTATCGATGCAGGAGCAGTCCCGCCACTCGTGAAGCAGCTCACCGGATCGAACAACGAAGGGATGCATCCGGGGTATGATACCCCGTCCAGGCAGGCTGCAGCCGAGGCTGTAGCGTGTCTCGCTCAGTGCGAGTCACAGCGGAGCAAGCTGGTGGGAGAAGGTGTGATTCCAGCCCTGGCGGTGGCCCTGCAGGCGAATCTGAACAACGAAACAGTGGTCGCCACGTGTCAAGCGCTCTCAAGGCTTGCAACGGTCCCGGACGGGAGGGAGGCGATGGGCGAGGCGATCCCGTCGCTGGTAACCGTGTTACGGCTGGATTACCCTGCGGCGGTGAGGGATGCGGTGGAGGCGTTGCTGCAGCTGGCGAAGCACAGCCCGACGCACAGAAGCAATATCAGGAACAGCGGAGGCATGCGGTACTTGCGGAATGTGTTGCGATCAGGCCCTCCTACTCTCCACCCAAAGGTGCGTGTGTAGTTGTGATTAGTCATGGGCTTTTATTAGTTTGCTAGTGGTTTTCAATCATGAAGCTTTGTTGCTGGTATGGTTCCTGCTTGCTTGTTTCCTTCTGCTCACCGAGGCTGCATTGTCTTTCTGGGTGGTGGCTGATTGGAATTTTGGGAATGTGAGGTGGGGGTGGTATGGTATGGTGTCTTTGTTGTTGTGTGCTTCGCTGGCATGTGTTTAATTTACAGGCTATGGAGCTTTTGGCAGCTCTTTTCTCCTAACTGGTTTGGCTATTGCAATTTCCATTATTATCGCCACTTGACTTGTAACCCTATCTTGCCTGACATGTGGCCACAGATTTGTGTGTGTGTCTAGACACGTCAGGATTCACTCACTGCTTTCAAGGGGCACTCCCAGTCTAGTTTTTAGAAACATGTGTAGTGCAGATTCTAGTAGGGCTAGGGAACTTCTTGTAGAGTACGATTAGGCAATGTCTATCTATGCAAATTATTTACTCCTGTATCGGGGGTTCTGAAAATATGGCGTGTAATATCGTATACGGCAGCAAACAATGAGAGTGACGACGAACTGGTCCAGAGTCGGTATGGTAGAATGTACTGTACGTCGATACAGTCTGGTTTAGTGTGGTGATTGGTAGTGTATTTCTGGCATGACATAACAATCCAGACCAAACTGAACCTCCACATCTTCCCTGTCCTGTCTCAGGGTACATTCCGCTCTTGACACATATGTCTCAATCTCGTCATACAACCTCTGTACCAGTCTGCACCGCATTACACCTAAGTTTCAAACATTTCCACCGCATTGCATCTCTTCGATTGAGACGCGAGGCCTTTGTGACGCGCTTCAGGAATTGACCCTCACTTGTTGTTTCTGATTTGCGTGTGAGCGACGCTCTCTGCTCTCTTTGCCCGCGCTGTTCTGTAACTCCATCAGCTCCAGCTAACAAGGGGAAGCGAGTGTCATGCATTCTAGTCTGGATGGTTCCGTGAGAAAGCAGCCTGGCGATTCTAGACGAAAACACCTGCGCTCAGTCTGAACGAGAAGCCGCCTTCAGCGTGATGCGACTGCTGCTTGAGTGCAGAGAGAACGATACGATCGTGCGACATGCCTCTTTTGGGCTGCATACACGAGATTCTTGAGCCGACTCGAAATCCTTTTCTCCCAAAGGAGAAAATATCGTGATGTAGCAACTACGCTCGAACCCTTGACAGGTTTAGGGTGCAGTACATGTCACATCGAAGTAGTCATGTGTTTCAGAGTACTACTCCGAACTAGTAGTGATGTCGCATCCCTACTTGGGTCATATTTCCTTAAGCACGAAGATGTTTCGCTCAGGTTGACGTGACATTTTCGCCGTCATGCGGCACCAAACCAGTCTCGTTCATCGCAAGCCTCGGCGGTATTGGCTGTCGCGGCAACGGTCTCTCGACAGGGAGACGTGACAGACGCCAAGCTGAACTCATCTTTGTGATAGCCACGTGAATTGAGGGTGGTTTTGAGACGTCTCAGAAACACCCTCAATTCACGCGACAGGCAGACGTGACAGACGCCAAGCTGAACCCATCTCCGTGATCTCCATTCTTTTATGCGGCTCATTCAGTGCTTGTCGTGGTTACATAAAGGGACTCATAGCGCTAAGTCAGCAGGTCACAAATTCGAAGCCTGAGTATTGCTTTGAAGAGCTAAGCTGACGAAGATGGCATCGCTTAAGTCGCTCGCTGGGCCGACTGCGCTGATCCTTTGCGTGCTGATTTCGTCAGGTGACTTCATGCTGACTTGACCTGATGCTACTTGTGCATTCTGTTACTCTGGTTTTGTTGCTTTCTGTCTACCAGCCACTCCTTGACCTTGCAGCAGGTCGCTAGTCACAAATGCACTGCGTGCGAGTCTAGTTAAATCCGAGCCTCTTTACGCATATTCCCCAATCAAATCTTATGAATCTTCAACCTTGGTTGGTCGCAGGATCAACCGTGGTGTTGGCATCTCGTGGCAAGGCGCTGGGAATCCGTGACACCACACAAGATGCTCATGACAATCATGCCGACTCGTTTGTCAGGCATCGCACTTTGACTGACTCCATTCCAGCAGAGCCCCTGCCAGAGGTTCCCCTCAACTCTTCGTCTAACAATGGTGGTGATGGGCTTAGCGGTGGCAGCGGTGAAAATCAGTCGATTTCCAACAACTTGTCTCAGACGGCTATATTGTCCCGCCTTGGATGGCCATCACCTCCCAATCCACCTGCTCTTGAATTCAGCCCGCCGGCGTCATCACCGCCACCACCGACGTCGCTGACATCATTGCCATCATTGCCGACATCATTGCCGACATCATTGCCGACATCATTGCCATCATTGCCGACGTCATTGCCATCATTGCCACCTGTCAACAACCCTCTGTCAGGCATCTGGTCATTCGTGACTGGATTACTCCACCAGGGAGGGCCATCTCCTCCCAGTCCACCCCCTGTCGCACGCACCTCACCACCACCATCACCACCATCACCACCATCACTGCAGTCGCCATGCGTGAACCAACCACTTTCAGGCATCTGGTCTCTTCTGCCGCCCTTCCTCCGCATTGGCGGTGGCAACAGCTGTAATGGCGACAGCAATGGCGGTGGTGTTGGCGGGGAGGCAGCATCGTCGGCCACGGCAGCAGTGGCGGCGGCTGTGGGACGTGTTGGTGGGGAAGTGGGGGAGGCGGCAGAGTTGCTGACAGGGCGCGGTGGTGGCGAGGAGGGATTGGCAGGAGCAGCGACGGCGGTGGTGGAACGTGTTGGTGGGGAGGTGGGGGAGGCGGCGGAGTTGCTGACAGGGCGTGGTGGTGGTGGCGTTTCCAGTGACGGCTCTGTTCTCGATGGAATCGATTTTCCTTACAGCGGGTTCAGCGGACACAACGCCAGCAGCCAGGCAAGCCGGGCTAGCCGTGCCAGTCGTGCTAGCCGCGCGAGCCGTGCCAGCCGTGCCAGCCGTGACAGCCGTGCTAGCAAGAATGCACTCCCTAGCCGCCTCACTTGATATGAGCTTTGAATATTCACGCTGTTATTTCTGTCTATAATATTTCCATTACATTCCGAACAAACCTGAGATTTCTACCTATCTGCAAGTGATCACCTCTAAAGTCCGTGTATACACGAATCACCTTACTGCTGCCCTGGATTGTGTCGCGGAAAAGGCCGTTGAGCTTTCGTTTTTTTCCCATCAGTAGCCAATCACATGCCTGGAAGAAGCCCGCCGCCAAGTCCTCGAGATTCGTCCACGAAGCTCGATATCCTCAACAAGAGGATGCGAGCACAACGAAAGAACACTGATGCCACGTCGGCGTGTGCGAAGAATTGTTCATGCTCGGCTCTTTTCTAGGATGCTTCCCCTTCGTCGATCTGGTCGTACGTCACATCGCCTGTCGCCGCCGACTCGTCGCATTCCCAGGGCAACCTCCAAGGCCAAATCCATCTTTGCTGACTGGCGACACCGGGCAGGAATACAGTCGCACAAATTCGACCGGAATCCCATAACCATATGACGTGGCAACGCGCCCCACAGCCTCGCTGTATATCTGGGCCCCTTGGGACGGTTCGCGGGACACCATGTGCTGTTTTTCCCCCATACCTGCCCCGCCCTCCCCGCCCCTCTTTTCCCCCACCCCACCAACTCTGCCTTGCAACCTCGTTGGCGGAACACTTGTCAACGCTTCCGCCAGTCCCCTCTGTTACCAAGAATTTATTTCAAATCTTCACCAAACACGCGCCACCCTTATTTCTCTCTCGAACCTTCCCATGACCACTTACCTCGCTTAACCGCAGAAGAACGCTGTTCACCTCCCTCAACTGTTTCCAAAACTTCCTCCCAACCACTTGCATTGCGTGCGTGTGTATGATGCCTCCTCTCCTCTCCCCCACTCGTCCTTTCACCCCTATCCCTCCCTCCCCTTTCTTTTCCCCCTTCGCTAGCTTCATTTTTGCTTACCCTAAATTCTGGCACTGCAGATTTGCATTTGCTGGTAATCCTCTGCTGCCGCTTCTTAGTCGCTGTCAACCTGATTTAGGGACCTGCTTTTCTTGGTTTCATAACAGACCTGTATTCTCGCTCCTGTCTGCGCGGCCTGTTTTGTGCGGTCTCCGCATAAAGCCATTGCACGAGCTTTCCACCGGCGTTTTATCACGGCAAAGCCCTGCTCCGTTTTAGTGTTCTCCGCGATTCTCGCATAGTAACTCGCGCGCAGTCCTATTCGCAGCACAGCTGCTTGACATCCAATACAGGCCTGTTCCGAACCAATCACCGTGGTCCTTCACTCGTACATAAGGGCCTCATCGGGACGACTTTTGTGGTTCCTCAGAAGTCTGCTTCGAACCAAGCATCCTGGTCCCTGTCTCGTACATGAGGGCCGTTTCGGCATCCCTCCTGTCTCCACGTCAGCATTCCCTCGTCGCTCCCCTCCTCGTTCCCCTCCGCTCTCCACCCCTCACTCCCCTCCGCACTCCCCTCCCCGCTCCTCTCCGCGCTCCCCTCCTGGCGCCCCAGCGTCTCAGAATCCCCAATGGCTCTCCTCGGCGCCCAACCCATCATCTCTTCTGTTCCTCTCTCAACCAACGCCCTAATCGCGGAAAAAGGTCATTTGTTGAGAAAAGAAGCTCGTCACTCGGACCTGTCTGGTCTGCACAGCACGTTGTTCTACACAGGCAGCCCTCTTACCAGCCGCGGCAACAGGCATACACAGGCAGCAGCCGAGAAAGAATCTCTAAGGCATCCGTTAGCGAGACGCTCGTTGGCGAAAAGTGTAGACAATCATCGTAGCTCACAGCCGGTGATATGTCCGCGTGGTTCGGTACTGTGTCCAGCTGGTTCGGGGCTGCGTGCGGGTAGTACGGAACGACGTTCGGGTGGTTCGGGGCTAGGCTCGGGTAGTTTTCCCAGTGATGGCGTTTGCTTGGGGTCCGCGGTTCGTAGTTCAAGCTTTTTAAACGTCGCTCGGTTGTCGAGGGTTTCGCATCTGGTCGCAAAGGCCGACGGAGCGTCGCGGGGTTGTGCATGCGACTCATTAGGGCGATATTTCTCGGCGCGTATATGCCTCTCGTCACCTCTTTCGTCGCCGTGTCTCCTCTCGAGCGTCGCTAGCGTTCGTTCGCTTCGCACGTTACCAACATGTACCGTTTCGCATCCGTCGGCGCGGTCGTCCCAGTTCGCCTCCGCGATTCGCATAGGAGCCCTTGGCCCGGTCGCACGGACGTCGCACGCGCGATCGTTCCGGCGATCTGCGTTCGGCACCCAATCACGAACGAGGACCGGCCAGCACCGTAACTTGTCTGCACCCATGTAAGACCTTGCATCTGTTAGTTTCCTTACAAATTATATTATGTATATGTCTTCAGGACTTGAGTGAGTGATCAATGAGTGAAAAAAGAAGGAAAAAAGGGATGTGGGACGTCTCAATGGTCGTCCCGTACCCTTGCCCTGCAGGACACCGCGGCGGGCGTTTAGGGGGCGGCGGCGCGCGCAGAAGAGCCGAGTCTCGGTGCAAGAGGCGGTGGAGGCGCGGGTTGAACAGATGTGCGATCACAGCAGCAGCAGCAGCAGTAACGGCAGCAACGGCAGCAACGGGAGCAACTGCAGCAGCAGCACCACTTGTGTAAGAGACAGCAGCAGCGGCAGCAGCAACAGATGTGTTAATGACAGCAGCAGCAGCAGCAGCAGCAGTAGCGTTGGTTCCGGCAGCTTCACTGGCCATGATATGGCGGCGGGTCTGTGCGGTGCGATTGTAACGAATGGGGGAGCAGCAGCAGCGGCAACAGCGGCGGCGGCGGCGGCGGCTGCTGGGGGGGCGGTGCTTGATTGTGACATTAGCGGGGCCTTGGATTTAGACGCGAACTTTGTGCCTGGGGCTGATGACGTGGCGCAGTTAGAGAGAGTGCTGGCGCAAGCTGACGTGGCATCAGTTACAGATTCTAGCGGCCGAGTTGTCATTCCCGATGCGGATTCGTTGAATCCCTTGGGATTGCCGCCAGACGTGTCAGTGGAGCCAAACATTCTGGATGGGTGGGCATCCTCGTTAAAAGACGAATCACTGGATTCGTTACAGGATTGGGTGAACTGGTTCGAAGGGCGCGATTCCCACTTGAATGTAGGCAGAAGTGAGTCTGGGCGTGACACGTGGGGAATCGGGAAGTGGGAGAAGTGGGAGAGAGGGGTACCGCCGAGTGAGGGTTCTGAGAAGGAATTGATTATCCCGGATGCCCTTCCGCTGCTGAGGGAAGAATCCTCGTTATTGGACGACTCGTCTTGCGCAAGTAACGAATCTGTGCTGCCGGATTTTCAAATACAACAGCTGCAGCAGAGGCAGCAGGAGCAGCATCAGAACGAGTTTGCAGAAGCAGTGGAATTCCACCCGCTGCAGCGAAAATTAGCTGAGGGGGAGGGGGGCGAGAAGCATGTGGGGAAGGAGGAAGCGGGAAAGCTATTATTGGAAGAAGCGTCGTCTGTGTTAGCTGCCGAGCCTGTCCATTCTACCAAGCCTGCCGAACCTGCCGAGCCTGCCGGGCCTGCCGAGGCTGCCGAGGCTGCTCATCCTGCTGCGCTGAGAGGTGAGTTGCCATGAATAGTGCAGCGTGGCAGGGCTGTTGCTCACCTGCAGCCTTGCCTGCCGTGGCAAGGCTGTTGCTCTTTTGCTCTTCAACTGCTGCTTTTCTCCCTTGCCTTTCCTCGTTCCTTCCACCCTTTCTCTATTCTCTGTTCTTTTTCCCTTTTCTACCTTTCAGTTTCCAACCACTGCACCGTTGTACAGTTCGTACTGCTTCTGCTGCTTCCTTTCTCCCTTCCCTTTCCCGGTACCATCGTCCCTTTGCTTCCCTCCCTCCCCCCCTCCCTCCCTCCCTACCTCCCTCCCTCTCTCCCGATGCGTCCTTCTACTGGGCATACATCTTTAACAGCTTCTTTTCTTCCCCCTCCCCCCTCCCGCCCCCCTCTCTCCCTCCTCCCTCCGTCCCCCCTCCGTCCCCCTCCCTCCCTCCCTCTCTTCTTTCCTCCTTCAATCGTTTTCCTTTCCCCCCCTTTCCCTCCCTCCCGCTGCAGCCTTCTACTGGACATACGTGTTCAACTGCTTCGGCGAGCACTCGTGGCGGTTTGCAGGAGCAGCGTTGCTAGCACTCCTGCATCACTCGCTGCTGCCCGTGGCTGTAGCCAGCTTCGTCAGCCAAGTGAGCCCCTTGAACTCACCCATGCCGCATGCATGCGCCCATGCACACTGCGTGAGCTAAAGTAACACCAGCGCGTGAGGAAAAGCGTTGCTGCATCACTCGCTGCTGCCCGTGGCTGTAGCCAGCTTCGTCAGCCAGGTGAGCCCCTAGCACTCAGCTACGCGCCCCCTCTCCTTGCACGCACGCCACACTGCACTCACACACACACGCGATGCACTCACACTCCCAGCACTCGCACTCGTGGCGGTTTGCAGGAGCAGCGCTGCTCGCGTTGCTGCACCACTCGCTGCTGCTGCCCGTGGCTGTAGCCAGCTTCGTCAGCCAGGTGAGGCACTTCAGGAAGAGAAAGCTTCTTTCTCTTTATTCCATTTCCCCTCAGGCAACACCCCCGCCATCGCTTCCCCCCCCCTCCCGGCGCGCCTGTAACACTGAGGTAACCTCGGTTTCATTCACTCCATGCCCTCTCCATTCCTTTCCAGACAAAACATTACCCCCCTTTTCCCCCGTGTCCCCCCTTTTCACCTCGATGACTGCACTCACTCACTCCACGTTCCTTCCCCTCCCCTTCCGCACCCCTCCCCACCCCAACCCTCCCTCTCTCTCTCCCCCAACAGTTGGTGGTATTTATAGGCGCTCCTCTAGTGGGAGACCTTATGGACTCGGCTCCCCGGGTGGCTGCATCCACCCTCCCACCCAACTCACTTCTCTCCCCTTCCCCAACCAACCCCTACCCTCCCCTACCTCCCCCCTTTTCCCCCATCCACCCAACAGTTGGTGGTATTTATAGGCGCTCCTCTGGTGGGAGAGCTTATGGACTCGGCTCCTCGGGTGGCTGCCTTCAGCACCATCTCTGTTGCCCAGGTGAGCCTTCAGGTGTCAGGTGTATTTTCAGGTTATTTTCATACATGTGAGTTATGCCACGCGCTCTTCTTTTTGGTGTGGTTGTGATTGTGATCTGGACCCGTCCTTTTTCCTCGCTCTCTCCGTGTTACTCATTTCTCAACCCCCTCACCTCCAAATAGGCAGACATGTACGCAACCAAACTTTCCTCCCCGTTCAAGCCTTTCCTCTCCCACTACCCATTTTATTGACTGTTCTTTTCTGTCTTGCCTTATTTATTTATCCTACACAGACCACAGCTATGGTAGTAGCAGCTCTAGCCACCATGCACGCCATTCAACTCGCCGCCCCAGCTGCAGCAGCAGCCGCTGTTGCAGGCGCAGCTGCCACGTCAGCCGCCACATCAGCCGCCACATCAGCTGCCACGTCAGCGCTGGCTGCTCTCCCGGGCACGGCTGTGCTGCGGCAAGTGTGGTTCATGGTACTGGTGGTGGCAGGCGCTGTTGAGAGACTCACTGGATTGGCCTCTGGAGTGGCGTTTGAGAGGGACTGGGTGATTGTGGTGAGTGTGAGAAGGGAGACAGATTGTGTGTGAGAGTGAGTGTTCGAGAGTGAGTGTGTGAGAGTGAGTGTGTGAGAGTGAGTGTGTAAGCGTGAGTGTGTGAGCGTGAGTGTGTGAGCGTGAGCTCCTCTTTCTCCCTCCCAACACTGTCAGTTCGTCGTTTCTGTTTACCTCCCAACCCTCTCATCCCTCTCATCTCTCTCATCCCTCTCACCTGCCATTTGAGTCGACTCAAGAGTAATTCGACCCCATCATTTCCGTGCTTCTGCTTACCCCTTCTACAATGCAACCCTGTCAGTTGGCAGGGCAGGATCGCCCCGTGGCTCTGGCCAACGCCAACGCCATGCTCCGGAGGGTGGACCTGTGCTGCGAGGTGAGAGCATGGGAAGCAGAGTAGGTGGCTTTTGAGTCAGGTATTGGTCGCACAGAATGTTCTTCAACTGTGGCCCTGGTCAACGCTCTTCACCATTTTTGGCTGGCTTGTTGTTGTTGTTTCTCCTCACTCCCTCACTCGACTAACTTTTTTGTACCTGCTCTCTCCTGTACTCCCTCTGCTTCTCTTCCCGCCCCCCTTTCCCCTCACCCACATCAGGTAGCAGCGCCGCTCATCTTCGGATGGCCCATTGTTGCCTTGGGCCCACTGGTCTGCAGCACCCCACCCTCTGCCATTCCTTCCCTTCTATTGTTGATGTCTTCTCATCCCCCTCTTCCCTTCTCCTCTCGCTCCTTCCTCTCCCCATCAGGTAGCAGCGCCGCTCATCTTTGGATGGCTCATCGTGGCCTTCGGCCCGCTGGTCTGCGCCGCACCCTCCCTCTGTCTCATATCATTTCCCGATTCCACCCCTCTCTCCTGTGCTCTCTTCTCTCCACTCCCCCCCCATCAGGTAGCAGCGCCGCTCATCTTTGGATGGCTCATCGTGGCCTTCGGCCCGCTGGTCTGCGCCGCACCCTCCCTCTGTCTCATATCATTTCCCGATTCCACCCCTCTCTCCTGTGCTCTCTTCTCTCCACTCCCCCCCATCAGGTAGCAGCGCCGCTCATCTTTGGATGGCTCATCGTGGCCTTCGGCCCGCTGGTCTGCGCCAGAGCATGCATCGCCCTCGTAGCCCTCTCCCTCCCTGCCCTGGTATGCTCTTGCTTCCCACCAAACACACACACACGCGCTCTCACTCAGTGCTTGCAGTTGTTCCCTTGTTCAGTTTTCATGTCTGCGTTAGAGCATGCATCGCCCTCGTAGCCCTCTCCCTCCCTGCCCTGGTATGCTACTGTGTCCCGCTTCTCTGCTATTGCTTCCTACCACACACACGTGCTCTGGATTCGCTCGCATTTCCCATGTGCCCATGTGCCCCCCTCAAGTCTAGCGTCTGCGATGTTGATTTTACCCTTGAGAATTCTCACACGTAAAATCAACGTTGCCCATGTGCCCATGTGCCCCCCTCAAGACTAGCGTCTGCGCCAGAGCATGTGTCGCCTTTGTTGCTCTCTCCCTCCCTGCCATGTCCTCTTCTTCGTCTACCGTCTCCCCACACGTCCCTTCCTCTCTTCCTCTCTCTTTCTTTCACTCCACCACTCCCCTTCACCCTCACAGCTTGCTCTCACCGCGCTCACCAACCGTCTCTCCCACGGAGCGCTCAGCAGAGCTCGGCCTATCAACAAGGAATGCATTGCGTCTGCTGGCATAAGTTTTCCACTTCCTCTTTTCCTCTTGGCCCCCTCTCCTTCCCTCCACTCCCACAGCTCGCTCTCACCGCGCTCACCAACCGTCTCTCCCACGGAGCACTCAGCAGAGCTCGGCCTATGAAGGAACAATGCCTTGGATTTGTTAACACGACGTTCCACCTTTCTCTCCTCCCCCCTCCTTTCACCTTGCCCCTCCCTTTCACCCCCGCAGCTCGCCCTCACCACGCTCACCAACCGCCTCTCCCAAGGAGCCCTCAGCAGGCCTCGCCCTATCGACAAACCTACTCATCCCTCGGAGGAATCTCAGCTGCTTGGTGTTCTTGAGAACAACCAAGAATGGATGAGTTCTGCTTCTGCGGCGCCTCAAAGCCCGCTTGGGGAAGTTGAGAGCACTCAGAAACCGATGCAACAAGAGCTTTCCTCCTCATCCTCTTCCTCTTCCTCGCTACAGGGGTCCTACGCACCTCACTCCTTCTCCGCACCGCCCTCGCCCCTCCTCCCCCTCCCTTCCTCCTCTCTATTCAGCAACTCTCTGGGTGCAGAACCCCTCGCCTCGCTCTGCTGCTGCCACCGCTCTTGCTCGCACCCTGTGAACGTGCCACATGCACCAGCAGGGATGTTGGGTGTTGAGCATCACAGGCACACGCTGCTGCGTGCGTGCAGCACTGGTCGTGATTGTGGTGCTGCTGCTGGTCCTGCCGCGGCTGGTCCTGCCGCTGCTGCTCCCGCCGTTACTGTTGCTGGAGAGGGTGTTGGGAAATCGCTGGATAAAGCAGTGCGGGGGTTGGGGAGAGTGACAGAGGCAGCAGCGAAAACGCTAGATAATGCAGCGGCCGGGGTGGGGAGAGTGGCGGAAGCAGCAGGGAAGGGGTGGCGGTGCTACGTGCAGCAGGCTGTGATGCCCGCCAGTGCAGCCTACGTGCTTCTCTTCTTTAATGCTGTGCTGTCTCCGGGGGGGCTCCTCACATCCTTCCTCTCCCAACATGGTAAGGGATTGTCTTGTATGACACTCATGCGAGTCATCCCTACCCATGCCTGGTGCGAGCAGTGATGCCCGCCAGTGCAGCCTACGTGCTGCTCTTCTTCAATGCTGTTTTATCACCAGGGGGCCTTCTCACCTCCTTCCTCTCCCAACACGGTAAGAATTTGCCTGCTTCATCTGCTAGTCACGCCCAGTGATGCCCGCCAGTGCAGCCTACGTGCTGCTCTTCTTCAATGCTGTGCTCTCGCCTGGAGGGCTGCTCACCTCCTTTTTGTCCCAGCACGGTGAGTGAAGATGTTTCCTTGTATGTGCGGATCATCCCAGCAGCAGGCTGTGATGCCCGCCAGTGCAGCCTACGTGCTGCTCTTCTTCAATGCCGTGTTGCCACCAGGAGGGCTGCTCACCTCCTTTCTGTCCCAACACGGTGAGTTTCCTCCTGCCTAGTCATCCCTTCCCATGCCTACATGCCTGCAGCAGGCTGTGATGCCCGCCAGTGCAGCCTACGTGCTGCTTTTCTTCAATGCTGTGCTGTCGCCAGGTGGTTTCCTCACCTCCTTCCTCTCCCAGCACTGTGAGTGCAGGGGTTGCCTCATGTTTTGAGTCGACTCAAAACACAACTCACTGTTGTCGCCAGGTGGTTTCCTCACCTCCTTCCTTCCTCTCTTGACACAGTAAGTGCAGGGGTTGCCTCATCTGCCAGTCATGCCCACTCATGGCTGAGCATGCAGCATGTGCTGTGTTATACCCACTCGCACTCCCTCCCTCCCTCCTGCCCTCCCTCTCTCCCTCCCTCCCTCACTCCCTCCCTCCCTCCCTCCCTCCCGTCCTCCCGTCCTCCCTTCCTCCCTCCCATTCTCCTCTCCCCACCTCCCTTCCCTTCCCCGTTTCTCCAACCACCAGGCGTGCAGATGTCAGTGATAGGGGCCTTCAGAGGCGCATGTGCTATGTTATACCCTCCCTTCCTCCTCCACGCACACATAAATCCCCCCTTCCCTCTTCTCACACTACCAGGCGTGAAGATGTCAGTGATAGGGGCCTTCAGAGGCGCCTGTGCTGCCATGGGCTTTGCTGCTACCTTCGTTTCGCCACTGCTCGTGGCGCGACTGGGTGTGCTACAGGTGCAGTGCGGTGCAGTGCGGTTCTGGAAGGGTGCAGTGTTGTGCTGTAGTGGTGCAGTGCGGTGCAGGGGGGGTGGGGGGGGGGGGGGGGGGGGGGGAGGGGAACGCGGTGCAGTGAGAGGGGAATGGGTGCGCTGCCATTGGCTTTGCTGCCACGTTCGTTTCGCCACCGCTCGTGTGGCACGACTTGGGGTGCTACAGGTATTGTGGTGCAGTGTGGTGAAGTGGGATACAGTGTGGCGTAGTGGGGTGCAGTGAGAGGGGAAAGGGCTCTCCGCCACCTTTGTTCTGCCACCACTTTTGCTGGCAGTGTGGCTCATATTCCAAGCGCCCTTATTCCTCGAATTGTGCTGTCATTTCCCTCTCTCACACACGTTCCCCACCCCAACCTTCCCCCCCCTCCCTCCCTATCCCATCACTTCCCCTTACCCTCCTCCTCTCGCTTTTCTAGGCCAATGCTCCTCTCATCAAATTTGACTCTGGCTGTGCTTCTGGCTTATCACCTCAATTATTGTCTGGCTCTGACAGTGCCTCTCTCTTATTCCAAGTGCTGTTGTTGGCCCTTAAAGTTGTTTTCTCCTCTTTGTACGCACTCCCGAAGCCTCCCCCTTTCCCCCCTACCCCTTTTTCTAATGCCATTCAATCCCATCCCATCACGTCCCCCGTTATGCCCCGCTTTCCCTTTCCATCCAATCAGGCTGGCAGTGCTGCTCTCGTATTCCAAGCTCTCCTCCTCGCCCTCGCAGTTGCCATTTTCTCCTCTCTCTCGCGCTGTCCTCCGGTGCTGCAGCAGGGGATGCTGCTGCTCTTCCTTGTCCTCGTCGTGAGTCGTCTCTCCTTGCTAGTAATCCTTTTTTCTCTCACTCACGCACACACACATCCACTCGCTCTCTCTCGCGCTGTCCTCCGGTGCTGCAACAGGGGCTGCTGCTGCTCTTCCTCCTCCTTGTTGTGAGTCTCTCTCTTACACACACACCCTCGCACACACACACATACATTCCCTCTCTCTCGCGCGCTGCCCTCGGGTGCTGCAACAGGGGTTGCTGCTGCTCTTCCTTGTCCTCGTCGTGAGTCACATCCTTCTCTTATCACTCCTGAGCCCCAACTCTTATGTCAGTTTCTCAGGTGTTCTGAAAATATTTTAAGCCTTTCATCCCCCAACTGCTCTCTCTCTCGTATGTCACGGACGACGATTCATGTTATCTATCATCACCTATCATCACCTCTCGTCACCACTTGTCACCTCCCGTCACCGTTCGCACCTTCTCCCCTCTCCCTTCTCCCACCCACTTATTCTCCAGGTGCTTTCTTGAGTGGCCCACTGAAGGTTTGAGGTCATCACCTCTCATCACCTATCGTCACCTCTCATCACCTATCGTCACCTCTCATCACCTATCGTCACCTCTCATCAACCCTCTTATCACCCTCTCACCTTCCAGGTGCTCTCCCGAGTGGGCCACTGGACGTTTGAAATCGTCGACTCTCAAATCTCCAGACCGCCATCCCCCCCGCCTCCGCCAATCTCATCGGCACCACCGAGATCGCCCTCGCCAGCCTGGCAGAGCTGCTAATGTTAGGACTCGCCATAGTCGTTCACGATCCCAAGCTCTTTGGGGCTCTCGCCAGCCTGCCAGAGCTACTAATGCTGGCCCTGGCCCAACCAACCTAACCGCCTTTGACTCCCGTTCTTCTCTTGCCTGTACATTCCTCTTTGCCCACCCTTTCTTCCCTCCAGGTGCTGTCTCGAGTGGGCCACTGGACGTTTGAAATCGTCGACTCGCAAATAATCCAAACAGCCATCCCGCCCGCCTCCGCCAATCTCATCGGCACCACCGAGATCGCCCTCGCCAGCCTGGCGGAGCTACTAATGTTAGGACTCGCAATAGTCGTTCACGATCCCAAGCACTTTGCTGCTCTCGCTGCCATGTCCATGGCTGCTGTTTTTGCTGCGGCTGGGGTTTACTGCTCCTGGCTGGCTCGGCCCGATCCGAGGATTGAAAAGCTGTTCCCGAACCAGCCGGAGGTTCGGTGGGGGGGGATGTTTGGGAGGCGGGGGGACGGAGGGGGGAGGAAGTGAGGAGCGTGTGTGGTTGGGGTATCGAGACGGAGATGTGTTGAGAAGGAAAGAGATGTTGATTGGTGGCTGTGCTGCTGCTGACGCCGGTCCTGTTTGGTCCGGAGGTTGAGCCAGCCTAAGTGCTTGCCGAGCCTGACCTTCGGACAACACTGGTGCGAAGGTGAGAAAAGGCTCGGGGAGCAGCGGTGAGCTGTCGACTGTTGAGTCGGCTCAAAAGCTATTGGTGCCTGCTAGTGTGAGTTGTGACTGATGCTGGAGGTGTATGCTGGTGTGGGTTGTGACTGACGCTGTAGGTGTCTGCAGGTGTGGGTTGTGACTGACGCTGTAGGTGTCTGCTGGTGTGAATGACGCAACTGCTGTCTGCTGGTTTGGATGACAGTGTGAGCTGGTTTGGGAATCTTGTAGGTGTGCCTGAAGCTACTTGATCTGGCTCAAAGGTCTGGGGACTGAGTGACAGCTGTTGGTGTAACAGCAGCAGCAGCAGCAGCAGCAGCAGCAGCAGCAGCAGCAGCAGCAGCACAGTTGGAAATGGCAACTGCAGCAGCAATGGCAACAACAGAAGCTCGAGTAACAGCAGCACCACCATCAAGAAAAGAAGCAACGGCAACAGGTGAAGCAACATCAGCTGTGGGGACGGCAGCAGCGACATCAAACAGCAGGAACGAACACAGCACTTGCAGAAGTAGCAGCTTCAACAGCAGCAGCAGCAGCAGCAGCAGCAGGCAGACACAACAGCACCAACAGCAGCGGCAGTGCTAACAGCAACGACAAAGTGCAGCATAAGGAGCTTCCCTGGATTACGGTAAAAGCCAAACTGCTGCTTTCTGGGCACCCCTCGTGCCACTTCTGCCATGTCGGGCTTGGCTTGACATCCGATGAAAGGAGGCAACAGCGCCAGCGAATGTCTGCTTCTTTGGCTGGTCAATACTGTAGTGTTAGATCTGCAACCGGGGCGGTAAGGCGCTGATATGTGTGAAACAGATCCTGAGTGGGTTTTGAGAAGCAGAAGCCTTTGTATCGAAGAGCTCTAATGACATATGCAGGGTATATCAGCTACTCAAGAACCATACCCCAAGGGTTTTAGGAAGAGAAACTCGAATTCACAACTAAGGAATTTATGCTCAGGGTGCAATATATATTAAAAGCTATGTTGGACTTACTGTACGTGGTGCAATATCAAAAGTGCGGCTGGAGCTGGGTTGCGACGTCCCAACCAACCAACCTCCCAACCAATCTGGTCACGCTTGGTCATGAAACAAGAGTGGCTGGCTGCTAGCTTCGACCAATCAAGCACCCTTGCTCAGCCCCCCCTCCGAGGCAACCAGCTACGTCGCGGCGCCGCCGTCTTTTCCCCCCCAAATGAGCCAGATTCATGCTTTTGGCTTCTCCAAGTCTCCAAGACCTTTGGTTTGGTTTGGTGTTTTGCTATGGTCGAGTTTCCCGGCAGAGCTAGTCAAACCTGATCGGTTGCGACGAAAATCAGATTATTTCACTTGAAACCCAAAATTATCTAGTGAAGTGAGTCATATATCCTCAGATTTTGGGGCAAACGGGCAATAAAAAGCCATTACAGGTTCTTGGCTGACGTGGTGTCATTCATGTTTGATAAATACTTGAGAAAATTCATAGTTTTCATCTTCAGAAATCCCTGGTCTTAACAATTCACCTGAGACTGTTCACACACTGCTCCAGGCCTGACGCAGGGTTCAGGTCTGGTCACAAACATACCTGGTTCTTGCAGAACCAGTGACCGAGCCTTGCTGGTCTCGTAACAAGAACGGCTCAGGCCGGGTAGGCCCCTCTTCCAACCAATGGCACAAGCAGGACGGCGTGCCAAGCCAAATCTTCGAGCTTGATCCGAACCGTAATATCCAAACGAACCTCTCACACAAGCTGGTCTTCGGATTCTGCCCACGTTGGGATTCCAGCCCCAGCATCAGAATTCACGAATTCTATAAACTGCGGCCCCAATTCTATTTCCACAACCAGCCTTCTGGATTCTCCTAGTAATACAAGAATCTACTACCTCCTTCCGCCACGAGTGTTTGAGGTGTACCCCCACAACCAGCATGAGGACTTCCGTTCTCCTCGGCGCGCTTGTTCTGCTCGCCGCTCTCTTCGTCGCTGCTAATGCCGTCCCGGGTAAGGATGTTTTATTTTTTTTTCGTGAATTAGTAGTTGAAATGCTGACTCGAATTAGTTTATACGATTTCTATCATCTCATTATTTCATCGTACGTATTCTCGCAGAGGATGTCTCTGTCATGGAGGAAATCGAGCGCGTCCTGATGGAGGAAACCCCTGGACCGTCGTGCATTGAGAAGTTCAAGACAAGCCGCAAGGCGTGCGTGAGGGATCACAAGAGCAAGGACAAGGTCGACAGCTGCATTGCCAAGGCGTACAAGGGCTTTAAGATCTGCAAGTCGAAGAAGCCGCCGATGCCGCCGATGCCTAAGATGCCGCCGCCGCCCTGCGAGAAGCTGTGCAAGATGCTCTACGATAACTGCAAGATGAACAACAAGGGCAGCTGCGGGATGAAGTACAACAACTGCATTACGAACAACTGCTCTTAAGTGGACGTCGCCGCGCGTTCAAGGCCACGCCAAGGTTGAAATTTGCAACCTTCTGACGCCACGGGTGGCTGAAGAATGGGTGAACCCTTCTGACATTTCGGAATTTTGTGATGGGGAATAAGGAGTTTGCATAGTATGGTTGCGTTGTGTGACGTCCCAGGAAAGAGGAGCTTGTATTAGTTGGTTGCGTACTGAGATGCTGGGTTGATCATGTGTTGTAATTTCTACGGGAAAATAAAATTATTGTTGCGAAAAAAAACATATACGACCGTGACAAAACACTAGACAGCTCACACACGTTAATTTCCACCTAGAGCTAGACTTTTGGCGACCCCTCCAAACGCATTTTTCATTGATACAACCCCCAAATTGAGTCTGGGCACTCCACATCTCATCATAGTTTACTAATTTGCCACAGAGCGCACTTCCATTCCGGAGTAGTAATGTGAAAGGTGGAGTTGTGTTGCTTGTTGAAATAATAAATGAATGTTAGACAACAAATGTAAGCTAGTTTCGGATTGCCATCTTGTTAGCGTAACAGCTCATAAGGTGTACGGCGGGGTGCGAAGGCTGCGCCTGGAACTGGCCCGTGTGTCCCCCCCCAAATTTCTCCTGACCACACAACGCTGGTCAAGTACCGTCAAGTGTCTGAGCAGCCCTCCAGGCTCGACTTTCAGGTTTGTTCAGTCACCACACCACAGTGTTATGGCGGTGCGATACATCTTTCTCACCTTGTTCCAGCAAAATATTTGCGGGCACGATGTTATGAGGGTCAGAATGCTCGATTTAAACAAAGTATTGTTATACATTCAAGAACACAGGTGTATCGACTCGACGCAATCCATGTCAATTTCCACGCTTGACATTGTACACCTAGTCCGCGGTATTTTAACCGCCGCTATCTTAACCGCGCGAGGGTACTTCTCCTTGGTCAAACTTTTTTATACGAGTAGTTTTAAAATTTATTGAGGGTAGAATCTAGCATACCCTTTGTGAGGCGACGGCAGTCAAAACCTGGTCAATGCCGATCAGCCCTCTATTTCGGAGCACTAAGTGTGAGTTTCTTTAAAAGGAAATGCTTTTGGCTGCGAAACAATAGCCTTGAAGTCTCTGGGTGCCCATCTCATTACCCGAAAATGAACAAAGGGTGTTTGAAGCAAAACAGTTCACGTGGTTAAAATACCGCGGACTAGGTGTATGTCCATTCATAGTTGCCCTGAATGCTCGAGCTGTCAGGTTTATTCTCATGCCGAGCCCAAATATTCCACCTGAACTTGTCATCTTGCCCCAGGTCCCTTCAGTCCCAACAACCCCTTCTGACCCCCTTCCAGCTCACAGAATGCCTGACCAAGTTCCCTTCTCTTTCCAGACCTGGTTTCTCCGGCACCACATACCTTCCTAACCAGTCTCGCGGCGTGTCTCATCCCGATTCGCGGAGTTGGCGACAGACCGGGGAACGAAGCAGCTTGGACCAATTGCGTAAGGGTGTCGGTTCGCCAAGCCAGAACCAGACCCTATGCCGAACCAAAATGTCCAAACGAGCCGCAAACCCAAGCTAGCAACCCAAATTCGCTATGGAAGGGGACACTTGCGTTCCTGCATTCCATCCAGCAAAATTCAGCCCCCAACAGCAGCACTCGCATCTAGTATATATTCCAAGCCAAAATCATTTACAGCCAGGAAATGCCAGTAGCACTATTCGATCAGCAGTGGCCTAGCATCCTCCTGCCGCCAGTATGAAGACTTCAGCCCTACTCTGCGGGATTGTCCTGCTCTCCGCTCTGCTCCTCGCTGCTAACGCCGTCCCTGGTACGCACGATTCGTGAGAACAAGAAATCGTTAGAGAATTAATGCTCCTTACACGCAACGCCGTAAATTTGCCGATTTCTCACGCGTAAATTATATATTCCGTGTATGTACCTGCAGACCCCGTCTCTTTTATGAGGAACAGGCGGGTTCTAAGCCACAGCAACAACGACTACGACTCGTCGTGCCTGGGAAAGTTCAAGACAAGCCAGTATAAATGCAGGAGGGATCACAAGTGCTGCGACCAGAGCGACTCGTCGTACGACAGCTACAAGTGCACGAGGAAGATTGACAGTTGCGAGGCAAAGGCGTACAAGAAATTCAAGACGTGCAAGTACGGCGACGCGAAGCCTTCTTCTTCATCTAATAACAGCTGTTATGACTGGTGCAAGTACGTGAAGAAGCAGTGCAAGGAAGACGACGATGACGACTGTGACTATAAGTACAAGCGCTGCAAGAACGATTGCTGAATAGAGCATGTGTGGTGCCTGGTTGCGCGGAGTAGCAATATGGTGCTGGCTGGGATGGGGTATTTGGGTATTCAAAAAATAGGGTAGGTGGGAATTATTTTTTGTTTCTGGACATAATGTTGGAAGGCCTGTGAACTGTTATTGTTATTATTGATTGCAAGAGACAACACACCAAGAAAATGGTTATTTGACGTTGAGCTTGAACTAATAGGTTAGCATAACTCGGCCCGGATGTAAAATCATGGAGTGAGAAGTCTGCGTGAGTGTTACGTACGGTAGGAAACAGTTTCGAATTACAGATATGAGTTACGTTAGAAGTTAGCAGTACTTGTAAACGAAAGCTTCGAAACGTAGTATATCGCACCATCAAGCCGAGGCGCTACGCCTGGCTTCCGCCGTCAACAAAGAAACCTTCCAGGCTTCCACCCTTCCCCCCTCCTCCTCCCCCCGCGCCCACCTCAGCCTGGGACGAGCCGCCGCCGTCTTTTGAGCGAAGCGGCCAGGCTCGTTCCCGGGTTTTCCCAAACCAAGTCTAGCCTTAGTGGGAGGTTGGGGGGGGAAGCGGCTGATAAAAAATGGGGCAGATTCAAACTGCACAGATGTTCGGGCAAAGTGATCCGCAATCAGCGGAAAGCCAGGTAAGAAACCAGGATTTTGTATTTTGGGATTTCGGGTAGTTCCATTGAAGTTGCGAGTGTTCGAGCGCGATGCGAGACGCTTACCAGGTCAGCTAATATCAGATAATCTCATGCTTTGCCTGATACCGCAAGTTGAATGTATCTCTGTAGCCGAGGCGCATGTTTCGTTCTGCGAGTCGCAATTGCGTCAACAAATTTGCCCCAAATCTTGCCAACACCACATTTCGCCCCTCCGAAGAACCTCCCCCTTGAGAAATCTCCTTCAGTCCTCAACGCTAGAATCCACCCGCGCAGCCATGAATCGCGACGCTATTCCACGAAATGTGGGAGATTCAGTCTTGGCTGACGACTTACAACTATAAATATGCCCCTATTCTCTTCCTCACAGCAGCAAATCATTAAAAGATTACACCATTTGACCAAATTCCATTTTTCGTCCAGAATTGTCAGATTTCCCCCGTTATTGCCAGCATGAAGACTTTCGTGTTGCTCTCCGGGCTGGTTCTGCTGTGCGCAATGCTCGCCGTAACATCCGCGCCTGTTGCGGAGGCGAACGCAGTGTCCGAGTTCGATGCCGCTCCTGCTGTCGCTGGTAAGACTCTCGCCGAAAAAGAATGAAAAATCTATCTATTATCATTGTTAAAAGTACCTGCTGGGAACACACTTTTAGCATTACTATGCGCATTGCTCTGCGCAACCTACGGATTGCTTGAGGACTGCTTGAGGAATGCTAGTGCGCATTGTCTAAGGTTTGATCGAGCATTGAAAGGACATTGCTAATACTCTATACTGGCTACCTCGTTATGTTTTCTATCCACTAACCGTAAAATACACTGAGTTTAGAAAACAGTTTACAGCTATATTTTCATAAAACGTTTGTGCTTAAACCAAATGTGACACTAAGCAAAATCAGACGTTATTAATTGCGATAGTGTACAGTACTACACGCAAAATCAGTAAAAAGCATGTAGCTCCTGACAAAATTTCCAAAGTACAGAACGGTGTTACAGTTCACATTTTTTAGACGATCCACATTATTTAAAAAAAAAAGTAGGGTACACATGTTTACAACTCAGCATTAGTATACTTTTTATGATATTAGAGTTCATAGCATGAATTTGACATGTGCCTAACAATTTGACAGCTACCCCTGAAGCCATTAATGTACCCCCAACTTAGCAAGACCTACAAGTTGCGCATTGCTCACACACATACAAAACACAAACGAAGCACTGGGTTGAGGGTGAAAAGCAAACTTTCAGCAAACAGGAAGAAAGAATTACGAAGCGCTTCAACAATACCCCTGCATACGCCAGTCACACTCAAATCCCGAAGTATTAAACTCGGCGTAGGTTGTGCGCTTGTACATTGTATGAAAGTCATGACTCTGCACATAGGATAAACAGACAACACAACCCATTTGATAGTCAAGGACTCAGCGCATTAGTCACACGAATTTCCTAAGAAACATAAGAGTAGGAGGCGGGGCGTAGAGATAGTAAATGGCTCGGAGTGACCTTAGTTCGAGCAGGAGCACATGGCAGCGATGGCGCGGGAGCGTGAGAGCGTGCTGTGCGCCGCGCTGGCACTGGCATGGTGGCTCGCCGTCGTTGTCACGCCCGTCTGGTGCCGCTCGTTGTCCCTCGCCATCGTTATCACGCCCATCGCTCGCCAATGTTGACAGGCGCCCTCGTTGTCGCCGCCCGTCGCTCGCCGTAGTTGTCGCGCCCGTCGCTCGTTGTCGTTGTCGCGCCCATCACTGCTGAACGCCGTGCCGCTCGAAGCCACACACGGTGCAGCTCACGGAGAATGCGACCTTTCGATCACATAGTAATCTGTTATAGAGAGGGGGCGGATTGGTAGAAGAAAAGGAACGGGCGGGGCAGAGCGTTAGTTGCAAGATTCGTAAAACAATAGTGGAATGGGCGAGGGAGACAGTTACAAAGCGGCTCGCTGTGAGATACGTTTGAGCAGGGGCGCTAGAAGACCAAGGCACTAGGAAATCGCGAGGTTAGGACACAACACACGAAATGAATCTGGTGTTTGAAACTGGGCCTCTTCAAGCCCCTCATTTCGGACCCTAAGCCGATATGCTTGCCAGCTGTGCCAACTTAGCACGGTTGGGGCTAAAACAGTGGCTCGCGAATTGACGAGTTGAGTGGCGATGTGGTTACTACTGCTTATAATTGCTAATCGTGGGTTTGCAAAACACGTGGTTAGTATGCGCTGTAAAAAAACTTCGCGTCACGAGGATGGGCTCGGACCGACGTGTCACACCCTTCTCTAATCCACAAGTACACCTCAGCTTTGAAATGTCGAGTGGAACTTGTAAGAATCCTAAGAACGAGCCCATCTTTATATTATCGAGTTGAACTTGTAAGAAGGATGAAAAATTCAGGACGCCTAAATACCGGACGGCCAATCGTCACGCGCTTGTCTCAAAGTAGCGCAGCCAATCACCACGCGCTTGTCTCAGAGTAGCGCGGCCAATCAGCACACGCTTGTCTCAGAGTAGCGCGGCCAATCAGCATGCGTCTGCGAAATGGTTTGCAAACATGTGCACTTCTCACGGCATCTCATAATGGTGTCGTTCTGTAGGCACCTGACGATTGGGGGAGGAGGGAGGGAGAAGGTAAATGAGGAGGGTTCCGAGGTGGGTTCCGAGGTCGATTTCCCCCCCCTGGGCAAACACGCGTGATGAGAAATTTCGGATTTTGGGGAGGTAGTTTCCGAGGGAAAATGACGAACTTCTCGCGGAATTTCTCGCGCCCAATGGAGGGATAAAACGTGACCATCGAATGCAGGACCAGGGTAGTTATTTGGGGCTGGGCGTTTTCAACATAGAAATCCCCAACATACAGGAGTGGTGAGCAGGCCGCCAGGGTTTTCACTTTGGTGGCAGGTGTGAGTTTTTTATTTTCGATTGGAGATTTGCTACCCGGTTTGGGTTAGTGCCTGTACATGGAGCTTGTTTCTTGGGTGGGAGGCTGGTGTTCCCACGCCCAGCTCCTCCCTCCCGTCACCGTCGCACTTCCCCGTGAAGGGTGGGTGGCCGATGGCGGGGCGGAGGCAAATAAATTTGCCCGCGGAGGAAGGTGGTGAGGGGAAATAGGAACCTTCTTGTGGGTGCATTTCCCTCGAGGGAAATGACTGTTCTGTAGGCATTTCCCTTCGATTAGGTTCGGAAGGGAAATGACTGCCACGTCGGCATTTTCTGGGCTGACCGCCCTTTCGAACCTAAAATTGCAGAGGCAGGCAGCTTCCTATTTTCCCTCCCCCTCCCTCCGTGATGCCTACAGAACAACACCAGTGTTTCCGATCCCTCCCAACCATTCATCCAACTTTCCGCCAACTTTGTGAATGTGAATACCTGCGCATGGTAGCCCTTATGGTGTTTTTGGCTGCTCTCATTCTTTGTTGAGACATCCACTATCATGTCCCACATAATAGTGTGTGGGAATAAGGCTGAACCCCCCTTCCGGCCATGGTTCCCCGAAAGGGTACATAATTTCGGTCTGGTCGCGTGCCATGGAGTTTCTGTTTCTATGTCTCTTGATCTGTGAGTGCAGACCGCCGCTTCCCTGCTCTCATTGGTGGCGACAGGCGCATTCTGACCGACGACAGACACGAATACAAGCACGACGACAAGCACGACGACAAGCACGACGATCACGACGACCACGACGACCACAAGGACGATCATCACGACGACAAAGACGACAAACACGATGACGATGATGACGACGACAAGCCGACGTGCATGGAAAAGTACAAGAAGCGCTACGCCCAGTGCGACAAGAACGAGCAGAAATGCGAGGACAAGGCTGAGTGCGACGACGACATGGTGGCGTGCGAGAAGAAGTCCAAGACGTGCGAGGTGAAGTCCAAGGCGTGCGAGGTGAAGGCCTACCGGAGCTTCAAGGCGTGCAAGTACGGCAAGTGGGACTGCACGGACTGGTGCGAGTACTACAGGCGCCAGTGCTACTCCAAGAAAAGGGGCCACTGTGAGGATAAGTATGACGACTGCAAGGACGACTGCTAGATGCTCATGACGTGCACTCTCTCACACGCCACACTTTGCTAAAGAAGTCAAGATTCTGATTTTGAGACAGTTGACAAGGGGATTTTTGGGAGTTTCTGATTATCAAGGGTAGAAGTGGGCTGTGGGTCTAAAGCAGTTGACAATGGTCGTTTGGTCTGTTGGGAACCAATTAGCTCAGTCGTTTAGGTGGTTGGGTTCTAGAATGGGAGAAGAGAAGCATTCATTGGGAAGGAAGATATGGCAGTAGTAGGATGCTTGCTGTAGGGGTGGATGTAAGCTTGAATGGTAATAAAGCATGGGTTTTTTCCATGCACTATTTTGGTAAGCTACCCAAGTGACTGTCCACTCAAGTTGACCATCACCGGAACTGCAGCCCATCTAAGGCGGATCACCAGACCATGAACTACTTCTCATTCGGTGCAAGGGACTGGAATGGTTGCTATGCCTAATGATGCGTCCTCCATGATTGCGGGCATTAATTGATGCTGTATGTTCCAATGTGCTGTTGGTTTTATTGGAACCACCCTCCGCAAGGGTACCAGTAGGTTGTGCTTTTGATACACTGATAAATCAAGTCTAACGCCACACCAACCACTGCAGCATTTGTTCAGTGTACAATCCAGACATGATTTTGGTCAACATACAAACGATTGGTCATGTACCGTATGAGTACCGTAAGAGGACCCTTCTACTACTGACATCCACACAATACAGTAACTGTGCTGAATGGAGTGATGCACGAGATGGGACGATTGTATTACTCCATTTCATGGTAGATGTAGGCAGCCTCGTCAATTCGCTTCATATCATGCGCAGCTCATACTCGCCAGCCATTGTGATGTAACGCACCCACGGCAATGCTTGATAACCACTCTTCTCAATGATCTTGAGATAACGCACCTGGATGGATGCAGAATGAAACACAAGGGGATAGGTTGCGACGACAGGGGTGGGAGGTGGGTATGAGCAGCGGAAAGAGGATTGATTACAAGTGGAACAAAACGCTGAAAACAAGATCGATCGACACACATATTAAACCTTCCCTTCACACTTGAACACCTCGTCTCGCAGCTCTAACAATAATAACGCATCTAGTGATAAGAACTCACCTCCCCCCCTCCCCTTTCTCTCCCCACCTCCCCATCCACCCAATTGCAACCACACAACAGGTGACCCAACAGTTAGCACAATCTGCCAATCCACATGAGCACCTGACGAACGCCCTGTCTTTCTCACCTGAATGCCAGAGACTGTGAAGTAGGGTATCTCGAATTTAACGCGGATAGGAGCCTTCTTCTCTGCCACGTCATCCTCTGCTGCCACACTGGGCAGGCTGAAACGCGCTCGCAGCAGGTACTCCTGAAGGGATGTGAAGTCCAGGGGTGGGGGGAGGGAACAAGGGTATGGAAGGGGGGAGGGGGTTCAGTCACTCCCAACACTCGCCATCCTCGGCTGCCACACTGGGCAGGCTGAAGCGCGCTCGCTGCAGGTACTCCTGAAGGGATGTGAAGTCCAGGGATGGAGGAAGGAACAAGGGTATGGAAGGGGAGAAAGGGTTCAGTCACTCCCAACACTCGCCATCCTCTGCTGCCACACTGGGCAGGCTGAAACGCGCTCGCTGCAGATACTCCTGAGGGGACATCAAGCACAGGGGTGGGGGGTGGAGCGGCAGCACAAAAAGTCACAAGCAGCAGCAGATTTGGCAGCAGCGGCAGTGGCACAAGTGGTAGCTGCTGCAGTAGCGGTTGCACCACCAGCTTGAGGAGTGACGGTGAAGGTAATCTCGCACTCTCCCTGCTGCATTCTTCTCAAGCTAGTCGCATTCTCTGAGAAGAATGCAGAAGGGAGAGTGTGAGTTTACCTTCTCCGTCACTCTTCAAGCTGATGGTGCAAGCGCTACTGCAGCTGCTACCACATGTGTCACTGCCGCTGCTGCCAAAACTGCTGCTTCTTGTGCTTTTTGTACTCGTCCTCTGCTGCTACCACACTTGGCATGCTGAAACGGGTACTCTTGAAGGGAGTTACGAGCAAGAAGGGACACTCACCTTTCCTTCGGGGAACGACTTGATCTTCCAGAGGATGGCCTCCCTCTCGGGCGTGTAGGTGGCGGTGCCCATGGAGGTGCACACGTGTACATGGGTATGAGATGCAGCAAGGCAGCACAGCACCCACCTTCCCTCCCGGAAACGACTTGATCTTCCAGAGAATGGCCTCCCGCTCGGGCGTGTAGGTGGCGGTGCCCATGGAGGTGCGGGCGGCAGGGTCAATGGCGTCCATGGGCACCGGCAGCTCTATCTCCACCGACGTCGCCGTCGACCGCTCCTTGAACTGGCTCCGAGCCTTCACCATGTACTCCACTCGGCTGCGCGAGTGCCGCTCCACCATCGCCTCCACCCAAATGAGGGGTTTCACCTGGTGGGGTGTGGTGGAATGCGGTGCATGCAGCATATAAAACACATGGTTGAAAGCTGAAAAATCTGTATGTCGACCGCTCCTTGAACTGGCTCGTTGCCTTCACCATGTACTCAACGTGGCTGCGCGCGTGCCACTCCACCATCACTTCGTTCCTGATTACGGGTGACCTGGTGGGGTACAGAAGCACGGAACACACATGCATGCGTGCATGCAACTAGCAGCCAGCCCATGCAACACATGGTTTGATATGCAACACATGATTGGAAACTGAAAACTATGGCGAGACCGGGAGACTAGCAGAGGAGGCGGGAAGGGGTGAGTGAGGGATTGTGCAGAAGGAGCATCTAACCTGAGTGCTGAGCCGGTAGGTCATGAGGTCGAACGCCCCGTCAGGTGGGATGAAGGAGATGGTCCGATCGTTCTCAAACCGAGCCAGACGCACGCACCTGTAGGCAGACGAGCAGGGCAAGACAAGGGCAGGTGAAGGCAGTGGCAGGGGAAGACAAGAGCAGGGTAGGGCGTAAGCTCGGCATCAAGACATGGGCAGGTTTGACCTTGATGGCCTAATATCGGATCATGCGACCACAGGGACTCATTTGGGCTCATGAGGGCGTGAAGTTTCATTCAAGGGACGTATAATATTAAAAGACAGGCGCAGCGCAGGAAATCACTCACTGGTGGAACTTGATGTCGTCCAGATCGATCGCTTTGCCCTTGGTCGCTCTGCCCTGTGCCTCCAGCAGCACTCGATCGTTCAGCCCTAGCTTGCACTCTGGCATGCCACTGGGAGAGGGGTCGAGGGAAAGAGGGAGCAGGGACGCACAAGGTCGATAGTTCAGCCCCAACTTGCACTCTGGCATGCCACTGGGAAGGGACAAAGGTTCAAGAGAAATCACAAGCGAAAAAAAGGGAAGACGAAAGGATCGGACACAAAAGCCAAGTTTGGGTCCTCTAGAAGTGCCTCTGGCATTGTTGAGCCCTCGCTCGCACTATGGCAAGCAACCTGGAGGGAATGGGGTCAAGAAGAAACAAAGTCATACTCCCTGACCCACCCCCCTCCCACATCCATCCCTCCCACCTCATCACCCCCACTTCCCCCCTACTCCTCTCTATCCCCCCTTCCTCCCCCTATTTTCCCCTTTCTTCCATTCCTTTCTTGTCCTTACCTGAGGTACGTTCGCATCTTGAGAGCGCCCACGACTTCAGACCGCACCACTTGACCGTTGCTGTTCACCAGGATGTTCACACTCTCAACCACGTCCAGGAACACCTGCGAAAAAAGACAGAGACGTTCCATAAGACATTGAAAGCAAATGATTGGCACATATAGCAGTCTGCAAATGTTAGGGATGTCAAAACTCTCAACCACATCCAGGAACACCTGCACGAAAAGAAGCAATATAAACATTGGAAAAAAAAAAAAAAAAAAAAAAAAAAAAAACACGATGGCAGTTCAGCATGTAACACTCAGGCTTGCAAACAGGTGAGAGGAAACAGCAACCGGGATAGTACTCACTAGAACTGCGTGGAGGACCCTCTCTAGCACCATGCACACGATCACCTCGTTCCATGCACACAACTCACCTCGTTCTTCTTGTAGCGGATGCCTTCGATACGCCAGGAGACGGCGTTGGTGACGGCAGCGATGTTGGGCTTGGGTGTGGACAGCTCCAGGGACGATTGAATCGACTCAATAGTAACCCTGGAACCCAAGCATGCACTCATATCGTTCCATGCATGCACGCTCACCTCCTTCCATGCACGCTCACACCCCCCCTTGCACGCGCTCACCTCGTTCTTCTTGTAGCGGATGCCCTCGCTACGCCAGGAGACGGCGTTGGTGACGGCAGCGATGTTGGGCTTGGGCGTGGACAGCTCCAGGCGGTACGAGTCCGTCTTGATGAACTCGCTCAGAATCTTCGCCTCCGTGAATTGCGGGTACCCAAAGTCCATGATCTCGTCCAGTAGCTCGTACTGCGTGGGGAAGGGGAGGAGGGGAGGGGTGGGGAGAGGGGGAAGGGTGGAGTGGGGAGAGGGGAGGGAGGGTGCGTGAATTGCGGGTACCCGAAGTCCATTATCTCGTCCAGCAGCTCGTACTGCGTGAGGATGGCGCAATGGAGGCGAAAAGCGGAACGGGAGAGGGCGGAAGAAAGGAGGAAAGGGGAGACGGGGACGGGTGAGGAGATGGGGAAGGGAGGGGTGGGAAGATGGGGTGGGGAGGGGTGGGGTGATAGGGAAGGGAAGGGTGGGAAGACGGGGAGGGGATAGGTGGGGAGGAGGGGATGGGACACTAGGGGTGGGAGATGGAGATTGATGGGTGGTAAGGTGGGACGAGGACGGCAGCAGCGTGAAGAGGAAAAAAAAGAGATTGACGACCAGCAAGACGAGGGGACCAGGACATGAGGGCGCTTAGGGAGAGGGAGGAGGGGATGGGGAAGAGGGACGAACCACAATAGGCAGACACTCAATTGGCTTGCTGTGGTGGAAACGAAAACGCTGGAAACGAAAACTCTGGAAACGCAAACGCGACACGTACCACGATGACGAAGTTGTCTCTTAGCGACTCCTCTTCCAGCTCGTCAAAGTAGTACTTAAAGACCTGCGCCGACGGAATACACACACGAAGGTTCGTATGCATCATCAGTATAGCCATCCGTCACAGACTTTAGGTCAGACCAGTTACGCTGTATGAGAGCAATATTAGTCGCTGATTGGATACACTGCAGCGAATTTGCTCGAAGCCTCCCAAAGCAGATTCGGAAAATCACACAGCCCGAATCCGTAAAGCTATGTCAATTCACATACGTGCGACATATGCGATGCAACCATGCGCATGCGACTCAATTGACCGCAAAGCATACATGAGCCATCATCAGGGACATCTGAACATCGCCAAGCACACACCAGCCATCATGTCACTTCTGAGTCATCGCCAGGCACACAAGAAGTAATACCAGGGACATCTGAAGCACAACGAGCGATTATCACGCACATCCGACCCCAATCACATCCCTCCCTGCGGCCCACCCACCTCTACGGCTTTGTGAAGGAAGAGCAGTAAACTGGCGGCGTTGGCGTTTTGCCGGGTGGCGATCATGAGATACACGTTGTTGTGCTGAATGAAGAGGTACGTCACTCCGTTGTCCAGAATCACCGGCTCTCGCGAGGACGGGTCAGCCTGACGCGACAAGGTGGTTCAAGAGAACGCAATCGTGTGAGGAATCAAAGCCGTCCATTCCGAAGGATCAACGGATGGATTACGGGGGATTAAAGAAGAGATTACGCTGAAAGGAACACGGCACACAAAAAGGACCCACGGTCCGAATGAAAATCTGACATTGACCGTAAAATCCAGAAGAATGTTTCTACGACCAGCCAATGTCGCCAGAATATACGTAGATTACGATCCCAAAATGCATTCCTGGATTCGCTGGGATTAGAAGCCGGAAAATGAGGCTCGCAAGACGCTGTAAAAATACATCGAGACTCCGCGTAAGCTTCATGCGTTCTTATGCTGTAATGATCCACATCAGGACATGGGTATGGTCTGACTTATATCCTCATCGCGTACCTCGCCTTCCATCAGCTTGTTAAAGAATTTCTCTGCAGCGGATGCAGGAACATCGCCACGGTAATCCCTCCATATCAGAACCCTCCCCTTCATGTCCAGGATGTAAACAGCTGACGCCGCGCCCGACATGGCGCCTGCTTCTGTGAAACCTAAGAGGAAAGCGGAAGAATAACGCCGAGGCGAGAATAAGGCAAGACAACAATGAGCCTGCTCGAGGTCAACGGGAATGGAGGAAAAGTGTCAAAAAGTCGCTTAGCCAGCTGATGGGACCATCGCGATGCGTAACCATGGACGGTTGCGACTTACAAAAATCGACGGATTTCGCAGCAGGTCAACTTGTAACGAAGCACCAGCGAATGATCTAGAATTAAGATAGTGACCGACGAACTAGATCTAAGTTGACCAGGCAACCTAAGAAGCTCAAACTACAGCCTTGTCCTTCGGGACGATCCGTCACAACATCCCAGACGTCAGCCTGCAGAAATCTGTGAGTTGGAAACGACTACTACTGGTAAGCCTATCACTTGTGACGGATTAGGGTATCAAGTTGCTCCTCAGCCATGGCCAGGCTTCACGAGGACGAGATCGCGGTATTTGATCCAGAAAATAGGACAACGGATCAGAAATTCCTTCAAATTAGGGAAACGACTTGGTTGAGCCTCCTATGGATTCCCTGAATCCTGATCCCCGATGAAATAGTGTTGTTGCAAGCTCTCCCCTAGAAATTACGGCAGGGAAAGGATGGCTGATAAATCCAAGCCTACTCTACTAGACAAAAGCTGACCCAGATTTCTCCTCTGAACAACCTACCTGCCTTGATTCACCCACCCTGATTCTCCTCCGATCCAGAGCAATTACAAGGCAGGCCATTTTCGGCTCTGGCGAGGCGATAAACAGTTTCGCGAAGTGCGGCGATCCCAAGGGCCTCCTGGTCTGCCCGGCACAAAGAAGGCCTGTAACCATAACGGCTAACTGATGCGTTTTCGCTACTGCTGGAGGAACGAGATGGTGGAAAAGTTTGACATTTCGGTGGCAAAAGGGCCAATCTCTAGAAACGGCCAGATCCAAACGAGTGTAGCATTATATCGGGTCTAATCGAACACTGAAAATCCTAGTTACAGCGGCTACACTCCGCACTGGTCTCATTTCGGTTCACCAATATTTCATTTCGGCTACACTCCACACTCGGTTCACCAATACCATCCCATCCCATTCGACCGAGAACATGTGCTCAACCCTGTCAAACTCACCTCCGCATGTGCCAAAGTCGGATCGCGTCATTTTGGATTTCCCGCGTCTCCATCAGCACATCCTGAGTGGTGTCAGATGCGGTGCGATGGGATTTGATGGGACGGGTAGCGGATGCGATGGGATGGTATGGGCTGGAAAGGCGTGGAATGGGGTGAGATGAGATTGATTACGTCTATGCGTACCACTCGAATGCTGTTCATCCCTTCAGTGTATGAACCTTTGGAGTTTGCTTGCCACTGCCATTCCAAGCTCCCTCCCAATTGTGGAGCTGCAATGGCAAAACCTTTTTATCCTTCCCTCCCCCGTTTTTGGGCGCTCTATTCGATACAATTTATGCCGTGCACAGGTGTCCGCTGTTTCCTCCTCTCAAAACTCCATCTTCTTCCTGGAACCTTGAAATTGTCAATGTTGTATGTTCAGCCCTTACACGCCGATCAGTTGTACGTTTCTCTTGCTCTTCCATCTGTCACCGTGGTGAAAAGCTACCATGCCGCCAGCTGACGCCTTCTTGCCAAGCTGGAAAGAGCAATCATGACCTGGAACGCTTGAAATCCACCAGATTCAGAAAAAGCACCTTCGCCAGTCGTGAATTCCGCTAGTGATGCCTCGTCAACTTCTAGAGTTCAACTTCTCATAAGAACGAGTCATTAACTTTTCGTTCATTGGAATGACCACTGGTAGTGCAACAACCATGGCGATCCAAGCCTGCCTGGAAATACCTGCTGAGGCGGACACAGGCGAAGGATGGGCTGAGAATGAATGGAGTGCGAAGCGTGGACTTTTTTTGTGCTTACGTCAATACAATCGGCTCAATCCGTTACAATCAATCACGTGCCAGTCAAGCCGATGTAATCAGGGTGGCGCTCTTCGCTACGCCAATTTCGCCAGCTTGTGTTCGCAGCGGCTTGGACGAACTGCGACTGTTCGCTTTTGCGGCTCGACGCGACTCGCATCAATGGCTGGAAATCACGCATCCAGACTGCAAGTAGCAATCAGCAGCGAGATCAATCGCGCGTCGCGGATTTCTGAACGGAGTGCTTCGCCGCTCTTTGCAAAGGACATCTGGTTTATAAGAGAGGGCCCGGGGTGAGTGATAATTATCAGGTTCATCGTGAGTTTTAGTCATTGTGATCCGAGCTGTGATACTGGGCTGAGCTACTTTAGGGTGTTACGTGAAGAACTCACTTCTGAGTCTGCTGCTGCTGCTGCTGTCTAACGGTTCGAGCGCCTCGTGGCGGAAGGAGATTTAAAAAAGTCTTCCTCACCTTAACTCTCAGAAAGGAGGCGCCTCTCTTGCCCAGTTCGCGCTGACCCCCAGTTCGCGCCGACCCCCAGTTCGCGCTGACCCCCAGTTCGCGCTGACCCCCAGTTCGCGCTGACCGTTACTCCCTGAAGAGATTCTCACCAAAAGCTCGCAGCGACCTTGACCGGACGCAAGCGGAGAAAGCGTGTCTGATGGCGCAAACACGAATCACTGTGCCCTCCCATCGCCCGCTGCTGGTGTTCATGTTCTGCCTCGTTGTGGTCAGCTTCACTGGTACGTGATTGTCGTCTCATGAGGAAATAGTTTGAGCTCGTGTTCTCTGTCCTGTTTTTGCTAGACAGACAATCAGGGTCATCACTTCTGCCCGTCTGTATTGTGCTTGTCTGTCCAAATGCACGAGTGGCCCTTCCTTCAGGCTGATCCTGTACCCCTTTCCTTGTTTCTTACGCAGTGACTCCTCCTGTCCTCAATAACCCCCACCCATGTCTCCCGTTCGCACAAAATTTTCCTTAACAGTGGACCATCCTTGTTGAATCACCTCCTCTCATCCCTGTTGTTCTCAACCCCTTTGTTAACGCCCTCAAATACAGGAATCCTTGCAACAGCAGCGGCGCCACCACCACCAGCATCAGCAGCATCGCTAGCATCGCGAGCATCAGCAGCGTCCGCAGCATCAGCTGCGTCAGCTGCATCGGCAGCGTCGGCAGCAGCACTGGCGGCACGGGCGGCAGCGTCCCACGCTCCAGCTGGCCAGACGCCTCCGGCTTCTGCCGCCCGCCAGACCGCCACGTCATCGTCACGGTCGCCGGTGCCACTTGCTCCCCCACAGGCGAAGCAGCAACCGTTGGTAACACCTGCCCCTGTAACGCCAAGACTGCCTGTTACATCCTCAACACCTGTTGACCCTAGAGCACCTGTTACGCCTGCCCCAGTTACACCTGCCCCAGTTACACCTGCCCCAGTTACGCCTGGAACACCTGTAACACCGATGGCGCCTGTTACAGCAGGGAGTGGTGCTGCAACACGAAGCTCTGGCACACCAGGAGCTTCTGTCACAGCAGGAACCCTGGTTACACCCGCAGTTCAAGTTACAGCGGGCACTCGGGCTACTCCTGCCGTTCCTGCTACAGCAGGCACTCAGGTTGCTCCGGCAACTCCTATTGCAACAAGCCCTCTGGTTACCCCTGTAACATCTACTGCAGCAACCAATCAGGTTACTCCTTCTACTGCTGCTACAGAAGGCACTCGGGCTACTCCTGCAATTCCTGTCACAGCCATGCCTGTTTCTCCACCTGCAGTCAGTCAGCCAACAGGCAGCCAAGGGGTGAGCACAGTGCCTCTACGGGGAACAGTGCCTGCAACAGTGCCTGCAACCGTGCCTGCAACCGTGCCAGCCACCTTGCCTGCGACCGTGCCTGCTGCCGTGCCTGCAGCCGTGCCTGCAACCGTGCCTGCAGCAGTGCCTGCATCAGTGCCTGCAACCGTACCTGCAACCGTACCTGCAACCGTACCTGCAACCGTACCTGCAACTGTGCCTGCAACCGTGCCTTTAGTAGTGCCTGGGGCAATGGCTGCACCTGCAGCAGGGGCGAGGGCAGCGGGTGTGTCAGGGCCCTCTGCTGCCAATAGCACGACTCTAGGGGCCCGTCCTTCTGCTGCTACTGCGGTGCCTGTCTCAACGCCTGTAGGGGGAGCGCATGGAGCAGTGGCTGTATCTGCAGCAGGAGCGAGGGCAGCGGGTGTGTCAGGCCCCTCTGCTCCCAGTAGCACATCCCTAGGGACCAGACCTCCTTCTGCTGCTATATCTGTCTCAGGACCCACTAGGGACAACCCCTCCGCTGCTGCTGTAGCTGTCTCAACACCTGTGAGAGGCCTCCCTTCAGTTGCTGCTGTGCCTGTCGCAACACCCACTAGGGGAAACCCCTCTGCTGCTGCTGTAGCTGTCTCGTCACCCACTCGGGGCCGCCCTTCAACTGCTGCTGCTACTGTGCCTGTCTCAACGCCTGCAAGGAGCCTCCCTTTGACTGCCGCTGCTGCTGCTGCTGCTGCTGCTGCTGCTGTGCCTGCACCGGCATCCACTAGGGCCCGCACTGCTGCTACAGGGGATTCGCCAGTCGTCCTCCCTGCAACTTCCACTACTCGTAACCTCCCCACCCAGGTGCCCTCTCAGTTACCCTCCCCACCAACTGCTGCTACCACCAGCAGCAGCAGTGGGAATGGAGGAGGAGGGGGGTTGGGTGGGATGATGGGTTTCCTTGGCCCTCTGACATCCACCTTCTCAAGGATATTTGACGTGAACTGGCTTACAGGCACGTTCTTTTCGATCGGCTCTTGGGTCTCTTCCCTGGTGCGTGGGCAGGAATAGTAGTGAGGGGTGACAGGCGGGATGCAAGCATCGCCCCAATGGTAGGGGGTCCGGGTGATGAAGTGATGCGAACATTGGCTCTTGGTTCTCATCCCTGGTGCGTGGGCAGGAGTAGTAGTGAGGGGTGACAGGCTGAATCCATTGTCCCAATGGTAGGGGGTCCGGGTGATGTTGTGATGTGATGTATGTATGTCAAATGTTCTATTGCTATTGCTTCCGAGACAACCACGCGATGTATGCATGGTAATTGTAATACTGCCATGCCTTCCATGGCAATAGAACACAAGAACACTGGTAGGCATGCATGCAAGAACAGTGCTAGACAGGTAGACATACCGTACAGGTGGCTTTTTTTTTCTCGCCATTCTCCATGGTTCGTGAGGATACCAGACTGGCGCAACACATGTCAAGCGGTCGGCGAAACAAAACCCATGTGAACAGCAAGCTATAGAAGACACCAGGCTAAACCTTGTGGTTGAATCACTACCGTACCTAGCAATCCAGCTGGTATGGCTGAAAATCCAGTCACAAAGAAGCGGATTGTCATGCCATGCAGTTCTCAACTGCTTTCGCCATCATCAAGGCATTGTTTGTGATAATACAGACACACAAGGTATTTGTATGTCTGACAGGACACTAACTGTTGAGGCCGGAATAAATACACTAATAACATTACTCTTACATAACATAGCACGCCAAAAGGGTAGAAACAAATTGCAACAGGACCTTGCTAACACGGCCCATTCTATCAAGCTACAACTGCTGTAATGCATCTCGGTGTGTGGAGGGGCGCTTACGCTGCACAGCCAAGACACGGATAGGCAAGACAGGGCAAAGACGTCAGAACCAGGGGTTTCATATGCATCTAAGCAGGGACAAAGCGAGGATAGCTGCTTCGAGTGGAAGATGTACGTGTATGAAATGCCAATGACAAATGAAGATAACATACCTGTGGGCTCCCACAAGATGGTGGTCTCTGCAATCTTGCCCGTGACAATGTATGGGTCCATGTTAGACGATGGCCGCCTATCCTCGAAGTAACCTGGTAAGGGGAGCAAGAAAACGTGTCAGATGACCAAATCTGTTAGATTTCATCCAAGGCGTGGTTTTGAAGCACGTTTCAGGAGTTACGTGATTTTTATCCATAACATGCAAATAACAAGATTTAGTGAACTCAGAAACGCGCTCTCAAATGCGGAAGCGTGAATGCAAAGAGAGAAAGGACTCACCCTTCTTCTGCGCCTCTGTGTCGCGGCCCACACGGACTGAGCAGCCACGGTTGGCCACACCCTGAAGGAATGGAGGGAAGGGTACGGGAGGAGGGAGAAGGATCAGATCGTGAAACAACGAAAATACATGGAGTGGGATAGAAGCGTACCCTGGAAAGGTTTCAATGTCGGCCGTCTAGTGCTTGCCCGTGAGGCATAAGGGAGATGGTGGAATAGTTGAGAAGATCAGTGGAGCGAAAAAGCAGCGTACCCAGGAGAAGGTGTTCATGTCGGCCGTCTCGTGCTTGCCGGTGAGGCAAGAACGAAAGTGAGGCTCCAAACTCACACACGGAAAATACACGGAGAGGGAGAGCAGCGCGTACCCAGGAGAAGGTGTTCATGTCGGCCGTCTCGTGCTTGCCGGTGAGGCGGCGCTCGTTGCCCTCGCCGTACGCGGCGATGTGCTCCTTGTGCTTCAGCCCCAGCTTCTCGATCGCCTTCACGATCAGATCGTACCCGCCCTCCTCGCGCATCGCCTTCGTGCTGCACGGGGGAACCCCAACACATCACAACAACGACACGTTTCAATAACCTCGCTTTCAGAACATTTGCTAAAAACCGGCCGAGAGAGGGAAAGCTGTCTTGAAAAAAACGGGGAAGAAACAACGTTCGTAGCTTTAGACGAACAGCAAACCGACCTGTAGTTGGTATGGCAGCCGGCGCCGTTCCAGTCGCCCTCGATCGGCTTGGGATCCAGCGAGAGCACCACGTCAGCCATCTCCGTCACTCTCTCGAGCAAATACCGCGCCATCCACAGATGATCGCCCGCTTCGATGCCCGTGCACGGGCCCACCTGGAACTCCCACTGGCCCGGCATCACCTCCGCGTTGATCCCGCTGATCTTAATCCCCGCGTAGAGACACGCCTTGTAGTGCGCGTCGACGATGTCGCGACCCCACGCCTTGTCCGCGCCCGTGCCGCAGTAGTACGGGCCCTGCGGAGCGGGGTAGCCGCCGGTGGGCCAGCCGAGCGGCCACTTGACGTCCTTCTTGAGGAGCGTGTACTCCTGCTCCAAGCCGAACCTGCGAGGGAGGTTCGGGGACGCCGAGGCAGGGTTAGGCATGGGTGACGACACGGTTTGACATCACGGGTAATGTGAGAGGAGGCATATAGACGTGACGTGGCACGAGAATGTGAACAGGCACGTGAACAGTCACGGATGGTGATACCCTGGCAAAGAGTATCAGGGATTAGAGCCATTTTAAAGGCACGTAGATAGGAACGCTTATTGGGAAGGAACGTAATTAGGAACGCCAAAACTGAGTAAGCACTGAAAGACGTACCAGGAGGGATGAGAAGCAATGCAACTAAGCGCACATGGTGGAAACACAAGACGTACCAGGGCTCGTGGTCCTCGACCTTCTTCAACACATCAGCAGCGAAGGCGCGCTTGTTGCTGGGAATGGGCTCGCCTTGCGGCGTGTAGCAGTCGCACATGACCTGGCAGCGACGACAGGAAGGGGAACATAACGAGGTCAAGACATTATGTATCGCCGGATTCTAGTGCTAATAGAGGTGCTCGATAAAATGCGCTGAAGAAAACCAATCGCAAGTAGAGGCGGCATTGCTACTCGCATAAACAGGCTGTAGCGCAAGCGAAGCGTAGAAGCGAACGCGACAGAATGCGTGTCAGAACCCGGGCCAGGGCCTAGAAGTACTACTACTAGCAGCTCCTCACCAGAATGTTGTTGCCACCACGGAAGGGATCCTTGAACACGGCTTGGGGGCTGCAAAAGACATCAGATGAGCACAAGACAGAAAAGTAGAGTCAAGTCACAAGCCCGCATATCAGAACGCCGAAGACAACGTGAAGGAAAAATTGGATGGATGACGTTTTACTTGTTTTCAGGCTATTTCTAGCCGTAGTTCCGCATCGACTCGACAGGCGACCGTATTGAGAAGCGTATGAAACGAAAGGTGCGAATAAAGAGAGATGTCTTGAACGGGAGGCGACGGGACTCACTAGAGAATCACTTCGCTGTCCGTGCCTGGAGCTTGGCCCGTGCTGGAACCATCGAAGTTCCACTTGGGAAGCTTCGCGACGTCGGCGGGACCAATGGGACCCTTTACAGTCTGCAAGGCAGAAACGGGATTTGGCATGAAATGACCCTTTACTACATGCTAATTCAGTTGAACCTATACAAGGTACAGAATGCTGTGAACTATACATGTTCGGCGGCAGGCATGAAACGAACAGACCCTCTATAAATGCTTTATAAGATGTTGTGAAAAAGAAATGTTCGGCAGGAGGCTTACCCTGGCCTTGCTCCTGACATCAATTCCAGATCCTCCAATCCTGCGAGAAGGAAACGACGACGTTCAAGGAGTGTCAAGACGAACACAGCAAACGCTGACATTGGGACAGAAGCCAGACTGATTTTACATTGAGAATTCTCAACGGCTCACCAGACATATTCCGCGATGATATCGTCAGTGGTGATAGGAAGGTTTTTCAGCTGGTCAATGGTAGACGCCATGGCAATGAAACACTTGAAGCGGAGTTAACCAGGCGATAGCGACCGAACGAGAAGAACAATACAGCCGAATCCGGAAAGGCTGAAGGATGCAGGAGGTTCGGACGAAAGAATCAGAAGAGGAGAGACCGAGCACTGGAGAGTAATATGTTCCACCGAATAATTGGTGCAATGAGAGGCGGATCAAAATAAATACTACTGGATTTTTGCTGCGAGTTCTGAGTAGGAATTCCCCAGAGATCTTTGCCACGAAAATATCGTGGGATTGGGTGGGACGAGTCGCCCTGGGCGGAGCGCAAACGGGAAGAGGGGAGAGGCGGAAAGTTGAGCGCGCGGATTCCTGCTGCGGAGCGCAGAGAGGTGAGCGGGTCATTGGAAAAAAGTTCAAGGAAAGCGCGCGGAGGACAGATGTGTGGGCTGTATGCGGCTGGCCAAACATGGCGTCATACAGCTTAGCTGGAGCCATGTAATTGGATCGTTTTCCACGTGGGTACCTTTAATTGCTTCCAATTCCCAAGGTGGGCTGCGGATTGTAGTCTCTGCAGCCCTCACTGGCACTGGTGGCGCATTCTAATGAGGCGCGCGGCGGCGACAACAATGCCCTGCTGGAATGCGCGTGCTCCGGCAAACGCGGTTTATGTGACTCACTGTAGCTGTAGCAATCGAGATACATATGCAAGTGACAGATTCACACAGGTGCGAGAGAAAAGCTTGGCAGTACACTATTAATTGTGAATAAAACCAGCGTACATATTATATGGCTGAATACTAACTTGCGAAGTGGGTAAAACATGAAGATTCTGATTCAGTGAAATCCACGGCAGCAGCCTGAAGCAGCTTCAAAATCAGTGTTCGTCAGTAACGTATTAGAATTCAGCAGAACTGGAGCTCCACACAAGAAAAAAAATCAGCATATTTCAAATCAACAGAACTGGAGCTCCAAAAGCGACAAGCATCACACTTCACAAGGCCAACTACCGTAAAAAAACTGACTCCACCCTCATTCCGCAGAACGTTTGTCAATCCCTGTTTCACACAAGATGCAAAGCCACATATACACATCCAATATCAATTACTACAGTGGTGAAGAGAAGAGACTCCACCTTCAATTAGCATAAAACAGAGGTTGTCTAACGCTTGTGACCACCTAGCATGGCACTTGACCGAGAAACACGCATAAATAGCACTCTAGTAACACATGATATACAGTAAAAAACCACTACGCTTCGTAGTAAAAAGAGCCCATCACAACCACACATTCACATCTAATGCACACCAAGTCATGGCACGTGACCGAGCGGCACACCCATCCAACCTCTGTAGTAAAAACACACATGATCTACAGTACCAAACAGCCACACTACGCAAAACGCTCACCAGTATTTGATAAGTCCATCCCAGCCACACGTAGCCACCTTGCTCGTCTCCAGCGGGTGCCACTCGCACCCGATGCACACGGGGTCGTGGCACTTGACTGTGCGGAACACCTTGCATGAGAAGAGCCACTGTACTGTGGCAACACACATAATCTACAGTAATCGCTACAGACTACAGTTGACCAATCACTCACCAGTATTTGATGAGCCCGTCCCAGCCGCATGTGGCGACCTTGCTCGTCTCCAGCGGGTGCCACTCACACCCGATGCACACCGAGTCGTGGCACTTGACTGTGCGGAACACCTTGCACGTCTTCCAGTCCCAAAACCACAGCTTGCCCTCTCCGTCGCCCGACATTATGAACCGGCCATCGGGAGAGAAGTTCACCTGGTGGTGTGGGGGTGTGAGTGGGGGTGTGGGTGTGGGTGGGCAGGGGAGTGCGGCAATCAGAACCACAGCTTGCCCTCTCCGTCGCCCAACATTATGAACCGGCCATCGGGAGAAAAGTTGACCTGGTGGTGTGGGGGTGGCGATGGGTGAGGAAATGGGGCAATTAGAACCATAGCCTGCCCGTCCCCCAAGCCCGTCCCCCAAGCCCGTCCCTAGCACCCCTCTACCCACCTGGCAGGCGTATCCAGCAATGATGTGGCCTGCGAACCGCTTCTTGCAGTTCAGCCGGAAGCGGTTCTTGGCACCATACACTATGATCTGGTTGTCTAGCGATTGTGCTGCCAGCCAAGTCCCCTCATACCTGTCCCCTCAATGCCTGCTCTCCCCATCCCACCTGGCAGGCGTATCCCGCAATGATGTGGCCTGCGAACCGCTTCTTCCTGTTGAGCCGGAACCGGTCCTTCGCCCGTACACTATGATCTGGCTGTCCAGGGACTGAGCTGCCAGCTCACTCCCCCTATGCCTGTGTCCCTCCATGCTTGTCCCCCTATGCCTCTTCCCCTCTGCATATCCCCCACCAATGCCTAGACCCACCTGGCAGGCGTATCCTGCAATGATGTGACCTGCAAATCGCTTCTTCCGGTTCAGCCTAAAGCGGTCCTTGGCACCATACACTATGATCTGGTTGTCTAGCGATTGCGCTGCCACCCATGCCTTGTTGGGATGCACTGCTATGGCCGGCATGGAGTGCATGTGCGGCTCACTGGTGTGGGGGGTGTATGGGAAGCGGGAAGGGGAGAAAACAGGAGAGAGAGATGGGAGGTGGAACAGGGAAGGATGAGACAGGGGGGTCCTTGGGTCCTTGGCACCATACACTATGATCTGGTTGTCTAGGGACTGTGCTGCCACCCACGCCTTGTTGGGATGCACTGCTATGGCCGGCATGGAGTGAATGTGCGGCTCACTGGTGGGGGGGGGGGGGGGTGTGTTTGGGGTGGGAGGGTGGGTATGGAAAGCGGGGAAGGATGAGACGGGAGGGTCCTTGGGTCCTTGGCACCATACACTATGATTTGCTTGTCTAGCGATTGTGCTGCCACCCACGCCTTGTTGGGATGCACAGCGATGGCTGGCATGGAGTGCATGTGCGGCTCACAGGCGTGCGGGAGCGGAGGGAGGAGAGAAAGCAGAGGAGCGAGCAGAGGGAAATCGGAGGGGAGAAACCAGGGGAAAGAGAGGTGAGGTGGAATGAGAAGGGACGAGGAGAGGGAAAACAGGAGCGGGACGAGCAAAGGGGAAAGCAGAGCAGAGGAGGTTGTCTGATATGCTTGACGACAACGGGGCAGAGCAGAGAATATCAGAATGACAGAGCAGAGAATCCCAAACTCTCAAACACGCAGGAGCTTGTCAGAATGACATACAAGATTATTCAAAAGAGGGGACCAAGCGAAGATCAGAGTAGGGCAGAGAAGAGAAGAGAAGAGCTGGTGGATTGCTAACCTGATGTATTCTAAGTCAACTCAGAAGAGAAGAGGAGAGAAGAGAAGAGGAGAGAAGAGAAGAGGAGAGAAGAGAAGAGGAGAGAAGAGAAGAGGAGAGAAGAGAAGAGGAGAGAAGAGAAGAGGTGGTGTATTGTATTGCTAACCTGATGTCTTTCTTACCTGATATACTTGACCACCACGGGGATGCCAAACTCCCACACGCGGAGAGATTTGTCGTCGCTGCTCGTCACAAACCGCCGATTGTCATCCAGGAAGGTGATCGTGTTCACCGCGCCCAGATGCTGGTCATATTCCTGGGTAATTTCCCCTGACCGCGTGTCCCACTGCATAATCTTCTTGTCGCTCATTCCCGCCAGCAGAATGTTCTGCTTATCGTCGTCCGGGTGTAATTTCACCACGTAGGGTATTTTACCCGTGGAAAACGTCCCCGTGACCTGCCCGGTCTCGGTGTCCCAAAGCTTGATGTTTCGGTCGTAACCGCACGACACGAATTTCAACCCGTCGTTTGCAAAGCAAATGTCTCGAACAGCTTTGGAGTGACCCATGTATGTGCGCATGCACTTCTGGGTGTTTGGTACGTCCCAGATCTTGATCTTGGTGTCCATTGATGCCGACAGCAGCAGATGGCCGTACCTGGTGGGACAGCGGAGGAGAAGAGAGGAGAAGAGAGGAGCAGGGAGGGGGAATCGTGAGAAGCGGAGAACGATAGAGCCGGAATACCCCGACCCATGTATGTGTGCGTGCACTTGTGTGTGTTTGGCACGTCCCAGATCTTGATCTTGGTGTCCATTGAAGGCTTGAAGCAGAAAAAGGCGGATGGCCGTACTTAGGGAAGAACCAGATGGCACTGACGCCCTTGGTATGCCCGCTCCACGTGTGAAACCAATTGAAAGGCGTGTCGCATATCCCACCTTTGACACCTACAGCTACTGACACGTAGAGAGATATCATCTAGAACACTCACTTTGGGAAGAACCGGATGGCACTGACGCCCTTGGTATGCCCGCTCCACGTGTGTATCCACCGCTTCGGAATATAGCAGTGCGTGGGCGGCACGGGATTAAGGGCGTCTTTAGGAGGAGCAATCCAGGACCGGCCCTGGTAGTCCTTCTCCTGCTTCCCATGAAACGTGCTCTTCTCTTCCACCTCCTCCTTATCCCCCCGCTCCTTCTTGGCTTTTTTCAAAGCGTGCTCCTCCGCGTATTTCTTTTGCTCCTCGGTCAGCTCAGCCTTGGGCTCCTCTTTTTTGCCTGCCCAGGGGGATTTGGAGCTTTTGAGGAGCCATGATTCTGACGCCGGATTGGCTATCTCCTCTACTGGTGCCTCCTCTTCCTCCTCCTCTTCTTCACTCTCTTCCTCCTCCTCCTCTTCTTCGCTCTCTTCCTCCTCCTCCTCTTCCTCCTCCTCGCTCTCCTCTTCTTCCTCTTCCTCCTCCTCTTCTCGCTCCTCCTCCTTGCTCTTCCTTCCCATTTCCTCACCCTCCTTCTCTTCGTGAACAACACTCTTTTCTTTCCGCCCTCGCTTCCTCCCCTCTCCCTCCCCCTCCCCTTCCCCCTCCCCCGCTCCCCGTGCTCCCTCCCCTTCTTCCTCCCCCAGTCCCGCCCCCCCCACACCTTCCCCCTTCCGCTTCTTCTTTCCAGCCTTCCTCGCCTTCTCCTCCTCCTTCTTCCTCTTCCTCTCTTCCTTCTTCGCTCTCTCCTCCTCCTTCCTCCTCTTCTTCTCTTCCTTCCTCTTCCTCTCCTCCTCCTTCCTCTGCTTCTCCTCCGCCTTTTTCCTCCTCTCCTCCTCTTTCAAAACCATAGCCCGCTTTTCCCGCTCCTGTTTAGACACATTATACACTGTAGCACCCCCCTTATTGTCAACTGCTTCTTTGTCACCCACGACCTCGGTCCCGTTTACACTTGCGGGGTCAACACTGTAGCCGTACGCCTGGAACGTGTGGTACTGTTCATCAAAGACAAAAGAGTCAACCGATGCGTCTTGGACGGATCCCAGCCGGTGGTTTCGCAACCCTAACGCGCGGCCATCCGCGTTATGAGGATGCGCGGGTCCCACTACTGGAGTCCACAGTTGATCGTAAGTCGGATTAAATTGTAAATTCCGTTTCGACGGGTCGATCGGAGCTGTCATGATATCGCGCGGTACAGCAGCGAGTAACGCGTCGCTCACTGGCGGAGCGGCAGAACTAGGCGGGGCGAGGATCCTGTACGCCATATTGTCGTCATCGCTATCGTTATCGTCATTTTCCTGAGGAATTCGGGAAGCCGCCTTGACAGCAGTGATTCCGGCGGACCCAGTTAGCGTTGCACCAGTACCCGGACCAAAAGAGTGCTTTTCCCGAGGCGGAGAAGCCGTTATCGCGGATTTCTCTCGCGGCGAATCCTCCCCTCCCTCCTCGTCACTGCCGTACTGCCGCGATAGAATATCCATGGCTGAAATCAAGAAGAATTTCCAAAAATAATTGCAAATCAAGCACGACTTGCAAACCAGCTGCACGGTTGGAAACCTAAATTTGCACGAGAGAAGACTGCTCCAGTCCTAGCAAGTCACCGACGGAAAGCTGACAACAATCAACTACCAGTTCGGTGAATCAGCAGCACCCGGTGCGCGCTTTGGTGAATCATGAAGTGAGACAGAATGAACAGCGACGCAAGAAGGGAAGGCCGCCATGAAGGAAACGAGAATCGAAGCAGGTGAAAGAAACCCATAACTCCTTCCTGTACGCGTTAGCAGGTCCTATGTACGGTAGATGTTTGGTATATGTAAGGAATTTTCTCGATATTCCTTAGCGCGCCCTGCCACATCGCGTACAGCAGCAGCCGTTGTTCGCCCGTTACTGCTAACGGGGCTTCGCCGACTTCGCGCGCACTGTTTCACCAAACCTCGCACTGCTGGCCTGACCGTGTCGGCCTACGCTTCGGGACTAGCCCGAGCCTCGCTTCCAGCATAGCACTAGCTAGCTCACACGCACCGCGTTACCGTTTGCATGTTTCGCGTATAAATGTTCGCTCATGCCTTCGCTCACATTTTGTACTCGTTTGACACCTTAGTGCAATTCTCGCTACTTCGATTCATTGCACCCGTAACACTTGGTATTCAGAGCCTCTTTCTTTTCGGACCGCGCATCTCCGCACCCCAGGAAATCAACTTTTGTTTTTTCACTCGAAGGGACTCACGCACCTTAGCACCTAGGAGCCGCTGTCCTCGCGTTCTCTCGAAAATGCGTGCAGCCACGACTGCGCCTAGACTAAGACAAGCCGACGCCCTTCGGAATGGCCGAACGTATCGACGTCACTAGCCTCACGCAGGACCGCCTGGACGAGCTGCTGCGACAACTGCACGAGAACTCCGAAGAAATCGCGGCATTAACGGCGGAACGTACCTCACTGCAAAACGACCTCGCACGAACACAATCCCAAGCACCTGGCACTCCGATTCAGCCCGCACCACAGGCATCACAGCACGGAAGTGTGGGGCAACCCACGAGCGCCGCAAGTGATGGCGTCGTCCGCCATGACGGAGACGACGACCACGGCACGACACACCCCGATGCGACGAATGCGGCCAGGAATCAACCCCGAGTCACGATTTCAGTGCCGGCCGGCGAATCAACTCTACCGTCGCCGATGCCGCTGAAGCCGCAGCGTCCGCCATGTTTCGATCCAAGTCAGCGGGGTGGTCCTACCGTTCAGGCGTGGCTTTTCACGTTGAACGTCTTCTTCGACGCGAACTACGTCTCGGAGGATACGGCGAAGATTCGTTACGCCGTGTCGTTGCTGCGAGGACCCGCCATGGACTGGTGGCGTGTCATCGTCACGAAGCCGGTGGACTACGCGACTCTACCGACACGGGAAGGACAAACCGGACCCTGGGCGCCGTCGTATTTCGTGGAGGTGCCCCAGTATCGCACGTGGGACGCGTGGTGCGCAGGTCTGCGCGCTCGTTTCGAGCCAATTGCGGCTTCGATCGCGGCGCGACAGAGGCTCCGCACTTGGCGCCAACTCGGTTCCGTCCAAGATTACACGAGCGGGTTTCTGGCGCTATGCGAGCAGGTGGGATACATGCACGAGAGGGAACGCATCGACCGCTACATCGGCGGCCTGAAGCAGGACATCGCTCAGGAAATCCAGCTTCGCGGCGTCACCGATTTTCAGGAGATTCTCGCCATGGCGGAGAAACTCGATTTCTTCCGCCGACCGAGACCGGGGTCCTACGGAAGCAGCAATTGGGGACATCGGCCTCGTGGGACGAACGAGGGCGCTACGATACGTGCCGTCGCCACAAATGCCATTGCCGCACCGTTCAAAGGGCGCTGCTTTGCGTGCAATCGGCCGGGACACCGTAAGAGCGAAAGCCCGGAAAATGCTAAGGGAAAGGGGGAAGCTGAGCAGCAGAGACAGACCAAGCAGCAGGGAAACGCTGGAAGTCAGTAGCAGACGGGCCCTCTACTGACAGGTCACGCCGCTCGCCCGACCCAACCGACCCTCACCGAGTGATTGTTCCGGTTCACGCAATCGACCACACCCGGCCGAATAAGGAGGGTACTACGGTAGACAGCCCTATACTACTTAGTGGGAAAATCGGGACGGACTTAGTTAAAATATTCGTAGACGGAGGGGCCAGCCACAGCCTTATCAACACTGCCACAGCACGAAAACTGCGACTGCCACTGGACAGATGCTTACCTGAGATCGACGCAAGACTGGTCGACGACACGCCACTGGCGATACGGGAACGTGTGGACCGAGTTCGGATTCGATGCGGGGGTAACTTCACGTTTAGTCAGGAAATGCTCGCAACGACCCTCGACGGAACCGATATTTTACTCGGGCGTGATTGGCTGCGACGACACAATCCACGAATCGACTGGACGACGGGTGACTGCACTGTGCGAGTGAACGGTAACAACATCGCCTTACCTCGCTGGGGCTCGCCTGAGTCTTCGTCGGTGCGTGTCAACGCGATCACGATGAAACGCGCCGTAGCGGCAGGAGCTGACGTGTACGCGGTTGACATTCGGGAAGCCGAGGCAGCAGACAAAGGAGGGGATTTACAGAAACTGCTGGCCGACGTACCGAGTGATCTGGCAGCACTGTTGAAGCAGTACAGTGACATCTTCCCGGACGACCTACCGACGGGACTGGCACCTCAGCGACCGCACGACCACAGGATAGAACTAGAACCGGGGGCACAGCCGACAGTACAGCGACAGTTCCGACTGACCCAACCCGAACTGGACGAACTGAGGAAACAGCTGGATTACCTGCTCGAGAAGGAGTTCATTCGCCCTAGTTCGTCGCCCTTCGCAGCACCGATACTGTTCACACCGAAAAAAGACGGGGGTTTTCGCATGTGCATAGACTACAGAGCACTGAACAGGGTTACCATAAAATCCCGTTACCCCATCCCACGAGCCGACGAACTGATCGACCAACTGCACACAGCCCGAGTTTTCTCAAAAATCGACCTTCGAGGAGGTTACCTCCAGATTCGCGTCAACCCACCCGACTGCCCTAAGACAGCCTTCCGAACACGCTACGGATCCTTCGAATACACCGTCATGCCTTTCGGACTGACCAACGCCCCCGCCACTTTTCAAATGACCATGAACGAAGCCTTCCGCCCGCTTTTAGATAAGTGCGTCATCGTGTACCTTGATGACATACTGATTTACAGCCCCGACAGAGCACAACACTTACAGGACATCGAAGCAGTTTTTAAGATACTGAGTGAGAACCGCCTACTGACGAAAGCGTCTAAGTGTGAGTTTTTACAGGACCGACTGGAGTTTTTGGGACACATCATTTCAGCTGCAGGAGTGGAAATAGACCCGAAAAAGATCGCGACGATTCAAGCATGGCACGCGCCGACCAACTTGACCGAGTTGCAGAGTTTTTTGGGGTTCATCAACTACGTGCGCCGGTTCGTCCTCGACATGGCGAAGCTGACCGCCCCGTTGACCGACCTGCTGAGGAAGGGGGTTGAGTACACGTGGGGGGAGAAAGAGCAAGCTGCCTTCTCGGCCCTCAAAAACATTTTGTACTCGCCGCCCGTGCTTCACATCGCAGATCCGCACCGTCCGTTTGAGCTCGTCACCGACGCTAGCGACATCGCTGTGGGAGCAGTACTGTTGCAGGACTTCGGGAACGGCCTTCAGCCAATCGCGTACGAGTCCCGCAAACTTCACCCGCCCGAACGCAACTACCCGATACACGACCGCGAGATGCTGGCGATCGTGCACGCGTTCAAGGTGTGGCGATGTTACCTCACGGGAGCAGACGTGACAGTACGGACAGACCACCGATCCCTACAGTACCTTCGCGCCCAACCGAATCTCAACCCACGACAGATCCGCTGGTTGGACTATCTGGAGTCCAACTTCCACTATACGGTCCGGTACAAAAAAGGCGCATCCAACATCGCCGACGCACTCACACGCCCCACCGCCCAACTCCACGCCATCCTACTCGCCCAAACCAACCCACTGTTAACATGCCTATTCACCCACGGATACAGTACCGACCCATTTTTCACGACCGGAAATTCACAGCAACTGGCAGAGGCCAGAGGAGTCTATTACGTAAAAACAGGCACCAACCGCATCTGGGTACCCGCGTACTCACTACTGAGGGAACTGTTACTGCAGGAGGCACACGACGGAATTACCTCGGGACATTTCGGGGTAGAAAAAACGCGACAGCAACTGCAGCGGTATTACTACTGGCCGGAGCTGTTGACCGACGTAAAGCACCACGTGGGCTCGTGTCCTACGTGTCAGGTGATGAAGAGCTCGCGAAAAAGAAAGGCGGGTCAGTTGCAGCCGATCCCACCGCCTGAGCGCGCCTGGCAGCAGGTTACCATGGATTTCGTCACAGGGTTACCTTCGAACCCTGGGGGTAACGACGCGGTTATGGTCGTCGTTGACAGGTTGACGAAGATGGCACACTTCGCTGCGTGCAAGAAATCGATCTCAGCCGAAGAAACCGCTCGCCTGTTCATCGCAGCCGTCGTTCGACTGCACGGGATACTAGCCGCGATAATCAGCGACCGCGACACGAAGTTCACCAGCAACTTCTGGAAGAACCTCTGGGAGCAGTTCGGGACAAGGCTACAGTTCAGCTCGTCGTACCACCCCGAGACCGATGGTCAAACGGAGCGGACGAATCAGACGATGGAGCAGTTGATTCGTGCCACGTGCGACGACCCGACCACTTGGGAGCAGCAGCTGCCGCTGATCGAGTTCGCGTATAACAACGCCACGTCAGCGACGACGCAGTAGTCCCCCTTCTACCTGAACTACGGGCAAAACCCTACAGTGCCCATGACGCCGAGTTCGGACAACCCAACACCACGCGCACAGCAATTCGCCGAAATTCTACAAGCTGCCCGCACCAGAGCCGCCGAAGCAATTAAAAAAGCCAACGTCATCGCTAAACGCAACGCTGACCGCCACCGCCGCCCAGTCACGTACCAGTCAGGAGATTATGTACTGCTCGACACACAGAACTTAAGACTGCCCGTCGTACCGAAATTACGACCCCGCTACTGTGGACCATTCCAAATTAGCCACATGATTACCCCAGTGACAGCTCACCTACTGTTGCCGACGGACTGGTACATCAGCCCTTCGTTCCACGTCAGCCTGCTTCGCCCATACATCCCAACCACAAGCCAACTGCCTCGTCACCGCCCGCCATCCATGACTCGCCCTGCATCGGAGCCGATCATCGAACCCGAAAAAATCCTTAGCCATCGGATTCGACACCCCACAGGAATCAGGAGGATTGAATTCCTCGTTCGCTGGAAGGATCGCACGCCAACTGAAGTTAGCTGGGTACCCCTGGCCAACATCCAAAACCACCCTGCCCTGCAAGTGTACCTAAGGAGCCGGGGTTTCCGCGATATACACGCACTCGCGTAGCGGAGGGGGCTTCTTGAGGGGGGGGGGGGTAGTGCAAGGAATTTTCTCGATATCCCTTAGCGCGCCCTGCCACATCGCGTACAGCAGCAGCCGTTGTTCGCCCGTTACTGCTAACGGGGCTTCGCCGACTTCGCGCGCACTGTTTCACCAAACCTCGCACTGCTGGCCTGACCGTGTCGGCCTACGCTTCGGGACTAGCCCGAGGCTCGCTTCCAGCATAGCACTAGCTAGCTCACACGCACCGCGTTACCGTTTGCATGTTTCGCGTATAAATGTTCGCTCATGCCTTCGCTCACATTTTGTACTCGTTTGACACCTTAGTGCAATTCTCGCTACTTCGATTCATTGCACCCGTAACAGTATACAACTTTATAGAACGTACTAACGCAACAAAATATATGATACCCAGCTTTTAACCAGTAAGAGCATTACTCAATGCAATGCATTATCAGATACATAGGTTCGACAAGTTTCTCGTGGATGGCCTGTTGTTCCATCACAAAGAATTGTGATCTTGGTACGGGGTTGTTTGTGATGTCGTTGTGGGTACCACGGGGTCCATCCCGCTATCGTAATTCAGGAAGAACGGTGAGTGGTTGGTCGTGTTCGACTCGGCGTTGTTGTACGCGCATTCGAGCATCGGGAGGGAAAATTCCCAGCGAGCGGGGTCGGGGCAGTTTGTACGGATGAGCTGCTCCATCGTCTGATTGGTCCGCTCGGTCCGTCCGAGAGAGCTGTAGCTATAGCCTTGTGTCATACTGCGCCCACGTCTCCTTCCAGAATTATCATCGCTATTGTGCGCGGTGCGGCGAGATGAGATGTCGAGCGTCGAATTTGAGGAAATGTTTCAGAATTTAGTGAGCAGGAATGAATGAACTATGAGAATGTCGGGTACAAGTCCTAACTCTAATGGGTTATACCCCGTGTAGGCTACCCCACTATAGCCTAAGGATAACACACAAACATACAGTTTTGACACACCCCCATAGGCTAAGTGGGGGACAGCAAACACAACAGACGGTCACAAGACCAGTCAAACAAAACAGAACAAAGCTCAGGGTGGATCAAGATCACCACACGGTCTCAGCACAAGCAAGCGGCCATAAGGCCAGTTCACATGCAGAGTTATAAAAGCACAAGCATTACAATGATCACAACCTAGCAAGAGTAATCATGTATGTATGGAGATATATAGATCACAGTACCAGGCAAAGTCACTAGGTAAGAAAGTGAGACAGTAATCACCAGACACAAGCGCCTTGGTGAATCAGCAGCGTTTGCCCGTGAGGCCACGTAGGTAAGGCGGAGCTGGCGACGCTGCTGTAACTCTTGAGTGAGAAAGTAACGAAGAGCAATATGCTTCGTTCTGTGCTCATGTCTCTGCTCCCAACACAAGGCAATAGTGGCCTTGTTGTTGACGTACAAAACCAGAGGAGAACGAGGCCGCTCACCCAAGTCTGTCAGCAGGTAGGTCAACCAGCGTAACTTCTGAGAAGCCATAGCCCCAGCGTAGATCTCGGCCTCACAGCTGGAGTTACTGAAGACGAGCGGTTGGACCTCCAGAAGACAGGGCCAGTTCCGAGACTGAAAGTGTAACTCTGTGAAGAACGCTGAGTCACCCGGTCGTCGGCCCAAGAAGCGTATGAGTGTCCAGCGAGTACAATTGAGCCTCGTGCTCTAAGCACAAGCTCCATGCGCAATGTACTGCACAAGTAAAGCATCACCCTCTTAGCAGTCCGCCAGTGCTCTGGTCAGGGTCTCCCGGGAGCAACATAGCGTGTCTGGATGCTGAGGGGGTATGCGAGTTCACGTCGAGTGCAATTCATCAGGTACATGAGGTAGCTCACAAGCAATGGATACTTTCCACTCGGCTCTACAGACCCGTCCGAAGGTGGATCTGAGAGCGAATGGTTATAAGGCAGAGGAGTGGCTTGTGGCGAGGAGATCTGGAAGCCGAAGCGCTGAAGGTGTTTGCCCTTTGCTGAAGGTCAGTGCAAGTGTGTCTCTTCTACAGCTCCGACTTCACAAAGGCCAGTGCCTCAGTGTCAGCAGTAGCAAAGACCAAGTCGTCGACGTACACGAGGATGTAGAACGGCGGCAGAGAAGGGTCGGTACGCAGAAACAGCGAAGGGTTAGCAGTCGAAAGAGCAAACCCATGAGCCGCAAGTGTAGTTCTCAGTGTATCGTGCCACTCGCGGGGCGCCTGACGGATACCGTAGACTGGCCGCCGAAGGCTTTACTGGCACCTCTCAGGACGACCTAGTGAAGCCAGGTGGGCGACGCAGCCAGATCTCCTCGTGAAGGCTGCCCTGCAAGAAAGTTGTGTTGAAGTCAAGCGAGTGGAGCTCGTAGTCACGCTGTGCTGCAACGTGCAGTAAGACTCGAAGAGTGGTCATCTTCGGGGTGGGGGAGAAGGTATGGAAGAAGTCGACCCCCTGTCGCAGACTGAAGCCTCGTGAAACGTAACGCGCCTTTAAGGCAGGCGGAGAACCCGGCGGCCTCTTCACTCTGAAAATCCATATGCCATCAACTGTGTTCGCCCCAGGAGGGGGAACTGCGTCGACCTGTATCCCTGACTGTCTGCCACTGAGAGGAGTACTCACCCGTGATCGTCTCTGCGAGAGTGCGTGGGGCCGGGATGTCTAGTGCATCCGGGTCTCCCTCAGGGCAAAGCAGCATGGACGCGAGTTGAGGTATAGCAGCCACGAGGTACTCAAGCTCACCCCCGACAAGCTCAGACTTTAGTAACAATACTCGCGACGTACTCGAGACGACAGGTAGCAGCAAAGTCTACGAGCTCAGTAATTAAGGCAGACACTGCAGTAGACTCAAAGGAAGGGCTAGTGACAAGAGTAGCCAGGAAACGCGTGACAGTAGGACTAGCAGCACGAGCAATGTCAGTCTCAGGGTCAAGAACGTCAGGAAGAGAGGACGTCGGAGGATCCGGCAGAGCAACACGCTGTGGAACGGAGGAAGGACGAAGTGCCATAGTGTGTGCGCCGGGTTCAGGTGGAGGACGAGGGGAGGCAAGGAGGTAAGGTTGCAAGGAGGGAAGGAAGAAAGGAGGCAGGGAGGCGAGGCACGCACCACACTTACAGGAGACGGAGGTCCATCAAGGAATCTTCTTTGAGCTGCAAGCAAGGACAGCAGGAACACATTCAGATGGGTCGGAAGGAACACATTCGAACGAGACGTGAGGGAAATATTCATATAAGAAGTTTTGTTAGGGTGGCACACACAACCCGAGGCATGATTGTGACATCGGCAGAGGAAACTCACTCCCATGCACCTGCCCCCATCATGCACTTGCCCATCACCCACCCGGCACGTGGAAGAGTTTCCGCAGAGCGGCAAACTGCGGCTGTAGCACCTCATTCAGCGCCTTGCCCTTCCAGGCTGGGTTGGCAAAAAAACTTGAGTTGCTTGCACGCTGCGCCCCCGCCGTTGCCGCCGCCCCTGCTGCCGCCCGTGCCGCCGCCCTTGCCGCCGCCCGTGAGCCCGTGCCACCACACCTGCACGTCACCCGCCGCCTTGCGCGCCGCCCGGGGAAGGCTGAAGCAGCGGAGGGCGTCGAAGCTGACGGGGAGGCTCACACCCAGCACCGAGATCACAGTTGCCACGTGGACCCTCACTTCCACCGCCCCACCTGTGCTGCTGTCACTCCCCGTCCCGCCTGTGCCCTGATGCGTTGCCACGTAACCACTCGCGTCCACCGCCCCGCCTGTGCCCTCCTGCGTTGCCACGTGTACACTCGCGTCCACTGCGCTGCCTGTGCTACTGTCACCCTCGGCCACGCCTGAGTGGGGTGAGGGGAGCAGAGGGGTGAGAGGATGGTGAGGGGACCCCCAATTTTTTCAGAAGGCATCCGCTGCGCCCGTACAGAACCCCCTTCTTTTGAGACAACTCAAAACTCAAGCTTTATCACAAGGCATCCGCTGCGCTGGTAAGGAAACATTTTTTTATCGCCCAATGGTGTAGCGGAGAGGTTATACCATTAGAAACTGAGAGAAAATCACACAGAATGACGTACCCCTTGGGAAAGACAAGGAGATAGGCGACTCACCGCAGATGACGGCGAGGACGAGAAGCGGAAGCAGGGCTGCAGGAGAAGCGGCCATGGCGGTCAAGCTGCCACGTCAGACGACTCCAATACGTCAGGTGGGGTAATGCTTGTGCAGCGCGCCGCTGCCACGTCAGGCGAATTGTTGAAATACGAGCTTAACTTAGTAGGCTTAGTAGCCTAGGGTTTAGTTAGGAGGAGAGGGAATGTCGAGGGTGTTGAACAAAGGAGAAACGAAAATGGTGTTCAGTATGAGAAAAGTTACAAGTTATAGTAAGCCAAAGAACTACACTAGGTCTACACTACAGGCAGTTATAATAATGTATACAATTACATTCTGACACACCCCCTAATGGCCTGCAGTGAAGAACCATGTGCAGAAACACCCCCGGAAGGGGTACACCAAGCGCAACGGAAGTCGGCAGAGAGGAATGTGAGGAGGAGGAAACTGGAGAGGAGAGGAGGTGGGCGGCCGCTGAAGCTGCTGGCACTGGCCGTCGCTCCTGCAAAAGCTACCGCGGAGCGCCCTGCCGCGGTCGCGGCCCCGCCCTGCAGCAGCTGCCGCGGAGCCTTCTGCCGCCGTCGCGGCCCTGCCCTGCAGCAGTTGCCGCAGAGCCTCCTGCCGCTGTCGCGGCCCCGCCCTGCAGCAGTCCTCGCGGCCCCGCCATGCAGCTGTCGCGGACCTGCCCTACCGCCGACGCGGCCCTGCTCTGCCGCATCTGTCGCGGCCCCGCCGTCGCCGCCGTCGTGTGCCTACCCTGCCGCCGCCCATCGAGCGCCGGCCCTACCGCCACTGGTGAGCACCTGCCCTACTGCCTTACTGCCTGCTGTGCCGCCCTGCTCTATTGAGCCGCACTGCCCTGCCCGCGCTGCTACTGCTGCTACTGCTGTTCCGGCTGTTACTGCTGCTACTGCTGCTACTAGCGGTGGCCAGATGCAGCTCCAGCGTCGTCCGAGCGAGTCTCCCACGCCACAGCAGCTTCGTGAGTGGTACGCTAGTTGGGGTTGTGGCGGTGGCCGTCGTGGCAGTCGCCTTGGAGCTGGTCAGTCGGGAGCGTCTGGCAGTGGCCAGATGCAGCTGCAGCGGCGTCCGCGCGAGACACTTACGCCCCAGCAGCTTCGTGAGTGGTACGCTCAGGGTAGAGGGTCTCGGAGTACTGTTCGCTGCTCGTACGTCATTCGCACAGGTGATCGGGCAGGTCAGGCTTGCGGGGTGGTTGGTCACCCACAGTCCCGCTGCTTCGCCCGTCTGAGCGACGCCTTGCGTACCGAGTTTGGCGACGAGGCTGAGCTCCCCACCTGGCTGGAGCTGCTTAGGCAGAGGGTAGATATCTTTGCTCTTGACTATGATGCTATCCTCACTGCCATGTATGCATTGCCTACTAGTGCTGAGGGTGCCTGTTACCTGTGTGTGCCGCCTGACCCAGGTATAGAGTCTGCTGCTCTAGGTGCTGGTGAGGCTGCTGCTCTAAGTGCTGGTGCGTCCCCTGCTCCAGGTGTCGGTGAGGCTGCTGCTCTAGGCGCTAGTGAGTCTGCTGCTCCAGGTGCTGGTGAGTCTGCTCTCTCTGGTACTGCGCCTGCTGGGGCCTTGCACACCTTCACACTGGACTCAGGAGCTTCCCGCTCCTTCTTTCGTGACAGCACCACACCCACGCCGCTCAGTCGGCCGGTTGCGGTCTCCCTGGCGGACCCCTCTGGGGGCCCAGTCCTTGCGCACTCCTCCACGGTTCTGCCGTGTCCGGCGGTCCCGTCTGGCTCACTGTCGGGTCTTCACCTCCCCTCGTTCTCTACGAACTTGGTGAGTGGCGCTGACCTCCAGGATGCGTGGGTTGACCAGTTCACTCCTGGAGGTCAGCGGGTGACCCACTGTACTTGCTTCCGGACTGGTCGGCACCTGGCCACGTTCACCCGTGCGCCTGGCTCGAGCCTGTACACACTAACTATTGAGTCCCCTCAGGTAGCTGCGTCTGCGTCCGCGTCTGGTCAGCTAGCGGCCCCCTGCTCGTGTCGTGCTCTGTCGCACCGGACCCTTCTTTGGCACCACCGTCTTGGTCACCCTTCGGTGCAGCGCCTTCGGGCCATGCACCGCCGTCTCCTGGTCTCTGGCCTTCCGGAGACTCTGCCTCCTCTCCCACCCTCCCCTGCCCCTCCCTGCCTTCCCTGTGTCGAGGGGCGGCAGCGCGCCGCTCCTCACTCCTCCTCGTTCCCCCCGACGACTGCTCCCATGCAAACCCTGCACATGGACGTGTGGGGCCCAGCCCGCGTCCGTGGACAGGACCACGAGTGGTACTTTCTGCTGGTTGTTGACGACTACTCGCGTTACACCACGGTCTTCCCCTTGCAGCGCAAGGGTGAGGTCCCTCATGTTTTGATCCCTTGGATCCGCGCTGCCCGTCTCCAGCTCCGCGAGCGGTTCGGGACGGAGTTTCCCGTCCTGCGTCTTCACTCTGACAGAGGTGGAGAGTTTTCCTCCGACCTTCTGACGAGCTTTTGTCGTGGGGAGTGCATTCGCCAGACTTTCACGCTTCCGGCCTCTCCGCAGCAAAATGGGGTTGCTGCCATGGTCCATGCGGCTGCCCCCCATTTTTTGTGGCCGTTTGCAGTCCGCTACGCTGCGCATCAGCTCAACCTCTGGCCCCGTGTCTCCTTGCCGGAGACCTCGCCCACACTGCGGTGGACGGGGGAGGTTGGCGATGCGTCGGTGTTCCGGGTCTAAGGTTCTCGTGCCTTTGTCCGCGATACCACCGCGGACAAGCTCTCCGCCTGCGCTGTTCCCTGTGTCTTCCTTGGCTTTGTCCCTGACGCGCCTGGTTGGCAGTTTTACCACCCCACCTCGCGCCGTGTCTTCCCCTCTCAGGACGTCACGTTCGACGAGTCAGTTCCCTTTTACCGTCTCTTCCCCTACCGCACTGCCCCTCTCCCCCCCCTGCCGCTCTTCCTCGCTCCAGGTCCTCCCCAGGTAGACCCCCTCCCCGCTCCCGGTCCTGCTCCTTCAGGTGTGTCTCAGGTAGACCCTCCTCCCTTGTCTGAGCCGGTTGAGGTCACTGGTGACTCAGGTCCTGCTGGGGGTGGTCCTGCTTGGGGTGCTGCTGCTGGGGGTGCTGAGCCTGGGGGTGCGGAGCCTGGGGGTGCTGAGCCTGGGGGTGCGGAGCCTGGGGGTGCTGAGCCTGGGGGTGCGGAGCCTGGGAGTGCTGAGCCTGAGCGTGCTGAGCCTGGGGGTACTGAGTCTGGGGGTGCTGCACCTGGGGGCGCTGAGGTGTCTGGTGAGCAGTCTCCTTGGAGCGGCCGTCTCCGTAGTCGCTCCGCTGGTGCCTCGCCGCTGCACTCTCGTCGTCGTCTCCCTCTCTCCCCACAGCAGCTGCGTGAGTGGTACGTTAGCCGTCAGGTTCGCGCTGCTGGAGCTGAAGGCCCTGCTGCGGGAGGCGTTGGGGCTGGAGGCACTGGAGCTGGCGCTGTCCCGCTCTCCCCACAGCAGCTGCGTGAGTGGTACGTTCGCCGTCAGGGTCGCGCTGTTGGAGCTGGGAGCCCTGCTGCGGGAGGCACTGGAGTTGGAGGCACTGGAGCTGGTGACTCTGCTACTGGAGGTGTTTCTCCTGGAGTTCCTGCTACTCCTGGGGGTGCTGCGTCTGGGGGTGCTGCGCCTGAGCGTGAGGAGCCTGGGGGTGCTGAGTCTGGGGGTGCGGCGCCTGAGGGTACTGAGACTGCTGGTGCGCGGTCTCCTTGGAGAGGCCGCCTTCGTCCGCGTGCGCCTCTCTCCCCTCAGCAGCTGCACGAGTGGTACGCTAGCCGTCAGGGTCGCGCTGCTGGAGCTCAGGGCTCTGCAGCTGGGAGTGGTGCTGGTACTTTGTCTACAGGAGGTGCTGGACTCGCTGGTTCCGGAGGTGCTCGTACTGGAGGTACTGGAGCTGCTGGGGCTGGCGGTGCTGAGTCTGGGGGTGCCGCTGCTGGAGACCCTGGGGCTGGAGGTGCCGGTTCTGGGGGTGCTGCTGCTGGTGACGCTGGTAGGGAGGTGCTGGCGCTGGAGGTTCTGGGGCTGCTGGTGACGCTGGTACTGGAGGTGCTGGCGCTGGAGGTTCTGGAGCTGCTGGTGACACTGGTGCTGGAGGTGCTGGTGCTGGAGGTTCTGGAGCTGCTGGTGACACTGGTACTGGAGGTACTGGCGCTGAAGGTTGTGGAGCTGCTGGTGGTGCTGGCGCTCGAGGAGCTGGAGCTGGAGGTTCTGGAGCTGCTGGAGGTGCTGGAGCTGCTGGTGGTGCTGGAGCTGCTGGTGCTGGTGGCGCTGCGCAGCCACGACTGTTCTTTGCTCCGCCGTCTCCGTCGTCTCTGCCACCACCTGACTCCGTGCTTCGCCAGGTTCTTAGTCTCCCGTCGTCTACTGGTCTTCCGTTACAGCCTGGCTCACCGCTACCTGCTCCTTCTCCTTACACTGAGCAGCCAGGAGGTCTTGCTGAGCGTCGTGAGCCTGCGTCGCGTCCTGTCTCGCCTGTCCGCACTGGTCGTCGTGTTCCTTGTCCGCGTCCACCGGCTGTCCCCGGCACACACCTCATGGCTCTGCGTCCGTCCTCTGCTCCGCATCGTGTTCCTCTGCCGTCTCCTCCTGCGTCGTCGCTGCCTGTCGTTGCTGACCCTGAGTCTGACCGGTTTCGTGCTGAGCACCCTACTGTCACACGTCTGCTAGCCACTGTTGTCACTGACCCGTCGTTTGAGTCTGCTGTTGCGTCTGCCTTAGTCGCTGAGCTTGTTGACTTTGCTGCTGCCTGTCGTCTAGACTACGCCGCTAGTCTTGTTGCTGAGTTTGAGTCTGTCTGTCCTCCGTCCGTCGGGGGTGAGTGTGCTCTTGGCACGGACGTCCTTGAGGACAGGCAGGAGGACCTTGAGTGTCTTGCAGCCGCTGCGCCTCATCTTGTGGCCATGCTGCTTGCCCCTGAGGGAGACCCGGATGCTCCAAACATCCCGACCCCGCGCTCTTACGCTGAGGCGATCGCGGGTGAGTACTCCTCTCAGTGGCAGACACCCATGGACGCAGAGATGGCATCGTGGAAGTCCACAGGCACTTAC